TACTGATCACCGACAAAAACAACAAGAGGGGTTTATTCTAGACATCACATCTATAACACACAGAGACTCGTAGTAAAAATCCCAGGTGAGAAAAGAGTAGTTACCTTCCTATTTCACATTCCATATGTTGTAAGACAGAGGGCGCTGGAGGTTCTGCGTTACATAATAATTCATACCAGAATTCTCCGACAGCTGGACTATAGAATATTAAACTGTAAGAAAAAAAACACAATTAATGGTTCAACTCTTACAGTAGGGTTATAGATAAAATACCGATAATGGTTCAACTCTCCTCCAGCTGGGTTATAGATAAAAACAATTAATAGTTCAACTCTCCAACAGCTAGGTTATAGAATATCAAAAGGTAACAATATAATCAATTTGTACTTTTTGTTACTACTTTAAAATCAACATGTCTTACCTGGCCGTCTGTTTTCCAACATGTGATGGAGAGAAAGTCAACGTGTAGACGTCTTTCTCACCACCAGGTAGCGTCAATGATGTAGGTCCTTCTAAATCTCGACCAGTTATTGTAGCTTCTAGAATTATATCTTGAACAGTTGGATTTCTCACTATTACATCTATTAAAGTTCTCTTCTACAAAAATATAAAATGGGAAATATGTTACCAGTAATAAAATTATAGTGCAAAATCAAAATAAGATGTGAAATTTAAAATAGCCCGAAACGAATTCTTGGAGAATATCATTTGCCAAATATCAATTTGCTATTAAAAATGGAATGGAGTTTAACTAGGTCATTTTGGGACTAACATAAGGTTCAATTTTATTTCAATACTTCGCTTGCACGTAGGAGTCTTTAGCAATGGGAGGAAACCAGAGAACCCAGACCACTCTACTCCTTGTCACTTACAAGCAGGTAATCGAAACCATGCCAGTTGACTCAATGACAGACCTTATTATATCACACACATGCGTTCAATCATTCGGTCACCCACCCCTGTACTACACCATTGACGGCGGGAAAATACGCTAGAAGATAGTGATTGAACCGGGGATCTGCTGGTTACTCAGGCCAACGTATTGCACATCGCTGAATTAATTCTATGATGAAGGTTTATTATGTGCCAGAAATGGGTTTAAACATACTCCTTTTCAGCACCGACTGAGAGAATTAAGATAGGCTTACGCTATGCAGGAGAGGGACATTTTGCCTGGATGGTGGCCCTACATCCTACTCTTTTTTTGAATTCCACAGGCTGTTTTACATGAACACCAATTTGTTCATCAGACTTTGTCCTGTACGAACAACAAAACACTATCCTTGTCAGTTCCCTCTGTCCTTCATCACTCACAAGGGCAACCTGCTTAAAACACAGATCCTATTTCGTTGGGTATTTTATAGTTCAAAATTTTGTTTTACTTGTCTTTACTACACTAGGATCTGGAAGGGTTGTTATATAACCAGCATTCTGGATGATGTGAGGGATTAGCCAATGAAATGGTCTGTTATGACGAGTTTCTGGCGTGAGGTGCACAGAACTGTGGGTAAACAACTAGAAAAGTCAACGCTGATTGATTAATCAATGTCTGATGTCATATGATCAAAAGCCGCTCGGTTGACATCAGAAGCGATCTCCCACTACTACCTCCCAGACCTTCATGTAGTGTGGGCCATCGGAAGTATAAAAAACCGAAATGAATCAGATTGGGACAAGGAGAACTCGCACCAGAAAATCGTGAGGAACGTACCCTACAGGAACATGTGATATCTAGAGATCGTTCAGGAGGTGGTGGAGCCACTATCACTTTCACGGAATACCAGATTCTATAACCATTATACATAGCATCATTAGGATTGGTTGGAACTTCATCACCATCGCTGTCAACCTCACTGTAAATAAAATAAAATGGAGCATAACATCCTATTGTTCTTCAATATAAATAAAGTCGTTGTTTAAAAACAAACGATGAACTTTGAATATCACCCTCGAAAACAGTGATATCTGCTTGTGTTTAATTCAGTACAACATTGTTACATACAAGAGAGAGTAAGAGGCATGGTTTAACGTTCACTCGACACAAACTAGGTCATTTCCGAACTAACACATGGTTTAATTTTATTTCAATAATCGCATGCGTGTAGGAGTCTTTAGTAGTGGAAGGAAACCGGAGGACATGGAGAAAACCCACAAGTTTGAACCGGCGACCCTACTCCTTGTCACGTACAATGCCAGTTGACTCAATGACAGAACTTATGATTTTAAGTGCATGTGTCAAGACCATTCAGCCAGCAAACCGCTGATAAACAAAGTATGTCACTTAATGCTAATTTCGGTCCAATACAGATCCTATTTACTTGTCGTTACTACACTAGGATCTGGAAGAGTTGTTATATAACCCGAGTGCTGGATGATGTGAGTTCTTAGCGTGCGCTTACGGAACTGAGGGTAACCCACTAGAAACATTGATGCTGATTGGTTAATCAAATGTCTGATGTCATAGGGTCAAAAGCCACTACAACCGGTCAGATCTTCATGTAGTAGAGGCCATCAAAAGTATAAAACAACGAAATATAGATATGTATTTTAATCAGAGTCCAATACAAATACCAACTTTTTTACAGACATTAAAACGACAACATCATTTTTTTCAACCATTCATCCCATACAAAATCAGGTTGCATTCAAATTAATTATTGTTTAATCACTATCAATATTTGCAAGTTGTAACTTACACTGGTGGGTTATCAGATGCTGTGAATGTAATCACTCCTTTAAATGTTCCGCGTCTATCAGGGGAGACAACTAGATCATATGTTCCTGTCTTTCCTGGGAGAACCATGATATTATCCTTACCACTTGTAAAATCTAAATCAGATTCAATCTGAAAAATCAGAAATAAAATCATAAATAAAATGAAATGGGGTTTAAGATCCTATTGTTCTGCTCTGAACTGGACTAATGAAGACGGACATACGTCATACAGTGTGTGCTATGAGGTAAGCCTACTCTCATATCAAATTCCAACTGTCAAGGGTTCTTTTCTGTGCACACCAATGTGTAGACGAGTCCTTCCATTCGAATGACTATACATTGTCCCCCTTGCCAGGTCTTCCATCCCGCACTGTTGATATGGAGGAACCACTTCAGAAATTCACAAGGAACTTTATCGCCAACACCAGGAGCGAACGTAAGATCTTTGAAAATATAATCACCCCACTATCTTGTAAAATCGTTTAATCAATCACCATTATAAATCAGATAAAAATATAAAAAGATATACATCTATTTTTGGTAAAAACAGACCTTTTTTTTAAAAAAAACAACAAATGTCGGTTCAAAGAAATTGTTTATGAGCCTTTGCCACTTTTCCGAGCTAACCCCCCAATCCTGGTGGTGCCCCGAGTCTCCTGGAACATATCTTGTATACATATTCTGGTGGCGTTTAGTACTCTGATAGCAGACGACCCTCACCACCACCCCTCCATTGACGTATACATATCTTACTGATGGCGTTTGACTCCGACAGCGGATGTCCTCATCCTCAAACCTTAGATGACATGTGCATATCTTACTGTCAGTGTACGACCTCAACCAAACCCTGAGGTTAACATGTAGATATCTTATATACTGGTGGCGTTTAGAACTCTGATAGCAGACGGCCCATACCCGCACCCCTCGGTTAACGCATACATATCTTATATAGATATACTTACAAAATAGGATTGTTTTTTCTTGGTGGCGTTTGGTACTTTGACACTGTATATTATACTGTAACGATAGAAATAAAATAAAATACCATTTAACTTCCAACTTTTCTGCATTGACTGGGGAGTTTGCTTTGAAGGAGAAATTTTGCCCAGACAGCAGCGCTACAGCCTACTCCTATATCAAATTCCCTCGCTCAAGGGTTCTGTTATTTGCCCCGCTATTTGAACACAGGACCTCATTTTTAATCTCATCCAAACAACTAGACAATTTTCCTTGCCAGTTTTGTTTTTCATTTCCTGGAAAGTTTCAGGTGGTGACGAGTTTTCTTTAATTCTTACCTTTAAAGATATTTAACTCAATTGGTATCCATGACAACGATAATCTAGTGACAGATACTGTTTTTTATTCATTTCATCAAAAAGGGTCGAAGACGGAGAGAAAAGTGGTTTAACATCCACTCGACACAAACTAGGTCATTTCAGGACTAAAATATGGTTCAATTTTATTTCAATAATTCGATTGCGCGCAGGGGTCTTTAGCAGTAGGAGGAAACCGGAGGACCCGGAGAAAACCCAGCCATATAGTGCAATTTTATTTCAATAATTCACTTACACATAGGGTCTTTGGCAATGGGAGGAAACCAAAGGAGCCGAAGAAAACCCAGGAGGTTGGACAGGCGACCCTACTCCTCGTCACGAACAACTGGGGAATCGAAACCACACCAGTTGACTCAATGACAGACCTTATGATACAGACCTTATGATACAACATGAATGCACTAACCACCCCCCCCCTTCATGAAAAAGGGTTAAAGCGAGAATTTCAAATTTTCTAAGAAAGTCGAAACATAATTATTTATATGTCTTTTGCTCAATAGGTTATCAAATCACTATTATACGATCATGGGCATTATTTCCCTCCCTTAAAAATCTATGGCACAGGAAATAACAACACAATTACCTCCCCTGTTTTGCTATTGACAACATGGGGCAGCCATTTTCCAACGTTGGAATTTGAAGTTAAAAATGATATTTTTGCCAATTTCTCAACTGGCAATAGTGAATTATAGGATTAATAGGATTATTCTTTAACAAGGTATGACTGTTTATAGATACCATCTATTTTAAGGCTTTATTTTAATACATTTTAAAAATATAACTTGAAAATTTGCAATTGCAACTTTAAGACATTGACAAGTGCTGTAAAATTCCTACCTTTGTTTAGCTTGACAGTTTATCTGGATATTATCGACAGCGAGAGGTTTTTCAGGTTTACCATATAAAATAAACACATGATCCGTTCCATCTTCGATATTACTTAAAACTAATTTACCCTGAAATATAAATAAACACATGATCTGTTCCATCTTCGATATTACTTAAAACTAATTTACCCTGGAATATAAATTCTCAGACTTAATAAAAATTTACTCAAAATTGTTCGCTTTATTTTAACTAAAATTGTAAAATACAGCCCTTTATAAAATTTTTATTTTAATGTATCAAATACATCAATAAGAAACTATGTACAAAGTTTTGTGTTTCTGGATTAAAGATATTTATCATTAACAGTGATTGAAAGTTGAGTAAATTCTTGACTTAAGTCTGAGAATGGGTAACACACTAGAAACATCAACGCTGATTGATTAATCAAATGTCTGACGTCATAGGATCAAAAGTCGCTCGTATTACCCCTGCAACTGGTCGGATCTTCATGTAGTGTAGGCCATCGATAGTAAAAAAAAAAAAAAAAAAATCAAACAAAATATCGATCTGTATTTAAATCAGATTGCTGTGGATTAAGCCATGAGAAATTCGATATTTTAACGAAAGATGAGAATGTCACATTGTTACTTTAATCCTTGAAGCTGTAAATATTTTACCTTTACAGGTGTTTCATACAATGGTTTATATACGAGGGGATACTGAGCTGTCTGATATGCCTTGGCTAAATGTGATGGTGGACCAGAAAACCCATCACCAGTTATTTCAGCTCTCAATGGCCAATCGTGATTCGTCAAATTCACCTAAAAAATAAAACAATCATTATTTTATTACTAGGTAAAAATTGGTAATTTCTGACCATATATACAACAACAGGACTTAGTCATCAACATTCTATTCATTTCAACTTGTTTTGGAGAGAGAGAGAAAGAGAGAGAGAAAGATTAAGAGACACAAAGAGAGAGAGAGAGAGAGAGAGAGAGAGAGAGAGAGAGAGAGAGAGAGATGGGTTTAACTTTATTTGACACAAACTAGGTTGTTTCGGGACTAACATATGGCTCAATTTAATTTCATAGGGGTCTTTAGCAATGGGAGGAAACCGGAAGACCCGGAGTAATCCCACGAGGTTTGACAGGCGACCCCACTCCTTGTGGGGAATAGAAACCACGCCACTTAACTCAATGACAGACCTTAAGATCTCCAGCGTTAACCATTCAGCCACCCTATTCCCCAATTCGACATAAAATACAAATATTTTGTTTGTAAGTTGATATTAGCTTTAAATTACTTACGATAGGTATATTCTGCGTTAGTGATTGATTAACGGGAATAGATAACTCTAGTTCCGCCATACTACCATCAGGATTAACGGTAGTTTCTATATGATAAACACGGATATCATCTACAGCTCGTAATATAATCTCAGCTGGATAATGTCCAGGTGTTTTAGCTTTAAATGTTACAGGTAGTTCCACTATACCATCTTCTATTTTAATACCTGTAGATACATAATACACAATTCATTACCCATTTCTCTTTCCCCCTTGGTATTTCATCCCATCCAAATTACTAACACTGTCTTTCCAGGCTCTCCATCCTGCACCAGTGAAACAACATTGAAAATCCTGGGGAACTTCTCAACCAACACCGGGAATGGAGAGAAATGGGGTTTAACATTTCGGGTCTAACATATGGTTCAATTTTACTTCAATAATAAGCTTGCGCATGGGGGTCTTTAGGAGGAACATGGAGAACCCGGAGAAAACCCACGAGGTTGGACAGGTGACTGGCTCCTCGTCACGTACAACCGGGGAATCGAAACTACGCCAGTTGACTCAATGACAGATCTTATGATCTAACCATTCGGCCACCGGGAATGGACCTTGGAACCTCCTGGTTTGTCAGCCAGCAACTTACACACTAAGGTATTTATTCCACTCCCATTTAATAAAATCCAAAATATTTATTTAATTTTTGTGTGTATGAAAGATTAGCACCACATTACAAAATAGTATAGTAATTCCTGAAAATGGCAGCCATTCAGAGCCAATGTATACCTAATGTAGATGATTGTCTTTGAGTAGAGAAAGATTCATACCTTGTGGTATTCTAGTGCTGGTGGGTGCGCTGTGACTCCGAGCATCAAGAGGACTTGGCATTGATAACGAGGACGGTATTTTATAATATTCCGAATCAACTTCGACTGTATATTTGTTATAGTTGTGTTTCCTTGTTTTGTGTGTTTTTGCGAGTGTTGATGTCCCTGATGAGAGGAGTTTAACTGTTTTAGCTGCTACACTGGAACTAGTCAGGGTACCTGTAGCACTGCGTCGCTGTATCTCTAGTTCTGACATTCTCTGGAACAAAACATGGAATGTTTTCAAAATATTTTAAATTTATTCCACAAAATATTTCATGTACAATTATAAATGAAACTTTTCCAACATTGCATGTGCCATGTTCTTGGTTATGTTGACCACCACTACTCTACCTGTTGACCACCACCACTTTACCTGTTGACCACCACCACCACTCTACCTGTTGACAGTCATCACCCTACCTGTTGACCACCACCACTCTACCTTTTGACAGTCACCACCCTACCTGTTGAACCGACCTGTTGCACACCACCACCCTATCCTACCTGTTGACAGTCACCTGTTGCGACACCACCACCCTACCTGTTGGCCATTAACACCACCCTACCTATTGACAGTCACCACTACCCTACCTGTTGACCATCACCACCACCCTACCAGTTGAATCTACCTGTTGCACACCACCACCCTAACTGTTGACCATTAATACTACCCTACCTGTTGACAGTCACCTGTTGCGCACCACCACCCTACCTGTTGACCATTAACACCACCCTACCTGTTGACAGTCACCACCACCCTACCTGTTGACATCTATAAACACACCTGTTGAGCAGCTAATATTAAAGCCTTTTCTTTCGTCATGTTAGTTACAGGTATCAACAACGTCTGTTTTAATGGTTGACCGGAATCACACTTCCAATATATTACAGTTTCTTCACCACCTTGTAAACCACGTCCATTACCTGTTATAATATATACCTTACATTAAACAGGTGTATAAAACCAGTTCTCGTTCAAAAATGTCAGGTAAAACTTCAATAATGGCTGATATTTTGACAGATGAAACAAAAAATTCATTATTTCATGCATGTTTTACATCAAAGAGAGAGAGAGAGAAATGGGGTTTAACGTCCATTTGACACAAACTTTTTCATTTTGGGAATAACACAGAGTTCAATTTTATTTCAATAATTTGATTGCATGTAGGGGTCTTTAGCAGTGGGAGGAAACCGGAGGACCCGGAGAAAACCTACGAGGTTGGACAGGCGACCCTACTCCTTGTCACTATACAACCGGGGAATCCAAACCACGCCAGTTGACTCAATGACAGACCTTATATGAATATGATACAGCATGCATGCGCTAAACATTCGGCCGTTTTACATCAATCAGAATCATTACAAAACGCGACTTACCATAAGGAGCCGCACTGCTAATCCTAATCGTGTTTTGATTGGGTAAAAATGGTAGCGGTGACGGCAAAGGTAACGTGGCTTTCGCTTCGATGGAATACAAAAACTCTCCTATGTTGTCGTTGAGGAATATCACGGAACACTGTCGATCTCCGGTGAAGAATGGAAGGAAGTCGACCTGGACCTCAGCTGAACCTCCTGCTTCCAGATAAAATGTTTTCATAGGAGAGGAGAAAGCACTCAAAGTCATCGCCTCATCTGAAAGAAAAATATCCATCAAAAGCAGTCGGACAAAAAACAAAACAAATAAAATCTGCCCAGTTGTCAGAAACTATACAGTGTGAGGAATAATGTGTCATATGAATTGGTTGATGCGGTATCTAGCAACGGGTTCAAAGCAGGAGGAGAATTCATTGCATATACAAAAAGTTGTTGTCTTTAATAGCTTTCCATTTATCATAATATCAAAGCTTAATTAAATTCTCGGATTATCCACTAACCATGTCTTTTTCCATGGTTTTTATCTCAGAAACTGTTGTGCTTTTAAGCTCAGCATCAAGTTTATAAACATATACATCAAGTGCTCACTAACGCTGAGAAATCAGACAATCTTCACGTGTGCCTTTGACGTCATGCCACCAGACATTCCTTATTGTCGGGCTGTCGATTAGGGAAACCCTTACACTTTTGTCCTGTATGCGCTCCATGGGTGTTTTTCAGGGAAACCAGTATTTTTCTAGTAAGATTGGATGTTTCTACTTTCCGTATATACCAAAATTGCCATACTCTTATTGTAAATAACCACTTTTGTGTGAAAGTATGTTGTTTTTTTGAGAGGCTTCAAATGCTATATAAAATTATTATTTAGACATTTATACACATGACAAGACAATAATCAACTCTCTATAGCATCGGATGGTAGAGATGTAAACAGGTTAAAGTAGATTTAGTGATTTAATTTAAATATGGATTAACAAGTCTGGATTAACAAGTACTGTTGCTGCGATAATAAACAATCAATGCCACATCTTGTCAGAACTTCAAATAGTCATAACTTCGCCCAGAATAAAATAATTTGAATTAAATATTCAATATAATTTTGAATTATCTAGTTTGTAACTATTATAGCAAGGACGTCCAGCTCTTTATCTAAATCTTACATATGGCATCTTTAATAAAATGGTTCATTTTCTTACCATCCTTTTTTGTTTTTGCCAGTTGTTGTGTGTCTGTGATCACTGGAGGTGGAGGGGTGGGTGGCGTTTCAGGACGATTCTGACCATGATCTATTTTAGCTTTAACTTTCTTCTTCTTCTTATCCTTCGTTCGGAGTAGTACAGACGCTGCTGCAGGTTTCGAGGGATCTGACGTGTCCATGTTCGTCTCCATGAGAATAATCTTGAATTCTCCACCTTCGTTAAAAGGGTTTGTGACATCCAGAATTATTCTTTCAAGTTCGTAACATGGAGATTCGGTCTTCATAGTCATCTGTTTAAAAAATGTTACAATTTGTTTTGAAATTCTTAACTGTTTAATAGAAAACAAATTGAAATGGGGTTTAACATCCTGGTCCTCTGTAACAAAGAAAAACCGAGGTCTGTGTATACATTGGCGTGCACGTGAAAGATCCCTTGGCAGTTGGAATTCGATATAAGAGTAGACCGTAGCACCGCAGTACAGGCAAAAGTTTCCCATATAGCACACTGTATGGCATATGCCCTTCTTCACAGCCCAGTCGGAGCAGAACAGTAGGACGTTAAACCACATTCCATTTCATTACCCTACTCCGTGAAGAAAAGTAAGACATTAAACCACATTCTGTTTCATTTCCTATTCTGCCTATTTCTAAAAATAGGTCATTCTATAATAGGTCATTCTATAATAGGTCATTCTATAATAGGTCATTCTAATAAAATAGGACCTGGTACCCAGGTTGAGTTTTGATATAAATATATAATAATATATTAAATTAAACTGTGAAATTTTTTTCAATAAAAACAGAATTATCAAAATGAATCATTGCTCAAAGACATAAAGCCATGTGCCATTGCGAATAAGGTAAGTTTAGAGTTATGCCCCCTCGGTACAACTTGAGTCCTCAGCTCTTTCAAGTCGGGAGTCGTCACATCTGCCAAGTCAGGTCATTGATGTAACTTGAGTCGGACTCGAGTCTGAGTCGATGGACTCAAGTACCCAACTCTGCCTTTCAGATCCCAGAATCACAGAGTCATGAGTTTTTAACAATGAAAATGGTACAAATGTCAAATGTGCAATTGTATTACAATATGTTTCTTAAGAGTGTACAATATTTAACGTTTGTGAAAGGTTAAAAATACATTATGCAAGAGCTAAATCTGCCTATTGCAGGTCTTTCTTTAGGCCTAAAATGTTATCTAAATTATTAATTAGACATTAACTTATCCAGACCATAATCAACTCTCGATGGCATCGCTAGCCTGCAATATTTAGGCCTATTGGATTATAATCCGATCTGTTGCTCAACGCAGATGATCGAGGCTAGACCTAAAATTCAATCGCTAAATCCTCGGTTCAGAGTGGCTCAATTTGACTGAAATTTTCAGCAAATTGCCTTTACATTATCTAATTTTTAACTATTATAGTGAGAACTGCCAGCCCTTTTTCTAATCTCCCATAATGTATCTTTAAGAAAAAGGAAAATAATAAGAGAAACACACATTTCCAGGATCTTATTCACAAAAACAAAAGTTTATTGTGAACAGTTTCTGATTGGAATAAGATAATATAATTTATTGTGAATAATAATTGTGAACAACATTATTAAAAAAAACACATGCAATAATTAAAATACACATAAAACGAGTTCTTCTATCGTGTGACGCGAGTTCAACCATCATGTTTCAACCATCATGTGACACGAGTTCAACCATCATGTGACACGAGTTCAACCATAATGTAACTCAAGTTAATCAACCATCATGTAGACGATGTTCCTTCCAGGCCTTACATCCTTCGTCACTGACAAAAGATCTTTCTTCATCAACACCAGGATCGAACCCGAGACATTCTGCTTAGGGAACCAATGCCTTACCCACTGAGCCACTTATAATTTTGAGTATTTTTTTCAACATGATGATTGAACGAAATAAAAGAAGAAAGTTAAAGCGTTAGGCCGAACCAATTTGATTTTCAAATCTACAGGAACACACGATCAAAATTTTGCTTTTTATTTCTTGAGAAAAAAAAAAAATTTTAAAACCAAAAATAAAATAATTGGTCCCTCTTCTCCAAAATTTTGCTTATTTCTAAAATAAAACAAAAATAATTTTCGCTTCTATTTTATCAAGACTCAAGAGGTTATCTATTTTATCAAGATTCAAGAGGTTATCTATTTTATCAAGATTCAAGAGGTTATCTTTTTTATCAAGACTCAAGAGGTTATCTATTTTATCAAGACTCAAGAGGTTATCTATTTTATCAAGACTCAAGAGGTTATCTATTTTATCAAGACTCAAGAGGTTATCTATTTTATCAAGACCACGAGGACTAAAAACAATATTGGCTTAGCCTAAACTAAAGAAAGTAAATGTGATAGCAAAATAAGTCAGAAATCGCAGTCTTTTATATTAGGAACAAAGCTGTGAGAATAGGCTAAGAATATCTTTTTATCGAAAGGTAAAAGTTTAGATTTGACAAAACTTATATTTTCTTAAAATGTTCAGCCTATTTTCACATTTTTGTTAATATATCGTAAACCTGTGACTTCGTGAGTGAGAAACAATTGAAGATGAAAAGGTACCTGATAATGACTGGAAGGCTGGAGAAAAGATAGAAAGAGACAAAGATTATAGAATGATAGATCAGATGCTGTTACTAGTACCAACGTTAGTCTAGTTTTTCCAGTTACTATTAATCAGATGCTGTGACTAGTACTAATGTTAGTCTAGTTTTTCCAGTTATTATTCATACTTGATTTAGCTCAAGTCACTGACTTTGATTTTCAAAATAAGTGAGTTATTATCAAGAGTTGATTGTCTAATAGCTATAAAGTGACACCTAGCAACTACAATAAGAATAGTTTGAAAGATTGTGCACATTACTACACAATGCACATGCAAGATAATGTCAATCTGGTTAAAACACAGATCCTATTTCGTTTTGTTTTTTATAGTTCAAAATTTCTTTTTACTTGTCTTTACTACACTTGGATCTGGAAGTAATGTTATCATTGACATGTTCTGAATGATGTGAGCTATTAGCCAATGAAATGGTCTGTTACAGCGAGCTTTAGACATGTTTTGCATGGGTAATCGACTAGTAACATCAATGCTGATTGGTTAATCAAATGTCTGACGTCATAGGGTCAAAAGCCACTCGTATGACCTTTGACGCGACCTATCGCTACAACCGCGGTCAGATCTTCATGCAGTGTAGGCCATCGAAAGTATAAAAACACGTAACGAAATATAGATGTGTATTTGAATAAGATTGAGAAGATGTACATGCAGACAGTTTGTGACTAAACAAACATCTATAAAACTGCAATCAAATGCGAAAGTCTGAAATGTTTCAAATTATGGAATGACACAGAATCAAGTCCTTGACTCAATGACACACCTCATGATCTGAAGTGCACGTGTAACACCATTTAACCACCCAAACCCTCACGAGCACCAATCTATTTCACAGCGGTAATGCGAAATGTGACAAAGTAGCCTACTGTATAACTTTCATCAAATTGAACGATCATGTAGGTGCTTAGAACTTATTGACCTAAGTTTGTTTTGATAATACTAATAGATGATATTGATGTTTCAACTTTATATATACTTCTGTAAGTCACATTCTAATTAACCATGTAAATAATCCCATATGTAATTTACAAGCTCCTTCACCCGATGACATACCTCTCAGTGATTATTGCGGCCAAGTGAATATTTACTGCTGATCAGATTGCACTACCATGCGTAAAGAGATAAAAAACTAACCAATGGAGTGATGTTATCTATCTGTGTGTGGAGTTGAAAGGTCATCGTTGTACCAGTTGTCGATCCTTGACGTCGACCAACCAAAACAAGAACAGCTTCCGCAGGTCTCAGGAATCGACTGACATGTTCTACAGACAGAGGGTAGGTGGTTTTTGGTGGAACGGTCACATGATCACCTTTCGGTACGCGGAAATCTTTAGCGTCACGACCAGCCAATAGAACATGGTAGTTTAAAGATTTATTACTTGAGTTTGTTAACTTCACCTGAAAATCAAAAAACAATAATAATTAAAGGGGCATTATGTAAAGTTAGATAAGGAGGTGACAGTTCTGGCTATAATAGTTAAAGAGAGAGAGAGAGAGAGAGAGAGAGAGAAAGAGAGAGAGAGAGAGCTGACAGTTCTGGCTATAATAGTTAAAATATAGATAATAAAAACAGACTATGTTGAAAATTCCAGTCAAATTACTGTGTAGCCTCGATTGTGATTGCTATCATTGTTACGATAATAAACAAAGTCTTGATTATCCATTTTTATGTTAAATCATCAATCGTAAAACGTGTTTAAATCTACTTAAAATCCTATGGCATCGAGAGTAGATTATGGTATGGATAAGTTTATTAATGTCTAATTAATAGTTTATATAACATTTCAGGCCTAAAGAAAGACCTGCAATAGGCAGATTTAGCTCTTGCATAATGTATGTTTAAATCAAATGTGATTTAACATTCTACCTTTCTATTGAACGTTATTGTGATACGTGTGAGATACTTATTAATGGGGACTATCTGAGACAACGCAAACGGAAGTGACAGAATGACAGTGTCGCACTTCACATTGTGAAGGTGTGGAGACAGGTTGACCCTTGTAAATTTATGTACAGTGTCTTTAGATCATGTTTCAATGAAGACAGTGCGCCATGAAGACAGTGCGCCATAAAGAAAATTTTGTCTGGATAGCGAGGTTTCCGTCAACCCTTCATTGAATTCCAACTGTAAAGGGTTCTTTTAGTCGATGATGGCTCTTCTGAAATTCTAGCACTGCAAAGAGTGACTCGGGTGGTCTGAGATTATCATGAGAGCAGAAGTAAACAAACTTGTCTAGTAGAAGGTAAACAAACCTGTCTAGCGGAATGTAAACAAACCTGTCTAGCGGAATGTAAACAGACCTGTCTAGTAGAATGTAAACAGACTTGTCTAGTAGAATGTAAACAGACCTGTCTAGTAGAATGTAAACAGACCTGTCTAGTAACTGTAGAATGAAGAGAACCAGTAAAGTCAATATCATCTTTAGGTAGATACTGGGGTAACTTCTGATATAGATGCATACACAAAAATAACATGGATACAGGATTAGGATCCGTGATATCTATAGCCTGAAAAGAGAGAGATCGGGTTTAATTTACACTCATCACAAACTAGCGGCGCTATGGCCTACTTTTCTATCGAATTCTAACTGCCGTTGGATGTTTTACCTACTCGCCATCAGAAAGATTAAACAGCTGTCCTTGTCAGGCCCCCCATCCTGCACCACTGACAAGGGAAAAAAATGAACGAAATAATGCACATACCATGTAGTGTGCCATGAGGTTTACCTAGCCTACTCCTACTGCCAAGTGTTCTTTTATACACCTTGCTAATATTGTACACAGAACCTTGTTATTTTTACGCTGTTCCTTGTCAGGCCCTCTGTGACTGTGACAAGGGGGAATTCATGCTGCAAAATCCTAAAGAACTTTATCGTGATGGAATTATCGATTTCCTGGTTACTAAGCAAGCACCTTACCCACTGGGCCACCATAGCTCATTGAAGAAAAGAAATTCAATACCAACAAGAAATGCAATCACAAACGGTGTTATCAATGATAATATAAAATAGGCGTACCTGTATGTCGTATTCAATACCAGCAAACCTCATGGCGTTAACAATCTTTAATGCATTATGAAGACATTGTTCAGCTGTTGATGGATGGGTGTACATATCACTTAAATAATCATCTACCTATAAAATACAAACAAATTAACCATTTTTTTTACATTGTCAACAGTATATGAACCACACACTAATCAGCAGTGAATATTTGCTAGGCCGCTACAATCACTGATAAGGATGACATTGATGCAACTTAATGAGCCAGAAATATTAACTCTTTTCCTCCAACAAATTAAATTCTAAAACATTATTTTTTTTTATGTATTAGAAAAATAAATAAAGATGTTTGAAGTATTTGTAGGTAAATATTATTTCCTATTTAGTGTAAATGGGTATTAAAATGAGTACAAGTTTTCTGTAAACAATGCACGCGCCATTGAGCCACTGATTGATGCCACATGATGTGAACCAGTCATCTTTTACAGAGATATTAAAAGACCTTCGTAATCCTCTGTGAAACAGATTGTACATGAACCTGGAACCAGCCATCTTGGAATTGTCTCATGATTTTATTCTGTTTAATTGTATATTTACACATGTGCATGCCGTCCTTAAGCGACGTCTTGATGCAATAAATATCTTAACTCATCCTATCTTATCAAAATGCTGAGTCTGTCGATTGATGCCCCACTGTCCAAAGAACAAGGATGCCAAATTTCATGTCGATCGTAGTTGGATCGGCAATGCCTTAGATTTCTTTGGAAGAGCTTTGAACCAAGATGAAGAAGAGAGATGGGATTTAACGTCCACTTGACACAAACTAGGTAATATCAGGACTAACCTATGGTTCAAATTTATTTCCGTAATTTGCTTGTGCGTAGAGTTCTTTAGCAGTAAGAGGGGACCCAGAGAAAACCCACGCTCGGAGGTTGGACAGGCGACCCTACTCCTTGTCATATACAAGCAGGAAATTGAAACCTCGCCAGTAGCTCAATGACGAACTTTAGGATCTTACTCACACGCGTTAAACCCCTGAAACCCCCATCAAGTGTATAGAACCATTTCCTGATTAAAAATTGCGCGATTAAATCTATCTACATCATTATACTTATTTTAGACCAAAAAATGTAAAATACAAAACATGTTCAAGATCAAGAAATTTTTTTGAAATTCCCAGAAAAAAATGTTATTTACCAGGAAAGAAAGATGAGCTCCAAGAACAGATGCGACAACTAAACCATCTAATAAATCCATGTCATAATTTACGATCCATCGAGATGCTGGAACACCACCTGTTGTAATAAAACATTTATTGTAATTACAGACATGTGACCCAGAGAAAACCCTAGAGGTTGGACAGGCAACCCTACTCCTTGTTACGTTCAAATGAGGAGTTGAAACCATGCCACATGACTCAATGACAGACCTTGTTAAACTAGTAGACCATCCAACAGTCTGTGTAGTGAGCCGACTAGGGTATTGAAATGAAATGGGGTTTAATGTCCTACTGTTCTGCACAGACTAGAGTAATGAAATGGGGTTTAGCGTCCTACAGTTCTGCTGCGACTGGTCTAATGAAGACGGGCATACGCCATACAGTGTGCTATGAGGGTAATTTTGCCCGGACAGCAGCGCCACAGCCTACACTTATAGCGAATTCCAACTACCAAGGGATCTTTACCGTGCATGCCAATGTATAAAGGAACCTTAGTTTTTCGTCCCATCCGAAACAGCTGACATGGTTAAACCACGCAGTAAAATCCTGATGAACTTTCTTGTCCAATGCAGGGCTCGAACACGCAACCTCCAGGCTAGCGAGCCAGCGTCTTCCCCACTTAGTCACCGCGGCTGCCAGTGTAGCGAGACAACATGTTTAATATTATAAATACCTTTGGTAGAGTTTTTCCAGATTTTATGTCGATATTGTTCGTAATGATGATTTAACCATGTTAATATTATTCTCTCTCCCACACAATAAATATTACTACACAATGGGTCTGGGTTTACAATCGGCATGGTAACGCCAGGAGTAGGTGTAGCAATATTCTTCAAAGTTCTGGGTGTCACCTTGGCTAAAACCAAACACTGAAAGACAATATTAATAATACAATAAGGTTGCACAGACTCATTTTTTTGTCCCATCCAAACGACTATACATTGTCTCTTGCCAGGCCTTCTCATCCTGACCACTGACAAGGGGAACCAAGCTGGAAAATCCTGAGGAACTTTCTTCGCCTACATCGGGATCGAACACAGGATCTCCCGGTTACAAGTCAGTGTTTTACTCACTGAGACACAGCTGCTCCCCAGTGAGTATGGGCTATTCCAGAATGCTAACAAAAGTTGATTAAGAAGAATGAGTTGATCAAGTGATTTCCCATGTTCCTGAAGCAACAACAGCAAGTTTTACAACAACTAGACGTTGCTAGATTAGTCTGCAATTACCGAACTTATAGCTACGTTATTTCCCTTATATTCAGACATGTGAACGATAACGTCCAATCAGAGATTGTGACACAAACACACTCAAATCAAACATGGCGACCTCCACTGAAACCTTGACATTGAACGAACTTGGTATTTGCGATGTTCGAGGTATCTGATCAGCTATCTTGCAAGGAGAACAGCCAATCGAAATTAGTGCCGAAATATGCAGAGTATTATGTGAAGGGCTTGATAAAATGTACATAGTTAAAGGTATTAAATCGGTAATATTTGGCACCTAGATATTGTCCCAAATGGGCCGCAACGCATATAATAATGTGATCTGATTGTATACAAACTGATTTACATTCTATTGTATCCGTTTTGACTCTAATGTCAAATCAGTTATTCCAGTCTATTGTGCATGCTCTCCAGATAAGATATGGCGTCACCGTTTGAAATGAGGTGTGGAATATGTCTAGCCTCGTTCTTTCTGGTCACTTGTTACATATGACGCTGAAATGCACTATGATACGGTACACGATTTGTGTACCGATGGTAAAATGTTTATTTTGTCTTAAATATTGGATATCAGAAGCCTATCTTTTCCCGGTAAGATCACAACATCAATGTTGATTTAAATTGACAAATAATTCTTGTTTTCAATGTTTAAGCCAGATCAAGCCTTTTATTGAAGATGCTAACCATTCGGCCACATCCCGCCCCTGCAAGAGATTCTAGCCAAAAATCTTGTGCTCTGACTATACAGATCCTACTAAACCAATGATATCTCGATTATCTTACCTTCATGATCTGTAGGAGTAAATCGGTCCAAGCTCGTTTCGATAAAGCCTCGAATACATCCTCATCATCAATTGGTTCAGAATCTATGATATTTCCTGCTTCTGCTGTCTTTCCCTGCTGTAACAGACCACGTTTTATCTCGGCCTGAAGTTCTTTCCATAAAATACAGTCACCAAGTTCCATCAGATGTTCTGGTCTTATTCCCGAAACACTACCACCTTGACATCTTTAAAACAAAAATATTCTTGTCATAATCTTTTCTATGTGCCATGTTTGTGAGTTCTCTTCCATTTGCCATGTTTGTGTGTGCACTCTTGCATGTGCCATGTCTGTGCCCTTCCATTTGCCATGTCTGTGAGTGTGCTCTTCCATGTGTCATGTTTGGGTGTGTGCTCTTATCTTCAATGTTTATATTGGATATGGTGTTCATCGGGTGTTGTATTTATTATCTGCTGTTTGTTTTGCACATTGTGTGTATTGCATATTTTGTATATTGTGTTGATTGTATATTGTTTATTGTATATTATGTGTAGTGTATATTGTGTTTATTTGATATTGTGTTTATTTGATATTGTGTTTATTTGATATTGTGTTTACTAGATATTATGTCGTGTTTATTGTATATTATGTGTATTGTATATTGTGTGTATTGGATAATGTGTATCTGATATTATGTTCACTGTATATTGTGTTTATTGGAGGTATTTGATGTATGTATTAGATAATGTGTTCATCAGATCTTGTGCTCTTGAACAGAGACGTACAAGTATCTTTAATGTACGTAACTCGTTCAACTTGAGACTGACATATGATCAATTTATTTTATTACCTGATAAATGTAAGCAGCGTAGAGTGTTGCCAGTAGATCTGTTTAACTCGTTCAACAGGATTAGCAGGAAACGAGGCGTTAACAGGTATACCTGGTACAGGTCGACCACTCAGGTGTGAGATCATATCGTAAATAGTTTTAACATCTTTCTTTACGCTGGTAGTATCCCAGCTTCCTCCTCTTTTCTCATCGTCTTTCTTTTTACTCAAACTTCTACGATACGAATACAAAAAATTTTAAATTTAAGTTTAAAGAGGCATTAGGTAAGATTTAGATAAAAAGCCGGTCATTTTTGATATAATGGTTATATTAAGATACATTATGTAAGATTTAGATAAAGAGCTGACCGTTCTCGCTATAATAGTTATATTAAAGATACATTATGTAAGATTTAGATAAAGAGCTGGACGTTCTTGCTATACTAGTTATATTAAAGATACATTAGGTAAGATTTAGATAAAGGGCTGGTCGTTCTCGCTATACTAGTTATATTAAAGATACATTATGTAAGATTTAGATAAAGAGCTGGTCGTTCTTGTTAGAATAGTTATATTAAAGATACATTAAATAAGATTTAGATAAAGGACTGGTCGTTCTTGCTATAATAGTTATATTAAAGATACATTATGTATGATTTAGATAAAAAGCCGGTCATTCTTGTTAGAATAGTTATATTAAAGATACATAAAGAAAGATTTTAATAAAGAGTTGGACGTTCCTGCTATAACAGTTCAAAATAGATAATGAAAAATGAATATATTGAAAAAATTTCATTCAAATTACTTTATTCTGAGAGAAGACATAGCATTACACCCATCCAATGATCTAGATAGTCTATTTACGTTATCTACTTGTTAACTAGTATAACGAGAACTGTCACCTATTTATCTAATCTCCCATAATGCCCCTTTAAATGTAAGATAATCAATTTTAGTAGGCTATATTTTAGCGGGGATTAAGCCATGCAAATTTGATATTTTCCGTAAAATATTAAAGAAATATCGTACCCAAAAATACAACAGATGTATTTAAAGGCAGTTTACTATTAATAAAATATATGTTTTAAGGGAGTGTTGAGTTCTCTATATTTTAGCGTGGATTAAGCCATGCAAATTTGATATTTTCCGTAAAATATTAAAGAAATATCGTACCCAAAAATACAACAGATGTATTTAAAGGCAGTTTACTATTAATAAAATATATGTTTTAAGGGAGTGTTGAGTTCTCTATATTTTAGCGTGGATTAAGCCATGCAAATTTGATATTTTCCGTAAAATATTAAAGAAATATCGTACCAAAAAATACAACAGATGTATTTAAAGGCAGTTTACTATTAATAAAATATATGTTTTAAGGGAGTGTTGAGTTCTCTATATTTTAGTGGGGATTAAGCCGTATAAATTTGATATTTTCTGTAAAATACTAATGAGATGCAAAGACTTAAGATTTCTGCATTTAAGGGAGGAAACTATTTTTATTCTGAAATGTTAAAGCTATTGAACTGAAAATAGTACAAGTAGTTAGGAAATTGAATAAACTAGCATTAAAAAAAAGGGGTTGCCAGGGTAACACATTTTTGGGGAAATGATTATCAAAAACGTAGGTATACTATATCTCTGTAACTAATTAAGATATCTTCGGCACATTTGCAGGATATATAAACTAATATCTACCATTTTCAAAGAAACTATAAAAATTATAGAGAAAAAACCTCTGTCTGGTTTTGGGGTTATCATTAAAAAATAAGCAGTCCAAAAATGAGATATTTATCTTTATTAGAGCCAGAGATATGGTGTACCTACGTTTTTCATACTTTTTCCCCAAAAATGTGCTTTTAAAGGCAGTGTATAATTAATAAAATATATGATTTAGTGTAGTGTTGATACTTACATTCTCAGTGTATATGGTATTTGTATAGGAAATGGTCCACCAGGCCAACCATTAGCTGTAAACCATCTCTGTACAGCCATTAATACTTCCGTATGATATTGACCTATAATAAACCATCTCATAAATATGCAGATATATTCCATATATGGTTATAAACTGATTACATCATTTCTATTGTCATACCTCGCTACTGCTAATGAGAATTGTGCATATATGGAATAAAATACGTTTTTTCTTTTAATTTTATGAACTCCTCTCCTTATGTATGCTACCTCCTTCCCTTATGTATGCTTCCTCCTTCCTTATGTATGCTACTTCCTTCCCTTATGTATGCTTCCTCCTTCCCTTATGTATGCTACACCTTTCCTTATGTATGCTACCCCTTTCCTTATGTATGCTACCTCCTTCCCTTATGTATGCTACCCCTTACCTTATGTATGCTACCTCCTTCCCTTATGTATGCTACCTCCTTCCCTTATGTATGCTTCCTCCTTCCCTTATGTATGCTTCCTCCTTCCCTTATGTATGCTACCCCTTTCCTTATGTATGCTACCTCCTTCCCTTATGTATGCTTCCTCCTTCCCTTATGTATGCTACCTCCTTCCCTTATGTATGCTTCCTCCTTCCCTTATGTATGCTTCCTCCTTCCCTTATGTATGCTACCCCTTTCCTTATGTATGCTACCTCCTTCCCTTATGTATGCTACCCCTTTCCTTATGTATGCTACCTCCTTCCCTTATGTATGCTACCTCCTTCCCTTATGTATGCTTCCTCCTTCCCTTATGTATGCTTCCTCCTTCCCTTATGTATGCTACCCCTTTCCTTATGTATGCTACCTCCTTCCCTTATGTATGCTTCCTCCTTCCCTTATGTATGCTACCTCCTTCCCTTATGTATGCTTCCTCCTTCCCTTATGTATGCTTCCTCCTTCCCTTATGTATGCTACACCTTTCCTTATGTATGCTACCTCCTTCCCTTATGTATGCTTCCTCCTTCCCTTATGTATGCTACCCCTTTCCTTATGTATGCTACACCTTTCCTTATGTATGCTACCCCTTTCCTTACGTATGCTTCCATGCTTCCCCCTTCCCTTATGTATGCTTCCCCCGATCCTTTAAAAAGCAGCATTTAGAAATGCTCATGCAGTCAATGTATGATATCAGATTGATCTGAAACACAGATCTAGGATTGTACAGTGGATGCTTACAGCTGGTCCCCGGATCCATTCACTTGATATGATAATTGTTGTTCATGTAGTATAGTATAGTTTGGTCATACAAGCCTGGTTAATCAAGACTACGGGAATACATTTCGTTCAGTTAATTTCCGGTCTCAATTTTTTTGTGCGTATTTAGAACTAGCAACAACTTTTAAACTCACTACATCGGTAACTAATCATGTGGTTTTACGGTTAAATAAGAGTACATTAATTGACTCTGAACTGAGAACCGTTACAATATATACGTACAATCAACTAAATAAGAAATAAAATTGCTGAGTTTTAGCCAAAGTTTTAATCAAGTCCGTATAACTACGAATTTTTAAAAGTCCAACGTGTAAAGAAGATTTTTTTTCATGGCTTCATTGATAAATAAGTGAATGAATATTGTCACGTGATGGTCTATTTTGGGCAAATGTTTTCTGCCTTCAGTGCCCATGTGACCCCGTGACTGAGCTTTGCTGATTTACGTCGTGGTGATCGCAGATAGGGCTGGGTAAAATATCGATATAAATCGATAGTATCGATTGGACGGCCCAGAAAAGCACTATCGATAGCGGTGGGTTACTATCGATTATCGCTCTTCGTCTATTTTTCTTGCGTCTGAAATGTCAATGTTTTCTTTCAGTTAATCATAATACACCACTTACTTTAATTACTATCAAGTATCAATGTAACACATAACAAAATTGTGACTGCTTATTGAACAGCCGTTTTCATAAATTCACTCTCATTGAAACGTTACTTTAGTTTTGAAGAAATTATTGTTGAATATCGCTAAATCGGAGATACTCGGATGTGTAAATAAAGTTAGAGTTATTTCCCTTTGCAAGCTTCAGAATTCGTCTGCCATATTGATATTTTCGCGCGCACGTATGCAATGTTTTGAATCGGAACAAGTTCATTTTGGTCCCTTAACATAATTATTTACGATATTTCTTCATTCGGAACCACGGCTGCATTATTTTAATAATAAACAACATCAATTTACGTATATATACGTGATATAACAAGTTTTATTAATGTTTTCCAAATAAATCTCCTTAGACAGGAGCAAACGATCTTTCGCAACTTCGTATGGTTTTGAACTTTGAACTTACACTGTATCCAGTCTTGATGACGACCGTGAAAATAAGGTTGTTTTCGATACTATCGATTATCGACCGACATTTCATTGCCGATTATCGATAGTAAATATCATTATCGATACCCAGCCCTAATCGCAGATGAAACAGGCTGATAAGAAGGTAGTTTGTTTTATCAGTTTTGTTGTGTGGTTCTCCAGCACCTATTGATAGAATCCAAGATCTTTCTATTAATGATGCCTACCTTCTTCTGTGTCTTCATCAGGGAACATGGCCGAGCCGACAGATCTGGACGGTATTTCTTGTATCGGTCGTCCATTTTGTTCTACAACCATCTGTTGTTTGTTCATGGCGCCATCTCTATTTAACGGTGTCGTCCCTTCCGTTCCATCTGTAAAATATATTTTTAGTTAATTACAAAACAGCAATGAATGAATTAGGGATTTACATCCTATTTCTGAGTGGGGGGAGGGGGAAGGGGGGGGGTCTGTGGTCTGGGGGGCCAAATGACTATTTCTTCTAGATATTACAAAATTGGGGTCTACTAAAAAAGAATCCCCATCATACATTATGTCCCTTTTAGGATTTTGACATGAATTTGCAGATGCTCGATAGTCAGTTCTGAGTGACAGAAATGGACAGAATTGCAATCGAGTGATGCAGATTTCAGTCCTGCCACAGTTCTGTCAGTCCTGACTACGGAGGTGGTGTGAGTAGTTTGTGACGTAATTAAACACAACCAATATATTTTAACTGTGGCTGAGATATTGTCTTCCTCTGTCTGCGCATGCGTTAGAGCCCGAAATATTCCCTTTTCACGCGATTGTCACTATTTTGGGGATTAAGAGAATTCAATCAAGTATCCCCTTCCAGTTCAATAAGTTTTTTTAATTCTACCTGTACAATCAATAGACGATTCATAACTCGATGATGATATCTGGAAGTTGGAGCTGGTTGCGCTGGTACTCTGTCGACTGTGTGACCGAGGTGGGGTATGACATGGTACAATAATGGCCTCACCCACACTGTCACTAGTAATTGATCCTTGAATTCTACGTCCTTTAGGTACTGAGCCCTGAAAACAAATAATAATAATAATAATCGTTTTCTATAGCGCTGAACATTCAGTCAGTCTGACTGCTCTGTGACTCTTAATGGATATTTATTGTCAGTTCAGTGGTTGGTTGAAATCCATGGGCTGTTTGTATGTCATGAAACATATATCAAGAAAAAAAACAAAAACATGACCTGGGGCTTCATATCTCGTCAGCAGAATACCTTAGTCATTTTGAGATATAAAAAACCCATGTTTTTTTGTACCTTCCAAAGGACTAGGCATACTTTACTAGTAAGCCCACAGGCATCACCACTAACAAGACCAGACTTGAAAAATCCTGAAAGGTTCTTTTCGGTTTATCCTATGTTAGCTCAATAGCTGCCTGAGAAAATCTGTTTTATCCCTTCTGAAGGACTAGGCATACTTTCTTAATGAGCCCCACAGACATGACCATTAACAAGTTAAGACCAAACTTATAAAATCCTGAACAGTTCGTTTTATATACAGTGGACTCTGTCACATCCGACATCGTGTGGGATCGTTACAATAATTCGGATCACACAGCGTTTCGGAATACCGAGCTTTCTCCAAAACTGGAAATACTGTAACTTCGAAAACCGGAAGTATTTTTATATTGTAGCTTCGAATCACCAGAATGCTATTCCCTTTATAAATGATCAACTTTTCTGTACTTTCAAAATTTTATTATATTAAATAATTAACAATAACAATGCATGCGTACAATATATTCATAAAATCGTTTACATGTAATATCAATGCATGCGTACAATATATTTATAAATATCAATGCATGTAATCGTTTAAAGTAGTTTGCTTAGTTAAAATTACCGGAAGCATATCGTAAGGCGGAGTCCTGGGCAACATCTTCTAACAAATGAATTGTTGCGATCATCTTTTCGTCCTTAATCTGTGCGAAGTGTTTATTGTCGTTGAGCATGCGTAGGAATTTTGAATAGGTCAAGTCTGTCGTTAATGTATATTCTTCATCGTCCCTGTCTTCAGTCAATTGTCATTTATAATCTGTCGTTCTATGTCCAGTTTTTCAAGCCAATCAAAGTAAACGGCACCTGTCATCCAAGCTTTGCGATTGGCCGACCAATTGACTGGCAGGTAGATCTTGTCCACTCCCTTAAAACAACTCAGGTTCACTGCTTTACCGATCAAAGTAATCAACACAGTTTTAATCTCACCGATAATTGATTGGTGATTACTTGTTAATCTTTTCTGGCTTCACACCCATTGAGTTTTAATCTCACCGATAATTGGATGCTTCACACCCACCGTTTGAAGTACGGATTATACGGTGTCGATTCAATGGAAATTATGTGACGGGACGGCTGATTGATTTCGGAATCCGGAACAAACAGAATTCGGATTTACCAGTGATTTTTTGGCTGAAGTAATAAGGAAATAAATCGGGACATGAAAATCATACCGGATGTCACAGCAATCCGGAGTGATCAGAGATCGGATGTGACAGAGTCCACTGTAGTTTAAAATTTCATTTTACTTTTCTTTACTACACTAGGATCTGGAAGAGTTGTTATATAACCCGCGTACTGCTTGATGTTGTTGTGATGGATTAGCCAATCAAACGAGTGGGTATTCCACTAGAAACATCAATGATGACGTCATAGAATCAAAAGTCGCTTGTATAACCCCTGATCCGACCTTCGACTACAACCGGTCAGATGTTCATGTAGTGTAGGTCATCGAAAGTATAAAAAAACGAAACGAAATATAGATCTGTATTTTAATCAGATTGTGAATAAACAACATTGCATACACTCTGATCAACATTTGACAAATCGTTAATACTGTAAAACATGAAATTATTGCGAGTTGGGGTGGTGAAACATAATTGCGACATGAAATTATTGCGAATTTCTATAGTGGGGAAAAAATTATTGCGACATGAAATTATTACGAATTTAAATAATTTTTTTTAGTAAATTTGTCTATAAAATGTGGTAGATTGTTAATTTTGAGGTGACAGTCGGCTCTTTAAAACATCGGTTGATTGGTGATCATTAGTAACAGCAAATAGTTTAAACTTGTCATTGGTACCAACCTTCGATACTACTGTCTATCATTGTGATGCATTCGATAATATTTATCCATTTTTGTGAAGAAAATCGATGAATAAATTTTATTTTATCAAAAAAAGCACATGAACAAAAAAACACCGCTAATTTTATCTTCTATTTACAGGGGGTGTAACTCTGTATGTAATATTATAGGAGGCACTAAAACGTTTGTTTAACAATAAAGTGACCGCTTACAAGGAGATGTCGCTGAATAGGAGTGGATGCTCATACAGCCTCTAATGTACTTATTGGGACTCTTTCTTGTGAAGAGTAATGAGGGGGGGGTAATTCAATATGGCCGACATTTTAACGAATTTTCACAAAATTATTGCGAACATGAAATTATTGCAAGAGGGCCTCGCTCGCAATTTTCGCAATAATTTCATGCTCGCAATAATTTCATGTTTTACAGTACCTTGAAATATTACGAAAATTGAACCCATTAAAAATAATAGCACAATCTGATTAAAATACAGATCTATATTTTGTTTCGTTTTTTTATACTTTCGATGGCCTCTACTAGTACATGGAGATCTGACCAGTTGTAGCGATAGGTCGCGTCAGAGATCATACGAACAGCTTTTGACCTATGACATCAGACATTTGATTAACCAATCAACATTGATGTTACTAGTGGATTACCCACAGTTCCGTGCAAAACACGCCTAAAGCTCGCTGTAACAGACCGTTTCATTGGGTAATCCCTCACATCATTCAGAACACGTCAATGATAACAACTCTTCCTGATCCTAGTGTAGTAAAGACAAGTAAAATGAAACGAAATATCAGATTAATAATAGAAGTCAAAATCTGTTCAGTATTGTAAAAATAAAAATAGAAGCGGAAATATTTTACTTACAACTTGTTCTTGACCTCGATTTGCGTTCAATTTCTCCATCTGCGTGGACAGCGCACTCTCTGCTTCTGCTAGTTTGGCTTTCTTCGGTCCAATTCCAATAATCTTCGCTACTTTGTCGTAAAGATCAATAGCTTGAACCCATCGACATAAACCTTCACATGCTGCCGAAACTTTCTTAATATAATTAGGTTCAAATTCGGGGTTTGATAAATACCTACAGGTAAAAAAAGCAATATTTAGAATTATTTATGACAGCATGCCATGTCAGTTTAACTGTCCGTCAGTCCTGATTGGTAAATCTTACATAATGCATCTATTTCATCTATACAGATATTGTTTACTCTGGTTAGGTTGACAGAGTAAACAACATTTTATCAGAGAGAGAGAGAGAGAGAGAGAGAGAGAGAGAGCAAACCAGAGGACCCGGATAAAACACACAACAAGGTTGGAAAGACGACTCTAATCCTTGTCATGTGCAAGCGGGGAATCGAAACCACGCCCGTTGACTAAATGACAGACCTTATAATACAACACAAATGCACGCTTTAACATATTTGAACACCCCCCCCCCCCACACACACACCCCACCCCACCCCCCCATTTGATCAGAGAATTTGTGAGCAGGACTAGATTAAATTTTAGCTCTAAATGTTGATCAATGATGAAAAGGCTGAATATTATATACTTACTTTTCTCGTACCCGTTTCATCACACCTGACGGAATATTGTCTTTATCAAAATTCCTCATTCGATCCAAGAAACAATATGCTAATAATTTCTTTGATGGTATCCAGAAATCTTCAACCATTTTTCCAGCCTGACCTTCAACAGGTCTGCGTTCTGGTTTTATACCCAAAATAACACAGATCGATTCCAGAACCAGTTTTACTAGAGCAGGTGGATTCTAAAATAATCATAAAATATGAAATGATATGAAATGGGGTTTAACGTCCTACTGTTCTGCTTCGACTGAGATAATGAAGACGGGTATACGCCATACAGTGTGCTATGAAGAGAGGAAGAGAGAGAAATGGGGTTTAACATCCACTTGACACAAACTACGTCATTTCTGGACTAACATATGGTTTAATTTTATTTCAGTAATTCGCCTGCGCGTAGGGGTCTTTAACAGTAGGAGGAATAGTGGAGGACCTGGAGAAAACCCACGAGGTTGGATAGGCAACCCTACTCCTTGTTACATACATGCAGGGAATTGAAAACAAGCCCCTTGACTCAATGACAGACCGTAAGATGAAATGCCACATTCGACCACCCGACCCCCCCACTCTGTGTGTTGAATGTAAAGTGTGATCATTTAACATTACTTACGATCATAGATCTAATTAATACAATATCGCTCTTAGGCAATGCATTAAGAGCCGACAAGGCTGCCTCTACTGCTGGTAACGCTTCAGCTAAACTCTCTTCACATTCAGCTAATTCAGCCTCGCACTCCTCTACGACAGCCTGGGCATCTGCTGTAGCTTCATCTGTCTCACCTGATGCCACATCCCCTGCTACTGCCTACAATAAACAAATATTACAACATGTTATGAAGGAAGTCATGTAGGAATCAAACAGGGTTACAAACCTACTGTTCTGCATCAACTGGGCTAATAAAGACTATACAGTGTCCTGGTTAGCGAAACAGTGCCTTACTCGCTGAGCCACCACGGCTCCCACAAATCATGTCATCTCTTGAAGAACAGCAACAAAATTTTATCCTTCTCAAGGTAAGGTTCATCAACAATTTCAAAAACTGTGAAAAAGAAAACTTGATAGTGGTGAAACATGTATAGTGCTGGTATATTTTCATCAGGCACTGGTGAATCATATCAAGTATTGGTTAATCATGTAAAGTGCTGATGAATCATCTAAAGTTCTGGTGAATCATCTGACATGCTGGTGAATTATGTAAAGTGCCGTCAAATTATCCAAAGTGGTGATGAATTATGTAAAGTACTGGTGAATCATGTAAAGTGTTGATGAATCATTTAAAGTGCTGATGAATAATGTAAAGTACTGGTGAATCATCTAATGTGTTGATGAATCATCTGAAGTGCTGATGGATCATTTAAAGTCCTGGTGAATTATCTAAAGTACTGATAAATCATCTAAAGTGCTGATGAGTCAGCTGATGGATCGTGTAAAGTGCTGATGAATCATCTAAAGTGCTGATTAATCATCTAAAGTGCTGATGAATCATGTAAAGTGCTGATGAATCATGTAAAGTGCTGATGAATCATCTGAAGTGCTGATGAATCATCTAAAGTGATGGTGAATCATCTAAAGTGCTGATGAATCATCTAAAGTGCTGATGAATCATGTAGAGTGGTGTTAACTTGTAAATATGTGTTTTACTATAATAAGTTACCTGGTTCTTTAAACAAGTATTCTGTATATCCTTCAAAAATAAAATCACTAAATTCATTTTTCATTTCTCTAAACCTTTTTAATGAGATAGCCAATGGCCACTTTGGACCGAGGGGGATGTAATTTGATAGCGGCTATAATTAATCACTTATCGAAAGCTCATTTTCCATTCTATATCGAAACCACATCACTTGACTCAATGACAGACCTTAAGGTCTGAAATGCGTCATGTTAAACCATTCATGCTCCCCCCCACCTCCTGCAAGTTTATACAATTATTAATCATAGACCATTAATAAGTATAATGCTGTACCTGTTCACAGACGATCTGATGATCGGTTCGATGTAGAGCCAGAAACGGATAACACGATAAAATACAATTATCAGCTGTAGCCGTGATAAATATCTTGAAACTGTAAAAATAATTTCATATATTCCCATTATAGAATAATATCATGTGTAGACATTAAAATATAATTTTTTCAAACGCAGGCTTTACAATATAATTTCATAATTTCCCAAAACATAATTTCATAATATGTTCCCATTATAATTTCATAATATATACCCATTAAAATTAAATTTCATATATTCCTACAAAATGTGTTTCCATTGCAAGGCACTCCCTCCTGCATCACTGAAAAGGGAAAACCACGCTGGAAGCCTGAGCTACTTTCTCGCCAAGTCTGGGATCGAACCCGTGACTACCTGGTTAATGAGCAAGAACGGTACCTCTAAAATAATTATGTGATATTTTACCTTTGACCTTCTGTATCCTTGAAGATGATTGGTTGAGAGAATGAGATTGGTTTTGTACTGACAAACGTAACTTTACATCTCAAACTACAAGGATCCATCTGACCGCTGTCACCACAACATGGCTGGATATCTGATCAAAATAATATATAAACAAAAATATTAAATCAAATGGGTTTAAGCTACTACTCTTCGACTTATGATGATGGAATACTTCATACATCATGCTATGAAGGACTAATTAAAATTGGCATACATCATGCAGTATGCTAAGAGAGAGAAATGGGGTTTAACGTTTAACTAGGTCATTTCGGGAGTAACATATGGTTTAATTTTATTTCAATAATGCGCTTGCGCGTAGGGGTCTTTAGCAGTGAGAGGAAACCGGAGGACCCGGAGAAAACCCACGAGGTTGGACAGGCAACCCTACTCCTTGTCACAGTATGTTAAGAAGGACTAATGATGATCGCATACATCATGCAGTATGCTATGAAGGACGCATGAAGAAGGGCATACATCATGCTACTTTGAAGGACTATTGAAAATGGGCATAAACCATACAGTATGCTATGAAGGACAAATGAAAATGGGCATACATCATGCAGTATGCTATGAAGGACTAATGAAGATGACATGCATCATATAGTATGTTATGAAAGAACTTTTGAATGGATGACATTCCCGCCTACTGTATCAAATTCCAACTGACAGTTCAACTGTCAGATATTTTACTCTCTGGTACTTACCGTGACCTTGACTAAAAGATATTTTTAACGGTGATATTTTGCTGCCATCTTCACATTCAACTTGTGGTAGTTCAACATCTAATGGAGTCACTCTGAAATTATTTTAAACACATAAATTACAATTGGCTTTAATAACAAAACTTAGGGAATTGCAGTGGCTCAGTGAGTAAACGCTGGCTCGAAGCCAGGATGTTCAGACAGAGAGAGATGGGATTTAACGTTCACTCGACACAAACTAGGTCATTTTGGGACTAACATACGATTCATTTTTATTTCAATAATTCGTTTGCTTGTAGGGAGGAAACTGGAGAACCCGGAGAAAACCCACGAGAATGGACAGGCGACCCTACTCCTTGTCACGTACAACCGGGGAATTGAAACCACGCCAGTTGACTCAATGACAGACCTTAAAATACAACGTGCACGTGATAACCATTCGGCCATCCACCATACCCTCATCTCGGGTTCACTACTGGACATAACTCTAACTTGCATCATTTACAATGAATTAATTACTCATTTGATGAACTGGTGACTTGATCAAGACTTTTTAAGACTTGGGACTCAATTGGTACTAAAGTCAGTGACTTGAGACTCAACTCAGTATAAAGTCAGTGACTTGAGACTAAACTCAGTATAAAGTCAGTGACTTGAGACTCAACTCAGTATAAAGTCAGTGACTTGAGACTCAACTCAGTATAAAGTCAGTGACTTGAGACTCAACTCAGTATAAAGTCAGTGACTTGAGACTCAACTCAGTATAAAGTCAGTGACTTGAGACTCAACTCAGTATAAAGTCAGTGACTTGAGACTCAACTCAGTATAAAGTCAGTGACTTGAGACTCAACTTAGTATAAAGTCAGTGACTTGAGACTCAACTCGGTATAAAGTCAGTGACTTGAGACTCAACTCGGTATAAAGTCAGTGACTTGGGACTCAACTCGTGGTCCTGTGACTTGTTCCCACCTCTAGGAAGCAGAATCCACGCTAGCATGTAAAACTGTACAGGCTGAAAAGAATTAAAAAGAATCTTACTTTTTATATTGCGAAGCTAGAAGATTAAATTCTCCTGATATTTCTGTTAGTAACGGAACAGGAGTCAGACACAGGGAAGGAGGATCAAACCAGATCTTGGGTGCCTTCAGTTCCCCCATAACTTGTAAATATTGATAGGGTTTCGTCCATTCCTCATTAACTATAATCGGTACGACAGCCTCGTATCGACCTGGAGCATCTGAAATATAAGAGAGAAATATGAAATGTAGTAATTATAATGTCCTACTCATCTGCATCAACGGGCATTCAGTGGTCTCATTCCAATCTACTGCAATATATCCTGGGTTCATCTGAGGGGGAGACATGTATTCAAATTATCTGCCCTTTATCATTCTAAGAACCAATAAAAAAAAACAGGTTACAAATCAGTCTTAGCCTCATTGCTTACGTTCATAACAATATGGTGGCTTGTTTAAGTTGCAACAAGATGAGATTTAGTTTCTTTCACCAACTTCCTTTGTATTTAACGACTTTTTTGATTGGTCGTTAAAAATAGCACAGTCATCAAGGGCAGATAATTTGAATACATGTCTCCCCATAGTTGGAGTAGAATGGAATGAGACCACTGCGGATACCGAGAATGTGTGCTATGGGGGAATTTTTTTCGGGACAGCAGAAACAAGAGAGGGGACGACAACACTCTATTAAAAAGTAGCAGAGACTGGACAGGCCTTGTCTATGATATCACCTTAGGTGAAATTGGATGTAAAACATTAGGAACGAACGAACGAATGGACAGGCTGGCAGATCTGTGTAGCTGCTGGGTGAAATTATGATGTCGGCAGAGACAGTAGACATTTTTAAATATCTAATGAACATATACTTACTGGGACAGAACAAAATAACTATAGACTGAGTTTTTCCTGGATCTAATTCTCCTTCTATACCACAACCACTTCCACTCTTCATAAACGGTAATCCTGTTGGATGAAGGAACTTCAAGATACCTTCATCCAACGCTCTCGACGGTTGGGATAAATCTAATGCCCATTTTAACATCTTATCACTGTTGTTGACCAATACAAAATTCTGAAAAAAATCAGTAAGAGTTTTGATGTTAATTTTGTTTTATAATTCTAACCATGACCATTTTTGTTGACTGACCATGGACAATCAAGCTAACTCACCCTGACTGACCATGGACAATCAAGCTAACTCGCCCTGACTGACCATGGACTATCAAGCTAACTCACCCTGACTGACCATGGACAATCAAGCTAACTCACCATGACTGACCATGGACAATCAAGCTAACTCACCCTGACTGGCCATGGACTATCAAGCTAACTCACCCTGACTGACCATGGACAATCAAGCTAACTCACCCTGACTGACCATGGACAATCAAGCTAACTCGCCCTGACTGACCATGGACAATCAAGCTAACTCACCCTGACTGACCATGGACAATCAAGCTAACTCACCCTGACTGACCATGGACTATCAAGCTAATTCACCCTGACTGACCATGGATAATCAAGCTAACTCACCCTGACTGACCATGGACAATCAAGCTAACTCACCCTCCGTGGCCATGGACTATCAAGTTAATTAACTCCCTCATCTGCTCATTGTACATTTAAATTGGTGCGGGCATTTCATCTTGTCATTGTTATGTATGGTTTCAGTTATGTTGTTGTATTTTGTCTATATATATATATTTGCCTCATATTTGTATTATTTTATTAGCTTGATAACGTTGAGAGAATAGCCTACTCTTCAAAAATTGTTTTAAAATACACTAGTAGCTGATTTCCATAAGTATGTGTTTTCGTTGCATGTCCATGTAGTTTGAGAAATTGAAAATTAATGAATTGGGAAGTGGGGGTGAGGACAAAACCGAAATGCCTGAAAAAATTACGTGTTTAGAAGTTGGCTGGAAGAAATTTAATGTATGAATTATTCTGAAGATCATGGAATGCTCCTATTAAAGAGATCATGGCATGCTCCTATTACAGAGATCATGGTATGGTCCTATTAAAGAGATCATGCCATGGTCCTATTAAAGCGATCATGGCATATTCACTTAAAGAGATCATGGTATGGTCCTATTAAAGAGATCATGGCATATTCACTTAAAGAGATCATAGCATGTTCACTTAAAGAGATCATGGCATGTTCACTTAAAATGATAATAACATGTACATTTAAAGAGGTTGTGGCATGTTTAATTAAAAAAAGTCATGGCATGCTTATTTAAAAGAGGTTGTGGCATGCTCAATTAAGAGGCCACGGCATGTTCAATTAAAAGAGGTCATGGCATGCTCATTTACCTGGTAAAAGAGGTCACAGTATGTTCAGTTACAATTTTTATATATACAGAAGACAAATGTATAAACATTTAAACACATGCATCCATGCAATTGTCAGTCAACATCATCAGCTGTTATATACATTCACAAAAATATTAACTGAGGACCCTTCGCAACCACATCCCTTAATCAGAGGCTTCGTGCAACCATACTTCTTAGTTGAGGGATGTATGCAACCACACCATTTAAGTAGAGACCCTGTGCAACTATACTTCTTAGTTGAGGGCCCTGTGTAACCACACCTTTTAAGTAGAGGGCCCTGTGTAACCACACCCCTTGAGTAGAGGGCCCTGTGTAACCACACCCCTTGAGTAGAGGGCCCTGTGTAACCACACTCCTTAAGTTGAGGGCCCTGTGTAACCACACTGCTTAAGTTGAGGGCCTTGTGTAACCAAACCCCTTAAGTTGAGGGCCCTGTGTAACCACACCGCTTAAGTTGAGGGCCCTGTGCAACCATTAGATATGTTAGAAAAACAACTTAATATTATTATAGGAACAATAAAGAACAATTGATATTAATGATATTATAAGAACAATAAAGAACAACTTGATATTATAGGAACAATAAAGAACAAACTGATATTAATGATATTATATGAACAATACTATAAACAACAACATCTGTCTCCAAACATATAACTACCTTTTCATTTAACTGTAAACAAACAAAAAATATAATCAATAAAGGGAATAAGATTTATTTCTTTAAAAAAGTTTTTGATGATCTAAAGCGCAACGGTTCGACCAGTCATCCTGAAGAACTTTTTCAACCGATTAGCAGAATACTCACTAAGCCACCTATATAAATTGTCATAAACATGTATTACAAAATACAGTGCATAAAGTTTGAAAATTCAAAACATATATAGCGAAACAAGTTTATTATTATTGTTAAAATTCTTGTTAATTAACAAGCAAATCTAGTAAAGCAGTACAGAAAGGAATAGCGAATAAAATAATTATTTTGATGTTGGTTAAAACAACCTTTCAGTTGCCATGGATTTTATATGTTGATTTGTATTGTGAGATGACAATATGTCTACCATGAACATTTTACCTATATAGATCAAATTGGTAGACAAAATTTCAATCATTTAAAAAAAAAAAAGGTCTGCTTAATAGCTCCTTTAATCCTGGGGTTTAGCTCCTTTAATCCTGGGGTTTTATTCAGAAAAACTTAAATCACTGTACGGTATCCTTTTCGTTAGCCAACAGCCAGGATTAATACTAGGATTTTAACGCCTATCCAATCAAAAGTCTGCATTTTAAAATGTTTTAAATGATATTTGTGGTCTAAACCCTTGGTCATATGTAGGTTACTTCCCTTGATTGGAAGTCTTTGGTAAGCTTCTTTGCAGGAGGTCACCTGGGCCTGATATCTAGAAAATTTTTCAGAACGTTCTTGTGCTTAGATTTAAAGTAGATTTCAGTGTAAGCACAAACACGTTATTAGACTGATACTTGATTTGTGCTTACGTAAAAACGGTCTTAAGAATTTTCTAGAGACGGTAATTTATACAGTTTCTTACGCAAGAAAAAGGGGAAGCATGACTTTGTGCTTACTTTTCAGAATTTTCAAGGAACCGGGCCCAGGAGGTGAGGTCTGCCATCTTGTTTGTTGGATCCAAGAACATGTGCTTTGGTTTGTCAATGTAAAATGAATAAATATCTTGAAACATTAACTTATGATTTCGTGAATAAGCCCCCATACATGTGATTGGCCACAAGTAAAATGTCAGGAGATTTTTGTAAAAATGTCAGGAGAATTAAGGTCAAAAGAGGGAGACTTTAATTATGTTTTATTGTGCAGAAATTGCCGTGAATACGAGACTGACGTAAGCGCGCGATGTCAAAGTTTCAGTTTTGCAAAGCGGTAGCTTCCGGGGCCCGTAGCTTCCGACTAATTACGTAATATTAGAGCGTTGTGTTGGTCATTGTAAAATTTATTTAACATCGAAAATCATGAATATTACGACCAGGACTTTATTAATTTCGTATAAAAACAATAATTATCGTGTTATTTAAATGGTATTGTTCCAAATACAAAAACATCGAAAATGTATTCAGACCGTGTTACTAATTATAATAACGCTGTGTTACTAATTATAGTAACGCCGTGTTACTAATTATAGTAACAACATTCAACACTTAACAAAAAAAAAGTCTGTCTCGTTTTATTTCGATGCTATTTGATTACAATTTTGACTCCCAAAAAATAAAATTACAAGAATTGAAAAAAGCGGGAGTATTTGTCTCCTGATCGGGAGCTCGGGAGATCAGGGGTGAAATCGGGAGACTCCCGCAAATTGCGGGAGGTATCACATGTATGTAAGCCCCGTGGAGTCTAGATCAAAGAATTTTAGCTCCTTTGAAATGTTTTAACTTAAGATTTCGTGAATAAGCCACATGGAGTCCAGATCAAAGAATTTTAGCTCCTTTAAAATGAGACACAATAAATCAACAAACCTTGGATCCTCCAAAACCTGTATTCATCGTAACATCGTTAAAACTTGACGGCAGATTAAATTCAATACGATTAGTTGATAACTGTAATGGCTGACGCAACGCCGTGGCAACCACATGCTTTCTTGGCGTGACAACTATAGCAGGTCTAGGTCGAGGGTTGATGATGTGTTCCAAGCTGTTCTTCTGGGAGGGTACTGGAGTAGGGGGGAAGGGGGTGGGAGCAGGTGAGGGGGCTCCGATATGATTTACAACCACTGGCATAATGAAGTCATAGGCTGCAACCTGAAAACAGAAATTATTCTCTCAATATAATGCATGAATACATAAACTGTTTAATAGAGAGAAATGGGGTTTAACGTCCACTCGACACAAACTAGGTCATTTTGGGACTAACATATGGTTCAATTTTATTTTAATAATTCGATTGCGCTTTGGGGTCTTTAGCAGTTGAAGGAAACTGGTGGAACCAGAGAAAACCCACGAGATTGGACAGGCGACACTACTGCTTGTCACGAACAACCGGGTAATCGAAACCACGCCAGTTGACTCAATGACAGACCTTTTGATACATCACGCACACGTTAACCATTCAGCCATCCAACCTCCCAACGAATCTGAGAAGAATATGACTGTTTGAGTCAGCCGATCAGGGCAGGTATCAATAACACAAGAAGTGCATTGAGCGGTTACCTAGGTGACTTATTTTACAGTCTGACCACAACTTATATATTCCTACCTCTCTTGGCATGAATGTTAATTCCCCCGTTATAACCTCTTCAGGTCGAAGACCGACGCTGTACATTCCCGGATTCATCATCTGATAGGTATAATCATCTACAATATATAGAAATTATTTTTTTAATATGTGAGACATATTGTACAGAGAGAGAGAGAGAGAGAGAGAGAGAGAGCTAAACGCCCACTGGACATAAACTAGGTCATTTTGGAACTAACATATGGCTAGTAGTCGGAGGAAACCGGAGGACCCAAAGACAACCCATGATTTTGGGTATTGGCGTGCATGCAAAAGAACCATTGACAGTTGGAATTCGAAATAAGAGTAGGTCGTATAGCGCCGCTGTCCGGACAAAATTCAAAATAAGAGTGGCCGTATCCCCAGTGATCTACCAACTTTTCCCTCATAGCACACTGTATGGCGTATGCCCGTCTTCATTAGCCCAGTAGGAGCAGAACAGTAGAACGTTAAACCCCTTTTTATTTCATTTCTTTATTGGGAGCAAAATGGGATGTAATCACTCACCAGAAAGTAAGATATCTATATTTAAATAATTTGTTTGTGTTGGGGTGAGAAGGAAAGAGAGAGAGAGAAATGGGGTTTAACGTCCACTCGACACAAACTAGGTCATTTCGGGACTAACATATGGTTTAATTTTATTTCAATAATTCGCTTGCGCGTAGGGGTCTTTAGCAGTGGGAGGAAACCGGAGGACCCGGAGAAAACCCACGAGGCTGGACAGGCGACCCTACTCCTTGCCACGTACAACCGGGGATTCGAAACCACCCCAGTCGACTCAATGACAGACTTTATGATACAGCGCGCGCACGCTAACCATTCAGCCATCCAACCCCCCGGGTGAGAAGGAAACAAAAGGACACAGAGAAAACCCACAAGGGTGGGTAGACGACCATAATTATTGTCTAGGATACACAATTCCACTTTCCAGTTTCCACCATAGCAATTCTCCCAATAGAAAAGTAGGTTTAACATCCACTGTACATAAACTAGTTTTTTCTGGGACTAACATAATATGGTAATGTTTATTCGATAAGTCTTTAGTTATGGGGGGGGGGGAGGGGGGGGTAAGTTTTCAATTCATGTCTTTTAGTTGAATTTGTGTTTGCCATCAGGTTTTTATACATGCTTGTATTGATGTTATTAATGGTTGAATAAATATGGCATAGATATTATGAGTTTTTCAGGGGGAACCATAGGACCCAGAGAAAACTCCTGGGGATTAGGCAAGCGACCTGGGTTACATACACGTCTGGGATCGAACCACAACTTGAGTCAATGACAGACCTTATGATCTAAACTCGGGCGTTAAATGACTTCTCATTCCCTCAGATATTTACCTTGTGACTGTGATCCAGGAAAATTGAGAGTAAAATCTTTAAATCTTGTCAAATCAAATTCTACTTTTGCTTTAGTTACTGTCTGTAATTATAAATTGTTAAAGATATACTATGTAAGATTTAGATAAAGAACTGGTTGCTCGTACTATAATAGTTCAAAAATAGATAATATGTAAAATTAATATATTGAAAAATATAGTCTCGAATCGATTATCCAAATTATTGTAAAAATTTTAAATCTTGTGGTCAGTCTCAACATGTAAATCATGTGCATCTGATCGAGTTGATTATGGGCTTGATAATAAATGTCTCAATAAAAATTTATATAGAACATTTGAAGCCAAAATAAAGACCTGCAAAAGGCAGATTTAGCTCTTAAGAAACGGCATGTATGTAAGAGTTACCTACCTTATTAATCAATTTAAAGGGAACTTGGGTTCCAGATCCACAATAAACTCCACCAAGATGGAAAGATGGCTGGAAAAATAACAAATATAATAATATATGCTAAACTAATACAATGAATTTCACAAAACCTCAATAAATAAAGAGAGAGAGAGAGAGAGAGAGAGAGAGAGAGTTTAACATCCACTGACACAAACTAGGTCATTTCGGGAGTAACACATGGTTCAATTTTATTTCAATAATTTGCTTGCCCGTAGGGGTCTTTAGCAGTGGGAGGAAATCGAGGGACAGAAGACCCACGAGGTTGGACCCTCTATAAATATATATAAATAATAACGCTACCGTACACAACTGCATGGTGAATATGGTAGAGAGACCAATACAAAAACAACAAATACTTTGATGATAAAACAAGATTTACATACAAAATATTTAAAGGAACAATAAACAATAATATTTAATGTCTATTTTATGTCTATTTTAAAGCTAAAAGCTGAAAGCTAAATTTTGAGTTACGATTTTAGTGCTTGGCCAATCAGTATTCTTCAAATATTTTAGCTTAAGTTTGGATGAGTACAAGGCCCTAGGACATCTATCTAAATCCCCTGACATAAAATCATGAACAAGACCTTATCTCACGACACACAATTGAGAATAAGGCCCTAAGACCTGTATCTCATGACACAATCATTAATAAGGCCCAAAGTCCTAGCTATTTCATGACATACAATAAAGAACAAAATCCCTGGGTCCTGATCTTAGAAAATAAAATCACAGAATAAAAGATAAAACATGCCAAATCAATATCAACAGGAGACTCAACGATACACCTCCAATCTGTAGCTCAAAAAATAATCCTAAATAAGGACCCATGACGTTACCTCAGTCATAACATATAATGATTAATAAGGCCCCAGGACCCCTACCACAACATGGAATCAAGGATAAGAACCCAGGACCTCTATCTCATGACATAAAATGATTAATAAAGCCCCTGGGTCCCTATCTCATGACATAAAATGATTACTAAGGCCCCAGGGCCCATATATTGCGACATAAAATCACAGTATAAAATATAGAACGTACCAGATCAATATCAACAGCCGGTGACTCCACGGTACCTCCCATTCGTAACTCAATACATTTACCTCCCTTGATTGAAATCTGTATCCTTGTATCAAACTTTAATACCGCGTCTGGTGTTAACGCTACTTTTATCTCTGTGGTGCCACCTACTGGTATTACACCATGTACAGGTGATACTGTTAATCCTGGGAATGGATTCGGATCTAAAACCTAGAAAATAAAAAACAAACAGGTCAGGTTTAATTCTACACGAGGAAGATTTCAAATTGGCTCCTCCTACAAAGTGTTTCTTTACTCTCAGTTTTTTTTTACATTGATAGGCTATTGAAGCAGGTTACCAAACAAGGTGTCGCTTTCTCGCTGGCAAATAAATACAAACATGACAGGTTTAAACTTACGGGAGGAAGACAAAAAAACGGTGGCCTGTTCGTTAATTTATACTTTTTTCTAATAATTTACCTCATACAAGAAAGATTCACTCTGCAATACAACGAACGAGTGTTTCGAAGACAAAAGGTTTCCATCATGGAGAAAATGTTTTTCATGGTTTCTTGATTTACCACAGTTTTCATTGCGAAACAATCGTTCAGTGTATTGCAGCGTGGATGTTTCTCATATTAGGTAAACTGCTCTACTTCCAACTTTCAAGGAATTACACAGATGTTAACGATTAGATTAGATTACACAGGTAACACTTGGTTTTTCTCCAAATCTGAAAGACTTGTCTCCTTACCATGCTGGAAAATCCAGCAGAACTGACTCAGTCAACACTAACACTTGAACATGGTACAGATTGACACAGTATCGAAACAGTGTAAAATGAAAGCAGAATTGTGTATAGATAGAAGTAAGCGTGGTTTGAACCTGTATAAAATGAAAGTAGAGTTATATATACCTGAAAGTAAGCATGATTTGGTCCTGTATTATGTAATAGAGCTGTTCTAACTGTTGATAAATTAACAGGAACCTGACCAAACATAATACGACGCTCAACAAAATGTACATTTGAATGACCCAACTGAAAAATAAATATAAACAAATGTAAAATAACAACAACAATAAATAATAATCAAATAACACACTTTATGGAATAACAGTTACTATAGTTTATTACAGGGTGACTTTTAACGAGATTTCACAAGTCATTATCAAACATATACACAAATATGTGTTGATATATGTTCGATTAACGATTTGTGAAATCTCATTGAAATGTTGCAGTGAAATAAACCATAGTAATTGTTATTTGACAATGTTGCAATTACTATAATATATGCCATTCAAAGAATAAAATATAATGATAATAAAATATAATGATAATAAAATGATAATAAAATATAATGATAATAAAATATAATGATAATAAAATATAATAAAATATAATGATAATAAAATATAATGATAATAAAATTGCATTCTTTATACTAATATGCTTTAAAGTAAACAAATAATTAAACAATTACGATCGTTTTATGGACCAGGAACTGACCATAATGTTCGATGAAATTCAAAAATTTAATTCACCAAATCGATGCAGAATTATTCAAAGATGAAGTATGCCATTCATTAATTGACGGAGCCTTAGGCTTTTTCGAAGAGCGTCACCCCAAGAAGAAGAACAATAAAAACAAGATGAGTAGCACTTAGCGAACTGTTACTGGTAAAATAAAATTAAATATTTTGATCAGAAACTGTCATGTACTACGACCTACTTTTATTGATCCCCAACTGTCAGGGGATCCTTAACGTGATTCCAATGGTAGGGTGGCCCACCATAAATAAATATCTCATATATCTCCATATATCTCGACAATTACGCCACAATATTTATATATATGCCAAGCCTCAAATCAGTTTCACACAATTATAGTCACTAAATAAACGATCATGTTGTACTTAATAAGCTATGACCATTAATCATCTATAAATAATAGACTGAAAACTGGTTCCAAGTGTCGTCCATAACATCCAGACACTTTTGAGTAAAAGATAGGTTACGTGCCCTTGTTTTGAAATTAGTCTCGCTTAACCAGTCTATCGACCATTCTACGTCTGATTGACAGGTCGGGATAATGAAGATTACTTTTTTACGAAACATAACAGAAAGCTAGAACAAGAAATTGAATTTAGAAATAAGCACGTTAGGTAGCTCAACAATCGTTTTAAGAACCTTGTAAAAGTAAAATGAAACTACTGCTAGTATAATGTTCCTGTCTAAACCGAGTGATTCAGAGATATTATTTGTACTAAACCAAAAGATGCCGCTCTTAACGGTACAGTTAATGATAAAGCGATTTAAAAAATGAAACGAACGTAATTTCTAAATCTGCTGTAATAACCAAGAAGCTTAACTTCACTGCTATTCAAAATCGTCAACAATAAATTTTTTACGGCTGTAATAGTTGATAGATTTGTAGAGAATTGCACGTGCCATGGCTATTCATAGTATCATACTGTCAGAAAGTTGGTCTCGGCACGGCGAATGTGCACGCTTCAGTGGTAGTCTCGAACTATCAGCGGTGGACTTTATTTCTGTAGAGTACATGGGTCACCCTACCAATGGTATGCATGTGAACCCATTTTTTGTTCCCATCCAAACAAACAGGTACTATTCCCCCTGATAACGAGAATGCTGAGCAACAACCCAATTCAACCGGCGATAAAATTTAATCTATAACAAACTAACCTCAGCATAACACTGTAACGGAACACTCGTACCGCCGATAATATCCAGTGAAAATTCTCCATCTAATGGTGCCAGGTAGGATGGATGCCAGACTACTTCACAATCTAAAGACTTAAAAGCTTTCACGCTTCCTGGAATCATAAAAAAATAAATTGAAGGCATTGTGAATTTTTCTTTAAACATATATTATGCAAGAGCTAAATCTGCCTATTGCAGGTCTTTCTTTAGGCCTAAAATGTTATCTAAATTATTAATTAGACATTATTAAACTTATCCACACCATAATCAACTCGCTAGCCTGCGTTATTTTCTGGATTTGAATACATTTTGTGAAGGATGATTTAATGTCAAAATGGATAGTCAAGACTTTGTTTTTTATCGTACCAACTTTAGTAATGATGATCAAGGCTAGGCCTAAAATTCAATCTCTAATATCTCGGGGTTCAGTATGGAGCAATTGGACTGAAATTTTCAGCATATTCTCTTTACGTTATTTTTTTTTTTGAACTATTATAGTGAGAAATGTCAGCTCTTTATCTAATCTCCTATAATGGCCCTTTAACAAAGTAGTATTCGACACAGAGAGAGAGAAAGAGTTTTCCCAGTCCATTCAACACAAACTAGGTCATTTTGGAACTAACAAATGGTACAATGTTTTATTTCATTAATTCGTTTGTGCATACGGGTCTTTAGTCGTGGGAGTAAACCGGAGCACCCGGAGAAAACCTACGAGGTTGGGCTTATGACAAAAAGTCCAAGTGTTAGACAATTCGGCCATGCAACACCACCTTTTGTACCTGAAGCTGATCAAATATACAGATATTTATTAAAATGAATGTAAATCAAGTTAAAACCTGTCCTACCTGAAGCTGGTCTAATAGAGAATGCTGTGCCCTTTTCACCGATTTTAGGCGACCATCCGAAATCAGCATTATGATTATATCTGTTATATAATGTAATAACACCACGTATACCTGTATAAAATATAATATCACCATGGATACAGGTATATAATATATAACCATGGATACATGTTTAAAATATAATATATAACCATGGATACATGTTTAAAATATAATATCACCATGGATACATGTATAAAATATAATATCACCATGGATACATGTTTAAAATATAATATCACCATGGATACAGGTATATAATATATCACCATGGATACATGTTTAAAATATAATATCACCATGGATACAGGTATATAATATATCACCTTGGATACATGTTTAAAATATATTATCACCATGGATACAGGTATATAATATATCTCCATGGATACATGTTTAAAATATATTATCACCATGGATACATGTATAAAATATAATATCACCATGGATACATGTATAAAATATAATATCACCATGGATACATGTTTAAAATATATTATCACCATGGATACAACTTTTTTGCGGTAGGTTTTATGTATTGAACATATTCTGTGGTAAAGACCAAATTAGGTCATTTTAGGACCAACATGGTTACTTTATGCATAAAGAAACAATGAGAGTAACATCCCCTTACCTGCATCTGCTGGCGAACCAATGGTTGGTTTAAGAACAAGATTTTGGGTAGATAACTCTATTGAGACCGGTACAACCTCAGCTAATACGGTCACATGATCTTGATAGAATCCATTCACTGTGTATAATACTGACCTGTAATAAAAGACAAACGTCCTGATATGGAAGATTCTGCCGAGACAGTGGTGATTATATTTGTTTGTTTCTTTGTGGGTATGCATGTTCGATTCCATCAAGGGTGGGGGGTTGGATGGCTGAATGGTTAGCGTGCGCGTGCTGTATCATAAAGTCTGTCATTGAGTCGACTGGCGTGGTATCGAATCCCCGGTTGTACGTGACAAGGAGTAGGGTCACCTGTCCAACCTCGTGGGTTTTCTCCGGGTCCTCCGGTTTCCTCCCACTGCTAAAGACCTCTATGCGCAAGCGAATTATTGAAATAAAATTAAACCATATGTTAGTCCCGAAATGACCTAGTTTGTGTCGAGTGGTCGTTAAACCCCATTTCTCTCTCTCTCTCCATCAAGGGTGATATCACACTACCAATTGCTTTTTACAACATACATGAAGGTTTTGAGAGAGAGAGAGAAATGGGGTTTAAGATCCACTCAACAAAACTAGGTCATTTCGGGACTAACACATGGTTTAATTTTATTTCAATAATTTTCTTGTGCATAGGTTTCTTTAGCAGTGGGAGGAAACCGGAGAAAACCCACGAGGTTGGACATATGACCCTACTCCTTGTCACAAACAACCGGGGAATCGAAACCACACCAGTTGATTCAATGACAGATCTTATGATACAATGTGCGCGCTAACCATACGGCTATCCAACCCCCTGTGAAGGTTTTGAACAATATTTCTATAATGTTTTTATAACTTACCTCTGAAAAGTTCCCTGTATACTAGACTCGAATATAACAGGTATTACAGCTTTAGACATGGGTGGTAGAACTTGTGATAATGGACTACTCTGTCGTAACTCTTTACAATCAATCTATAAATATAATAAAATAAAATGGGGTTTAACGTCCTACTGTTCTGCTCCGACTGGGATAATGAAGACGGTCATACCCCGTAAAATGTGCTATCGATGAGAAATTGTACATTCATTAAATCCGAAAATGAAATGAAATGGGGTTTAACGTCCTACTGTTTTGCTCCTATGCTGGGCTAATGAAGACGGGCATATGCCATACAGTGTGCTATGAGGGAAATGTTTGCCCGGACAGCGGCGATAGGGCCTATACTCTTATATCGAATTCCAACTGCCAAGGTTTCTTTTACGTGCACACCAATGTTTTAAGTGAACTAATTTAAAAATCATAGATTTCCGATGTATTTAAGAAATGTGGAGCTTCATATGGTTCAATAAGTTTGTAAATGGGGTAGGATTCTACCCAGGCAGTGGTCAAGATTTCTTATCAATGAGAAATTGAGTAGTTAATGGCAAAAGAGACAGAGTCATTTCAGGACTAACATATGGTTCAAAAGAGGTCTTTTGCGGTGGGAAGAAACTGGAGGACCTGAAGGGAAAATCCTGAAATTTGGATAGATAACTCTACCCCTTGTTACGTACAAGCAGGGAATCGAAACCAGGCCACTAGACTCAATGACATCCCCGCTCCCCCTTTCACAACTGACAAGGTAAAAGCCTGCTTACCTCTGCTACTATATGTACAAACTGATCCAAGTTATTGATAATAACAATATCTTTCTGACTAACAGACCTCAAACAAACTTTACTAAAATCTATTGTTGATGGGCCTGTAAATAAACATTGTTTAATAATATTATATAGAGTCAGAATAATCGTGAATTAGTCAAATAGAATAACAGAATGATTTTATAATAATGATCCATAGAGTTTTTAATCAAATTACCAAATTACACACAAATCAAGTTACTGATGGAGGAAAATAGGGGACTCAGAGGAAACCCATGAGGTTAGGCAGGTTATACTACTTCTTGAGAGAGAAAAGGGGTTTAATATCCAGTCAACACCAACTTACTTCAATAATTCACTTTACTTTAGTAACAACAAAACACATACTTATGGAAAACAGCTACTAGTGTATTTAAGGCGATGTTTCGTAGAGTATTCTCTCATGGACTATAAGTTAATTAACTCTCTATCTGCTATTGTATATCTTAATAAGTGTTGGTTTAGGCCTTTGATCATGTTGTTGCTTTGTATGGTTTCGGTTATGTTGTTGTATTTTGTCTATATATATTTGCCTCATACCTGTTTTACTGTATTAGCTTGATAACGTTGAGAGAATACTCTACGAAACGTCGCCTTAAATACACTAGTAGCTGTTTTCCATAAGTATGTGTTTTGTTGTTAATGTTACTCTATCCAGTTACTAAATGCCATTTAAAGAACATTTACTTTAGTAGTGAGAGGTCACCAGAGAAAACCCCATGAGGTTAGACAGGTAACCCTACTCCTTGTCAAGACCTCATTCCTAGTCCCGTATAAGCAGGGAATCAAAATCACGTCACTTAAATCAATGACAAGACCATTCGGCCACCCAACCCCACTCTCAACGACAGATATTATGGTCATACAACTCAGGCATCCAAACACTTCAAAATAGAAATAAAATTAGGAGTTAAGTTTACTTGAATTGAACTAACCTATTACTAATTGATGTAACTGCTGGGGTGTCAGCCATTTTGAACAATCTTTTTTCTCTTGTAGTGTGGTAGGGACTGCATTCAGACCTTCAGACACCTAAAAACATATGAAATGGAATTTGTCAAATTTCAAGATAACTTATTTTGGAAACTGATATTATGAAAACTCATTTCAGTCCTCTCATTTTTTTTCAAACCAGCCAGTTAGATCTATGATTCCAAAATCAGAGAGAGTGAGAGAGAGAGAGAGAGAGAGAGAGAGAGAGAAAGAAATGGGATTTAACGTCCACTCGACACAAACTTGGTCATTTTGGGACTAACATATAGTTTAATATTATTTCAATAATTCGCTTGTGCGTATGTGGTCTTTAGCAGTGGGAGGAAACCGGACGACCCGGAGAAAACCCACAAGGTTGGACAGGCACCAAAATCCCGTTTGCAAGTATTCACTGAGTTGCTTCTTTATTTTTTACAAAGCAGTGGAGCAACAATGGAGTATTTCCTCCATAATTTACTATACTAAAAATACTTATCAATATGTGGAAATCTTGTTACAGATTGAAAACTTCTTCGCCAGGAATAGAAGCTATACTATGTGTTTAGTGGAGTTACAAATGACAGTGGCAGTCTAATTAACTGAATGAAGAGTCTGTCAGTCAGTTTAGATTTAAACTTTCACACAGTAAATACAGTTTGATTGGGAATATTGTTAAAATTGTCACGTTCTTTAAACAAGCGGTTGCCATGCCAAGATATACCCAGATTGTGACCTCTAGAGGGACCACAAGCGAAAAACATGATTTTTCGTACAATCAGGGGGCATAATCCATGAAATTACAATCCGCTACATGCCAATATTGAAATAGCCGAGATATTTTGGGAGATGAACCTGTAATTTAAGTTTCGTCAAAATTGGATAAAAATTGTGACTTGAAGAGTGTCCACAAACAAATGAAAATTTTGGTGTATAAAAATATCTTGAAATCAGATTTGAACGAAATGAGTGAAACATTGACCCACTGGCAAAATCTTGAAATAAAAACCCAGGTAATAGGATCAGTAAAATGTCTGATTCAGAAATGTATAACTAGGAGAGAAAATGAAAAATGGGGTTTCATGTCCACTCGACACAAACTTGGTCATTTCGGGACTAACATATGGTTCAATTTAATTCAATAATTGGCTTGCACATAGGGGTCTTTAGCAGTGGGAGGAAACTAAAGGACCCGGAGAAAACCCACAAGGTTGGACAGGCAACCCTACTCCTTGTCAGGTACAACCGGAGAATCGAAACCCTACCAGTTGACTCAATGAGAGACCTTATGATACAACACGCTAACCATTGCATATAACAAGGAATGCGACTTGAGTATTTTTAAAATCTTTGACTTTCTTGCGTAGTAACAGAACAAACACTGTATGTGGCGGCTTCAACTTTAATTCATTAAGAAACAACTTACATTTCTGGTCATGGCTATCTTCTCGATCTCACTCAACTCTTTAGCACTTAATAACTTCCAGTTGGCATTTGGTGGAGGAGGAACTAAAAAAAAACAGATATATAAACCAATTATGTTTTTGTTTAAAAAGGGATAATCATATGAAGAGCTCATGGGGAAGAACAGTCCAAGTCACATTATTCTCACCCGGGAGGCCATTTCAAAAGGGCCTTGGTTCGATGTGACTCAGATCGATTTTATCTGAAATCAATTGTTCCACCTTATACAATTTCATGGAAGAAATGATTTAGATTGTTCTTCCCCTGGGCTCTTCACATACTCCTTGCTGTGTTTCGTTTGATATATTCAATTTTGTTCTCAAATAATCAGTCTTTTTGACAGCTGCCGAGAACGAAAATATTGGCTCTATTTGTTTTCTTTGTTTTGTGGGACGAAGATCTCATACAATTTTTCATAACTACACAGACAGGAGTGGGAAAGTCTACTCATTGCTAATTCATGATATTTTGTCCAATATTTTACAAATCGCATTACCTTATGAATATTTCAGGACCTTTTTTGTAAACCAAGGAAAATGATGAAAAAATCCAAATTTTACTCAACCGATTTAAACAAACTTGGCATCAAATTGAAGCCTACATCCGGGGGAACATTTCTATTGGACGAACTGTGATTATATGAAATAGATTTTATTTCAGACCAGTTTACATAAGACCTATGAAATTTTTTGATTTACTGGAATTTTGGCATTATTATTTGCACCATGAAATAACACTCCCATAATTTTATTAACCACTAGCTTAGCTATTTACATGCCAAAAATTATTTAATTCAGATCAGACAACTTACTTTGTGGATCTGGTTTGATATGATCGGTCTTTATGGTAAAAGGACGTAATCCACCAGCTGATTTTAATCCTATATCAACAGAGTTATTGGTCTTGGTAAATTCACTGGAAGAAATTAAACATCAAGATATCAACAACAGACAAATAATATAGATTTACTGAGGATCTCCTAAAATGACTAAGTCCAGGAACAACTATAGCACACTCATTGTAATTATGTTTTCACTTGTGCATTGTTTAGTTATGTGGTAACTACATGTATTTATATCTGATAGGGAGAGAGGGTTTTGATTAGGATATGCCTGTTCCAAAATCCCTAATCAGATACAAATCTGAATAAATATATTGTGTATTAAAAAAAAAATGATCACATACATGATCCAATGACTCTGACTGATCCAATGACAGTATAAATGATCAAATGACTGACTGAAAGATAAAGCTGGGTGATCAAATGATTTCATGACTGATTTAATTAATGGTTTAAGGCTATCCAAAAATTTTTATTCTGAAATGTTAAAGCTATTGAATTGAAAATAGTTTAAGTAGTTAGGAAATGTAATAAACAAGGGAAAACTAGCACAGGGGTCAAAATTCGTGAAATTGGAACGAAGGCATTTTTTTAAAAAAATGCCACAGTAATTCCTTCGTCACTACGGCAGTTTTTATTTGCACTAAGGCAAAACTTTTAATTTACTTTCGTCATTACGGCATTTTTTTAAACTGGGAAACTTTGACATATATATCGATATTATTACAGAATTTGTCCAGAATTAGGTCACCACAACACCCTTAAATTTACGTACACCGCAGTCCATATGAATATCGTAATATGAATCCGTTTTATTTCTTCGAAATCAGAAGACCTAAAAATTCTTGCAAGTCCGCGAATCTGCTTTGGCTCAGCGACACCAAGATTCGTGCAATTCTATAATCCGTATCCACGTGAATTCCACCAAATATAAGTATTGTGGTACCTAATTTTTTTATTTGGTCATATTTTCCAGTAAATGATTCATAGCCTTTATATCTGGAAATTGTTTTGAACTTCTTAAATGATTAAATACACTAAGACAACGAGCCATGTGTATTTCCATTCTAGCCACCAGCATGTGATGTTACGGTAGAATTAGGTCAGATAGAAAAATACAGTCACGAGAACTCAGGAAAGAAACAAAACAATAAATTCCTACTTTCGATTATGCTGTGGATTACGCTCGTATACAACGGTGATTTTATTGTCAACATCGGAAAATTGCCGTCGTGATATTCTTAAATAGATTATCATGGCTAAATATGCCGTAGTTATTATTTATTTTCTACGGCAATTTCGCTAAATACTACGGCAATTGCCGCGGGTGCCGTCGTGAATTTTGACCCCTGCTAGCATTTAAATAAAAGTTGTTGCCAGGGTAACACATCTATTGGGGGATAAATTATGACTTTTTTAAAAATCAAATGACTGATAACTAATAAACTACATTATGACATTTTAATCAAATGACTGGTGACTAATAACTCACATTCTGACTTTTAATCAAATGAATGATAACTAATAACTCACATTCTGACTTTTAATCAAATGACTGGTGACTAAAAAAATCATATTATGAATCATAATCAAATGACTGGTGACTAATTATTGATAAATTAGTTTCACCACGACTGACCTGTGTTTTTGTTTATTGAGTCTATTTTCTCTCAAGTTTCTGATAAAATCCAGATATTTATTGGAATGTTGACGAATATTTTCTTCCTCCTCGTCTGTGTAGGCATAGTCCGGATCAATATAATGATGACGTTCAGCTTTTGTAAAAATTGTCCTGGAAAAAGAAAACAAAAGAACACATTAAAGTTTATATTTGTAATTTGCATTCTTTGGAAAATATAAATTTTCCATTGCTTAATCCAAACTAAAATGTGCTCAAACTGGGCAGTTTTGTGAAGTAATACTACTATTCATTATAACACCAGAAGTAGGAATGAAATGAAATGGGGTTTAACGTTCTACTCCGACTGGGCTAATGAAGACTGTCATATGCTATGAGGGAAATTTTGCCCTGACAGTGGCGCCACGGCCTACACTTATATTGAATTCCAACTGTCAAGGGATCTCTTACGTGCACGCCAATGTGTACGCGAGACCTCTGGTATTTGTCTCATCCGAACGACTAGACAGCTTTCCTTGTCAGGCCCTACATCACTGACAACAGGGAATCACACCGGAAAATCCCAAGAACTTTCTCGGCCAACACCTGAATCAACCCTGCGACCTCCAGGCTAGCGAGTCAGCATCTTACTCTCTTAGCCACCGTGGCTCCCAAAGGTAGATAATCTGCCAGTTTGTATTCAATCAGATTAAAAAATTGTCTCCCTTTTCTCCTGATGATATGAATAACGAAATCTCAACTTACTTGTATCGTTCCCGTTTATCTGTCGGCCTGATGCTCTGGGCACGATCGTTGGGATAAGCAATTCTTACTTGACTATCATCATCATCTTCATCATCTCTGGACGTTGTTGCTGATTTTAACGCATGTAGTCTTGTTTTATTGGCACCAATAAGAGCATTACGAGGTTTATTTGTATCCAGTTTTACGAATGTTGTCTCATCTACGTACAAACCTACTTCATTACTTATCATAGGTGTTATACCTGAAACAGTGAGAGATACAGGTGTTATACAGGTCTTATACCTGAAACAGTGAGAGAAAACGGGTTGAATATCCACTCAAAGTGAATTTGGTTTTCCGAAATATGGATACAAATCTTGATCTTCTAGAGTGTCCATAAGCTAAAAACTCGATTTTTCGTACAATCAGGGGCCCCAATCCATGAAGTTACTATCCGATACATGCCAATATCGAAAGGAACCAAGATCATTGAGAGATAAATCTATATTTCAAATTTCGTCAAAATCAGATAAAAATTGTGACCTGTAGACCGTTCAGACTGACAGGAGTGACGACAATATACGTCCATATAAAAATTGTGACCTCTAGACTGTCCACAAACAAATTTTGGACGGACGTTATAGGTCCGGACTGACAGGGGTGACGACAATATGCGTCCACATATAATGTGGGCACATAAAATATCAATTTAACCCTTTTGGTTTAACATAAGGGAATTAGAGGCCAAAATCCAAAGAAAGAAGAAAGTTCAACCTAATTGGTATTTTGATTAACATAAGATGTTTTCCATTTACTATTTCCATTCATATTTTATATTTGACTAAACTCAGTTTTATTTTACTAAACTCAATTTCATTTTATTTTACTAAACTCAATTTCATTTTAGTAAAGTCAATTTCATTTTAGTAAACTCAATTTTACTAAAAACAATTATTTTTTTTTACTAAACTCAATTTCATTTTAGTAAACTCAATTTTACTAAACACAATTTTATTTTACTAAACTCAATTTTAATTACGCAGCCTAATACATTTAAAAAAAATACCAAAACAAAATGATATCATTTGAAATGAGGCTGAATTGGGATATAATAAAATGTATTTACAATAGAACAAAAGTAATACCTGGGATGTAATAATTATGTATTTATAAAAGAACGGAAGTAATACCTGGATTAAATCGTGGACTTGGTTTGATTACCACGGGATCACTGGTCCCTTTAAACTTTATACCCATAACATGTATGACCTTAAGATGGGTCAAGGTCGGGTTACGATTATCAGCAATATGACCCAGAACATCAACTAACTGCTGGGGTGTAAATGTTCCTGAAAACATTATTTCAATCAATAACTTCAATCAATTAAACCATAAACATGCATTATTTAAGAGCTAAATCTGCCTACTGTAGGTTTTTCTTTTGAAAATGGAGAAGCGAGGCTGAGTCTCGATTAACAAAAATTCAAACAGTGATAACTTGGTACAGAATAAAGTAATTTGAATGAAATTTTCAAATCAATTTTTCATTGGCTATTTTTGAACTCTTATAGCAAGAACAACCAGCTTCTTGTCTAAATCTTATATAATATGCTAATGTGAGTCAAACAAAATATGTCACAAATTGACCAGCTGACAAAAATCTGAACTTTAAGCCCTGAGGCGCTGTCAGGTAAAAGTTTCTCTCACAGTGCAGTGTACTACACACCACCAATCTTAAATAGCCTGGTCTGGTTCAGAAAAGTTGGACGTTGAACTAGATTTTATTTCATAATTTTTTGCTTAGATATCTTTTATGCAGTGCCGTGCCGTGGACATGTTCTTTGGTTTCAAAATTAAAAATATCTGATTAAATAATGAAATCAAAACTCACCAACTTGACGTGGAGAAAATGAGAATATAACATCTTGTGTCTGACCAGGAGAAATCTTGCCGCTTGGTGGATGAGTCGAAAAATGAGCAATTCTTTTAAACTGGAAAGTTACTGGCAAGATGGTGGAATCGTTTTTCAAAGTAAACAGAACATCTGCATGTTCTCCGACCAGACATTCCCCAAAATCAAAAACTGGGGCTGGAGAAATATCTAATAACACTGGTAATGCTGTTCCTGTTAGAGCTACCTCCGCAAAACAACCTAAATAAAACACAATAATAACTTTAGCAGTGGGAGGGAACCGGAGGACCCGGAGAAAACCCACAAGGTTTGACAGGCAATCCAACTCCTTGTTACAAACAACCGGGGAATCAAAACCCACGCCAGTTGACTCAATGACAGACCTTATGATACAACGTGCTAACCATTCGGCCATCCAACCCTTTTGTGATATTCAGGAAAAAATAGAGAGAATCAAAAAATCCTGTAGGCCTCTCTCTGATTCAATTACAGATCTATATTTCCTTTTGTTTTTTATACTTTCGATGGAAATGAAATGAAATGAAATGAAATGGGGTTTAACGTCCTACTGTTCTGCTCCTAACCTGGGCTAATGAAGACGGGCATACGCCATACAGTGTGCTATGAGGGAAATTTTGCCCGGACAGCGGCACTACGGCCTACTCTTATATCGAATTAAAACTGCCAAGGGATCTTTTACGTGCACGCCAATGTGTACACGGGACCTCGGTTTTTCGGCCCATCCGAACGACTAGACAGCTTTCCTTGTCAGCCCCTCCGTCCTGCATCACTGACAAGGGAGAACCACGCCGGAAAATCTGGATGAACTTTCTCGGCCAATGCAGGGATTGAACACCCGAATACTTTCGATGGCCTACACTACATGAAGATCTGACCAGTTGTAATGGAAGGTCGCATCATGAGTCATACGAGCAGCTTTTGCCCCTATGATATCAGACATTTGATAAACCAATCAGCGTTGATGTTTCTAGTAGGATACCCACAGTTACGTGTAACGCACGCCAAGAACTTGCCGCAACAAACCGTTTCATTGGCTAATCCCTAACATCAACCAGAATGCCTGTCATATAACAACTCTTCCAGATCCTAGTGTAGTAAAGACAAGTAAAACGAAATTTTGAACTGTAAAATATGAAACAAAATAAGATCGGTGTTTTTAATCAGATTGTGTAGGCCTATGCATAATCTTATTTGTGCTTTGTGGGCCTTGAAAATGTCTCGATTCACTTCTGTAATTGAAAAACAAAGCCATGTTCTGTAGAATTGAGAAAAAATATAAAGCATAACGTATGAAACTAAATGCACAGATGTATTAAAATCTAAACAAATAAGGCAGATCACCCACCATCTTTGTTGCCACTAGCGACATCATCTTTCTGATTGGATATTCCATTATTTGAACCAATGATTTGTAGACGCATAAACAAAGCAAAATCTTTTCTTGGTGGCGGTGTTACTTGACATTTCCAACCTTGTTTTGAGCTGTACCATCTTGGACTGAATCTAAAGAATATAGGTATTTTTTCATATGGTCGTAAAACACCTTGATTGGGTATGGCTGTTATTAATGATGTTAAAATATTGGTGCTGCCTTTACTCAATCCACTACTTGATTCTTCAGCCAAGGCAGCAGCTGTTGTTTGACTGAGATCAACTCCCTGAAAACAAAACAAAAAATATTAAAGACAACGAAATAAATAAATGTTTAGATTATTTCTATCATGTCTTATAATTAATTTTCTATTTTAATTTCAGACATTAATTGATTCTTGTTTTCTGTGTTCATTTAATGTCAGTAGAACAGCTATGTACATGAAGGATCTCTCTAGACCTAATCTACAGATTCAACATCACTGGGTGTTCCAAAAAATATAATACCGGAAAGGTTCACTGCCAGTACAGACTCTTTTGTGGACCGAGGTGAGATTGTCCGTTGAATTAACTGGACAGGTAGGCCCGGTCATCCTTCAGTTATGTGTCTTTGTTGAGTGAGTATCTCCATTCAACAAGATGGACTCTGGACCAATCTGATTCTATGGTATCTCTCGTGGTTGAGAGAGTAAATGTTTTATTTTCTTGGTAAAATGAAATGAAATGGGGTTAAACGTCCTACTCTTCTGCTCCGAACTGGGCTAATGAAGACGGGCATACACCATACAGTGTGCTATGAGAAAAATTTTGCCCAGACAGCAGCACTACGGCCAACACTTATATCGAATTCCAACTGTCAAGGGATCTTTTACATGCACACCAATGTGTACACAGGACCTCAGTTCTTTTATCCCATCTGAATGACTAGACAACTGTCCTTGTCAGGCCCTCCGTCCTGCATCACTGACAAGGAGGAATCACATCGAAAAATCTGGATGAAATTTCTCGGCCAATGCAGGCATCAAACACGCAACCTCCAGACTATCGAGCCAGCGTCTTACCCACCGTGATCCCCTATTTTCTTGGTAACAGCAGTAACAGCAGATGGAATAACGTCATGTGCAACACTTTATTCCCACACCTTTTTGAATAACAACAGATAATTACCAATTCCTGTGCTTCTGCTTCTTCATCCATGATGGCGACAAAGTTGATAGTTTCTGGTCCATTGTTGTGTAATATAGCGTATTCTGTTTTATCCGTACCATAATATGTTGATCCAAATTTAACGCATTCTATCGTTTGTTCATCATGTATAGATACTAACTGTAATGATCGTTTGACGATATTCCCTGTTACTCGTAATATACTATCTTCTTGACCTTCTAACGTTACTCTAGAAATACACAAAATCAAATTCATTAAACAATGTATGAAATGGTTTTTAACATCCTACTTTTCACAAAACATTCTCAGACTTAAGTTAAGTTGCTTTATTTTAACTAAAAAATAGCCCTTTTTAAAAACTTTTGTTGTTTTAACGTATTAAATACACCAAAAAGAAACTATGTGCAAAGTTTGGTGTTTCTGGATCAAAGATATTTCTCATAAACAATGATTAAAAGTTGAGTAAATTCTTAACGCAAGTCTGAAAATGATTTGTGAACTCAGGGCTTGGTGTCCGTGATTTTGTCTGTTAGAGATTTGTTTTTTTGATTAGTTCTTTATTGGTATGTATAATACATATCCACTACAAAGATAAAAATGCCAGGTATATTTCATAATCATAAAACAAACAAATAACTTACGAAAAAGTTTCATCTAATTTTCCAGGTTCTTTTGTAACACATTCAATCTGTAATAAAATTGTAAGAAATCATTCTGTGACTATAGGTCTAGAGTTAAAGCTCCAGTACATTCAAGCTGGAAATGACTTTGAAAATTCATGAAGGTTCTACTTATAATAATATTCCAACATAAAAGTCCAACCTCGTGGGTGTTCTTCTGGACCTTCAGTTTCCTCCCACTTCTAAACACCCCTATGTGCAAGCGAATTATTGAATTAAAATTGAACCACGTGTTAGTCCTGCAATTACCTAGTTTGTGTTGTGTTGTGTTCAATAGTTCGCTTACACGTAGGGGTCTTTAGCAGTTGGAGGAAACTGAAGAACTCAGAAAACCCACAAGGTTGGACATGCAACCCTATTCCTTGTCACCTTTATTGGAGTAGTGTTGTCAGCTAATCTGGAGAAGATAAATATATTTTCAGCACAACTTACCTTAATTATTTGTACACTATTCGGTGGAACGGAACCACTAGCAGGATGTGCGGATAGATGTTTATTCCCGTTATATTCTAATTTAAACTGTCCCGTTAATGATCCATGATTTATTAATGCTATTTCTCTACCAATTACACGACTTGTTGCTACAATGTGACCAAAATTTACACTTTTTTCTAACTCTAATACAGGCTGTGATGGAAACCTAGAAAAAGAGACAAAATATCATTATTGCATGTATAAGCTTATTAAACATTTTATACACCTTAAAGTGAATTCCCACTGTCATTGCTGATACAGGGCTAATTATCAACATCCCAAAATCAAATTGATTTGGCTGAAAGGATCACTCTTCCATGAATTTATATATAAGAGATAAAAGTGGCTATGAAGACCTGGTTATCCCGATTGTCAGTGACTCGTTTCGTTTGTATTGAACTCTTCGATGTAGACAAACATCACAATCTACAATTTATATAAACCCACTGGTAGTTACTGAATTATTGTAACATTTTTAAGCTTGGATGATCCAATTCTGATGTTTAAAACACGATTTGGAGAGAGGGGGCTTGTGGTTTAACTTGCCTCAGGTTATTTTTAACAATAACCAATTCATTCCAACGTATTATTATTACTGTTTGGGAAGAAAATAGTTTAATTTTGCTCCCCGATTTCAGATGAAAGGTTCAAGATGGCAAGTCGCTAACTCAATATCATCCACAGTCTTATTGGTCAATTTAAATCAACATTGATGTTGTTATATTACCGTGCAAAGATAGACTTTTGATATCCAATATTTAAGATAAAATGAAAATTTTGAAATTGGCACATGCATGCCAGAATGCTTTTGAGCACCACATGTGATGAATTGACTTGATGAACGAGGCTAAAAATATCCCACAGAAGAATACTACTGATGTAGGCTGGAATAACCAGATGCCAAAGACTGCCATTCAATCTGCACTTTTCGCGTATTTTGTCAAACATAACTGATTACAGTAATGTAAATCAGTTTATATACATTTATATTACATGCGTTGCAACCTATTTGTGTCAATTTCTAAGTCCCAAATATTAGCGATTTAGCTCCATTAAGTGTGAGTGATCGATTACAATCCTCTACATAAAGGTAATACAATAAATAAATGTGACAAGAAACTTACGCCCTGATAGGTACTTCAATAACATCACCATCTACAGTAATAACTAATCTATCTTTAACTTCATTTTTATCAGTTGGTTCATATTCTATAATAGCCTGAACACTTAACCCTGGTGCTACTGGCTGATCAGGATTCTTTACTTTAATACTGAATTTCTGGAAATAAAATCAAATACAAAGTTACTTCAAGGTGGCTGGGGGGGTTGGATGGCCGAATGGTTAGCATGTGCGTGCTGTATCATAAGGCCTGTCATTGAGTCAACTGGCAGGGTTTCGATTCCCCAGTTGTACGTGATAAGGAGCAGGGTTGCCTGTCCAACCTTTTGGGTTTTCTCCGGGTCCTCCGGTTTCCTCCCACTGTTAAAGACCCCTAAGCGCAAGCGAATTATTGAAATAAAATTGAACCATGTGTTAGGACCGAAATGACCTAGTTTGTGTCGAGTGGACCTTTAACCCCATTTCTCTCTCTCTCTCCAAGATGCCTAGTAGAGGTAAGCTTATACCGGTAATGTAAACTATGTAAAATAACTCACAAATGCGAATGAAATTAAACTTAAGTTAAAGTGTGCTGATAGTGACAGTGCAGCTATAGGATCCAGGTTTCTTGGGGGAAGGCCTAGAATTTGACCTGCAGAAATCTGGGTTGGAAAAAGGTTTGGATATAGTTCTATCATATCGCCTATCATAAGGCCTTTTTACCAGAAAACAAATCGGTTTCGATTACCTATCTCGTTTTATACATGACGTAGGTCTCGAGTTGGTATTTGAATCGATTAAAGTAAACACAACAAGTTGCCTTGCAAGATGGCTGAAGACTGAAGAATTGAGGTAAAATGTTAAAAAATTCATTTTTCTTTATTCTGTTCTTGAAGACAAGGCCAAAAAATAAAAACGAGAAGTTGTACCAGTTGACTGTTCCAAAATGACCCATAGCCATAGGCCTATTCGTATTTATTAGGAATGTCCATGATATTCAGATCATAACGTGAATTTCAAAAGAAAATGAACTAACGTCAGGTACGTAGTGTCCCTTGTTAGGAATGCCATCTTGGAAATTGAATCGTCAATCCTGCAGGCGAGCAAGTTGGAAGATTTGCATAATCGATTTGACAAATCGTCGTGGTAAATACGACAATTAGGTGAAACCGTTTTGGCTAACTTTTGCCGTAAATGTGTTTGAACAGGAATAGCTAATCTATTAACCATAATCGGTTTCTCGTAAAAAAAAAAAAAAGCCTTTTATGTCATGGCGGCGTGGTTCAAGCCTAATTTTATCAAATCCAATTTCAAATATTCGCTTCATAATTCAGACATTGTTATCATAACAACGAATTTGTGATTCATTAATGGCTACTCAAATAGTTTATTTATAATGCAGAATAAAATGTAATATTTCAATAAGAACTTACTTGACTCTTTGGTCCATAATATCTAATGTTTCGACTGATTTTACTGATATTTTTGACATTTACGGTTAGTTGAAAAACATTATCTGGCTTTGTATCGTAAAACTCCAAGATTGGTGGAGTAATTCGCACACCAGATACGTCGCCTTGCATTTTTAAAGTTTGCCAAAATTAATAAAAACAGCCGGCATGAAATTTTAAAAGAAATATTCGACTTTTTTCTGTAAATTTTGTTTCAAAGACGATGCACGGAATCCATATTGTTTGGATGTTGTCAGGGATTTAGCTCAAAGAGGTCAATCAGTGGAGGTTTCGTATCCATAAAATAATTTAATTATCGGTATTTGTCATAAAAAAAATTGAATTTGGTTCTGTTTCTATCAACTAAATCAATCTTATTATTACTATCGTTCAATTTGATTCCATTTTCAAAGAAAATGAATGCAATTGAAATAATACGAAACTATATTTGATTATTTTCATTCGGTTACTACGCGACGCCGCCATTTTTCTTGATTATAAACAACTTTTATGTGAAAGCGTGTTGACGGTTTATCCAAAATTGAATTGAACATCAGCCATGGGGGTGGATTACTACAATATTTTGAGTTTAACAAGAAGTGCTACCGATGCAGATATCAAGAAAAGGTAATACAATTTTCTTCTTTGTTTATTTTGAACCAATATCAGTATTTGATTGGCGTGTCACATCGCCTGAAATTGACAATAGATTTTGTCAGTGACACATCATAGCCACATAGTCTTGCAAGTTTACATAGCTAACAATTTTGTATTCGTCTTGATTTCTATCCTATCCTGGTATTTATGTCGGCGTGATTCTGTCCGATTGTTGTGCTTTGCAATGTGACATTCCGATACTTGAAATGTCATCATTTGCGTGCGCGATTTGTTTGAATTTCCATGTACTTAGGGTTGACAACAAAAAATTCAACTATCCCGTATGGCTTTAATTCTGTTATTTCTGGATAGGGCTGTCCAACAGCTTTACAACAACACCAAAATGAACTTGAGTTATGCCTAATTAATTGTCGCTAATTAGCGCCCCTTTTGTCTGAAGAACAAAGATTGCAAGAATTAAAGTTGAATATATTTTCAAATCAATATGTTATTTATAACCCTGGTATCCGTCCCTAAAATCGCGTTGTTTTCTACTTTCATTTTGATGTTTAGCTTTCTCCCCACAGCTAGAGTAAAAATTCGAAAACGAGGCGAAAAGCCAGTCTTTTATTTGCGAAAATAACCGCATTTGAAGCCGCAGTTTCTGCCAATGGACAATCTGACGAGGAAGAAAAACCAATACCCAAATCGCACTGGTGTAAGCTTACTGGAAAGTTGTGAGAATACCACATAAATGACCTCATGATGAATTATCTTTACAGTCCGAGCGAGTCCGGTGCCTTTTTATTCAAAGGTTATTCATTCCCCTTCTATTTAAAACATACAACTGAATCCTGCAGTTGGTATCCATCGCCTGAACATAAACATTCGTTGCCGGTGTTTGGCACACGTGCGCATGCGGTACTAGATACAAGAATAAGTCGGTCCCATTACATTTGCGTAAGACCAAGTTTTTCACCAGCTGGCCTAATACAGAGACATCTGTACAGCTCACTGTTGGTTGAGAAGAAAAATAACCAACACCTCTCTTTGCAAGTGTGAGAAATGCATTGTTAGCTTGAGGATTGTGACAATATTTCCAATAACTCATTGCATGAAGTGTACGTGAACAACCAGTTACAGTACCATAAATATGACTCTATTTATCTAGAAGACCGATATCTGTTCTTTGTCGTCAAAGCAGAGGCAATTTGGACTAAACAATCCATACTGAAGGTAACTGTTTCATGTACAATAATGTAGTATTATTAGTGAATGTTTTATTTAAAAATTAATGAATTATGAAGTCTGGTTTACATATTTCTTGTTTCTGGTCACGCTTTTTATAGTCAAATTATTTTATTTCAGTTACCGTAAATTGTCTTTAAAATTCCACCCTGAGAAAAATAAGGGAGATCAAACATCAGCTGATAAATTTAAACAAGTTTCAGAAGCCTATGATATTTTATCTGATCGTAAGTTTAATAAATTACTATCAATATTTGAGATACAGGAATGGCATGGGGTGTTACTGGTTATTCGGTCATTTCAATAAGCTTACATTGTTTGTATTTGGGGGGGTTTTGTGGTATGCACATTCCATCATAAGGTCTGTCATTAAGTCAAGTAGTATGATTTCGATTCCCCACTTGAACGTGACAAGGTGTAAGGATGCCTTCCAAACTCGTGGGTTTTCTCTGGGTCCTCCAGTTTCCTTTCCACTGTTAAAGACCCCTATGCGCAAGCAAATAATTTAAATGTAATTGAACCATGTGTTAGTCCCAAAATGACCTAGTTTGTGTCCAGTGGACATTCAACAGTCAACCTGATTTCTCTCTTTGTTCATATTTATCCAACCTGTGAAGAGTTTTGTGCCTCTTTGTCTTCCAATGAATCATGGTTTGTAGATTTTTTGCCTTTTTTTATTGCATACCCCTGTGACCTTCATACCCCTGTTAGTGTTACCTTCATACAAACAAAGCACTCTTAAAGTTGTTCCTTCAATTGATTTGGTTAACCAACGATAATTTCTATAAATAGTGAAATTTGCTAATTACTATCTCACAAATATCTTAGAAGAAAATAAATTTCCACTGTTCATTCAAGATGGTTTGTGTATTATTGATGTGAATTTATTTTCCAGCACGTAAACGAGCGGTTTATGATCAGTTTGGTGAGGAAGGTTTAAAGAATGGAGTACCAGAAGGCAGCGGTGAAGCTGGGGCATGGACTCAAGGTTATACCTTCCACGGCAATGCAGAAAAAGTCTTCAGAGATTTCTTCGGGGGAGATAATCCATTCCAAGGTAAGCTACAAACAGGGATTGATTTTGACGGATGTCAAAATAAAAAATTCATTTAAATATTTTGACTTATTGTTATTGAACAGCGATTGATTTTGATGGAGGTGAACTTAATAAATTCATGTAAATATTTTCACTTATTGTTATTGAACAGCGATTGATTTTGATGGAGGTGAATTTAATAAATTCGGTGGAACATTTTCACATATTGTTATTGAACAGCGATTGATTTTGATGGACGTATACACAATAAATGTTTTTGTAAACTGTGTGATACAAAGATACATTTTCACATATTGTTACTGAACAGAAAAGTTTTACGCAAAATTCTGTTCCTAATTATTGGTTATATTTCCGGTTGTCCAAAATGTAAATCGCACATCAATATCCAGTGTTTTAAAGGTTTATTTATAGTAACAGAGCAAAATGTAAATCGCACATCGACATCCAGCGTTTTAAAGGTTTATTTATAGTATCAGATCACATGTCTCTATTACTATTATTATAATAAGCTTGATTGTATTTTTCCTGAATAATTATTACACAGAAAGACATTTGTAAATACATTATTTTGTTTTACACCAAATATTACATATAAATACATTATTTTGTTCTAGACTAAATATCGTAAGATAAATTACATAAAATTATTATCCTTGGAATTTCTTCAGAATCTAATGTGTGCTTGTTTATTTCAAATTAATCTGCAAAATTTTGCTTAAATCATTTAAGATGAAATTCTATCCCTGATAGTACCGGTAAATTAACTTTTTTATACAGTTCTTCATTCATGGCTTCTAGATTCACCTTTAAGCTTCTTACGGTATGTTTTCCAAAAAACAGATTTGTTTTGATTTTGTGGAAAAGAAAATAACCTTTCTTTAAAATATAGTCTAATTACAAAATAACATATTTTTGAAAAGGTTTGTTGGTAAATAAAACTTAAACTTGCCTGATAAAAATGTTTAATCTCTCATTATTCAGTGTTCGTTTCAAGTATACAATGTTTATTGTAACTAAAGTAATTAAACTATGGTAGATTTAACGAGATTCAATCAAAATTTAATTAAGTACCAAGTCTGTCTATTGATCTCTATAGTTTGTTTCTTGGGTGGTCATATATATATATTGATTAAAGACCCAATGTACTTAGTTCTGTTCTAGATATCTTACTTATCAGTTTGTCATAAGCCCTGAGAGCTCATTTTCATATGTTTGAACTTCTTCAAAACAGGGCTAGAGTTTTGCCAATTGAAGTACGATCGACATGAAACTTAGCAGCATGCTTGTTCTCTTGGACAATTGTGCATGGATTGATAGATTTGCACATAGTTATTTTATATGAAAATGGTAGCTTTGTCACCAGTCTTGGTGTCTGGTACATATTACAGTCATTCTTGTTATTATTTTTTTACTCACTGGTACTTTGTGGCCAATGTTTAAAATATAATCTGCGGTTTCATGAACTGTGTCTAGTCCCTCGTATTGTATGGAAAACCAAGGTTCAGCGTGCATGTTAACAAACTCTTGTCAGTTGGAATTCAAAATAAGATTAGGCTGTGGCGTCGCTGTCCAGGCAAAATTTCCCTCCTAGCACACTGTATGGAGTATGCCCGTCTTCATTAGCCCAGTTGGAAGAGAACAGTAGGACGTTAAACCCCATTTCATTTGCCTGTCTTAATTAGTCAGGATGAAGCAGAAAAATATGTTAAACCGCATTTTGTATCATTTCTATTGATTTATCTATAGACTTTAGAAACATGGTGTTAGTTTGTCAGGTAATCAAACATCAAGAAAGAAGAATCTTGACTTGTTATTGAATTATTTATTACTGTACATTAATTATAAATATCATGTAGTCAGATAGATTGGTTGTAATTAAAAAAAACCACATGTTATCTATTCTATTCTAGTTATTCTGATGTCAGTATATATAATAGGTTGTATATCACACCTTTACTTCTTATAAATAGTTCTGTATTCTATTTCAATCAAATTACAGTGATAGTGGAGACTGAGACAGTCTAAGTTATTTCTAAACTAAAGGATTCTTTATCTTTGGGATATTTCAATCAGAGTTATTTTGAGTTATTTCTGAACGATAGTTTTTTTTTTTTGTTATCTTGAGCAGTTTTTGTTTGGAATATTTTGATTTAATTAGAGTTAAGTGTCAGTGATATCTTTTCTGAATTTTGAGGAACTTATATTTGTGTAGATTATACAGTCTTTGGTAGAACTTAAACCTCATTTTATTCATTCTGTGGTTGGAGGTTTCATAATCTGTTGAATGAAGATATATAGGAAAAAATAAACAAGTTATTTTAACAATGGTGTCAGTTACTACAAGTAAGTAATAGCCAAGTCCTGTCTGTCTCTCTTTCTATGATTTTGTAAGGCCCTGACATATTTTTTAGCCTTGCAATTTATGTTATTTTTTAATAAGTTTTGATTTCTGTTAGGTTGACAAATAAAGTGTACACATTGTATCAGAAAGTCTGCATTGAGTCAACTGGCATGGTTTTGATTCCCTGTTGTACGTGACGAGGAGTAGTGTCGCCTGTCCATCCCCGTGGGTTTTCTACGGGTCCTCCAGTTTCCTCCCACTGGTAAAGACCCCTACACGCAAGCGAATTATTGAAATAAAATTGAACCATATGCTTTTGTTATTTGTAGAGTTCTATGATCGTGTAGATGGTGATTTGAGTATGGGATTCGGTGGTTTAAATGGTCGAGGTCACAAGAAACAAGATCCAGCCATACAGAGAGATTTACAATTAGCTTTAGAGGAAGTCTTTCATGGCTGCACCAAAAAAATGAAAATTTCTCGCAGGGTAAGTCTGATTTAATGTTGGGTGATCTAACACATGTAGTTTAGATCATAAGGTCTGTCATTGAGTTAGTCCCGAAATGACCTAGTTTGTGTCGAGTGGATGTTAAACCCCATTTCTCTCTCTGTCATTGAGTGAGGTGGTATGGTTTCCATCCCAAGCTTGGTTTTCTCATCATTCTCTGTATCTTTTTACTGCAAGTCACCCACTATTGTCCCTCTTGAATAATGTTTTGACATGTTCCCTGGTGGGTCGGTATGTCTGGAGAAGTGAGCGGGTAGAATTACAGAAAAGTACTTTTTAATTGGAATAACTTTTAGTTCAGAAACAGTTTCAATTTTAGTTTTCTGGGTAATGGTACGTTTGTATTAGATTATGGCTTATCCCCTTATATGCATATAAGTGTGTTTATTTTTATGTTCAAGTTATCCAATAATAAGAGTCCTGTATGTGTATTTAAAATTTTAAAAACTTTTCTAGGTTATGAATGAAGATGGACATACATCAAGTATTCGTGATAAAATTTTAACAATCATTGTTAAAAAAGGATGGAAACCAGGAACAAGAATTACGTTCCCTAAAGAAGGCGATCAGGGACCTAATAATGTACCAGGTAATTTCTTCAATAGTCTTGTGGATGCTGCAATTTGTACTAAGAGTTTACCTCTCAATCGATACTCTTGCTGCTGGGATACTTGACTCACGATGAAATCATTTGTGATTTTTTTTTAGGCGGGACTGTCACTTGTCAGATGGTAGGGAGTGTCCTTCGGTCTCACAAGGTGTTTATCAGTAGAATGGGAGGACAATAAACCATGTTCCCTTGTGTAAGGGGTGGTTTAACCGAATGCAGGCGTAGTTTTGATTCCCTGCTTGTACATGACACGGAATAAGGTTGTGTCTCCAACCTTGAGGGTTTTCTCTGGGTTCTTTGGTTTCTTCCTCCTGCTAAAAACCCATCTACGCACAAACAAATTATTGAAAAAAAATTGAACGATATGTTGGTCCTGAAATGACCTAGTAACCCCTGTTATATGTCCCTCTCGGTTCTGTTTTTCCCTGTTATTTAAATGTTATCAACGGTAATATATTAATAATCCATGTTTATTTAAATGTTATCAACAGTAATATATCAATAACCCATGTTTATTTGATATTTCAGCTGATATTGTTTTTGTTGTAAAAGACAAACCCCATCCTAGATTTAGACGAGAAGGTATCAATTTAATCCACACAGCAAAAGTTCCGCTTGGTAAAGCTTTAACAGGATGTACAGTAGAAATTAATACACTGGATGATCGAGTCTTACACATACCAATAAACGACATTATCAAGTGCGTAAAAAAATTAACCGTAACCATAGTTGAATTTGGGGACTCCGGTCTGAGGTTTATGGAGAAGTCAGGGAGAGAGAAATGGGGTTTAAAATCCACTTGACACCAATTAGGTCATTTCAGGACTAACATATGGTTCAATTTTATTTCAATAATTCGCTTGCGCGTAGGAATTTTTAGCTGTGAGAGAAAACTGGAGGACCCGGAAAGAAACTCAAAAGTTGGACAGGCGACCCAAGTTGGACTTAACTCAATGACAGACCTTATGATTTAAAGTGCATGCATTAAACCATTTGGTCACTCAACCCCCTAGGCTTATGGGGGGGTTAGGTGGCCGAATGGTTAGCACGTGCGCGCTGCGATGTATCATACAGTCTGTCATTGAGTCAACTGGCATGGTATTGATTCCCCGGTTGTACGTGACAAGGAGTAGGGTCGCCTGTCCAACCTCGTGGGTTTTCTCTGGGTCCTCCAGTTTCCTCCCACTGCTAAAGACCCCTACGCACAAGCGAATTATTGAAATAAAATTGAACAATGTGTTAGTCCCGAAATGACCTAGTTTGTGTCGAGTGGACATTAAACCCCATTTCTCTCTCTCTCCCTAAGCTTATGTAGGATGCAGATTTACCATTTAGCTCTTGCATAATGTATGTTTAAATGTTAAATAATTAATCTGAATACATATCAGAAATTTTATAATTCAGCAAAAAATTCCTATGAAGCATCGTTACTTTAATATTATCTGTTTACTATTTCCAGGCCAGGTTATAAGAAAGTAGTACCAGGTGAAGGTATGCCTATTTCTACAGAACCAACAGAAAAAGGAGATCTTATTATAGATTTTGATATCGAATTCCCTCCAGCATTATCACCTGAAAGAAAAGATATGGTCCGAAGAGCTCTCCTATATTAAAAAAACAAAAAAAAATCTCAGTGCTCGAAAAATAATTATGAAATATTCAGAAAATTTTACAAATTAAATTTATTTACCAGTATGTGAGACTTGAACAAACTTTTTTTCTAAAATAAAACAACCTCCCTCTTCGGGTTAAATTGAATATGAAATAAATGTTCAGAAAAACTCTCCATATATTACAGCATTAATATTAATCTTGTGTTGACTGTTAAATTTTATAAACAAACTTTTTGTCCATCTTACCACCTCGTGAGAATTTTAAAAAATTTACTTTAAGCCATTGTAAAATCGAGCTTTTTTTTTTTATACAAGTCTGACTGGGGTTATACTTTTTAATAACTGTTTTTTTAATAACAAAACACTACATTGTGGTGATTTTATTATCATTTTTAGTGTTTCATCTTTGTACCATTTTATATGTTTTAGAAACCATTTTAAAGTTTTAAAGTTCTCTATTTGTATATAATACCATATTTATATAATAAATCTGTGATATCCTATATTCTTGTCTCTTCATGTTTGACTAGTGAGAGAGAGATGAGGTTTAACGTCTACTCAGGGAAAAAATGAGGTCATTTCGGGACTAACCATGTGGCCACCTACCCCCCTGTAATATCCTGTATTTTTATCTCTTGATGCTTGTTCGGAAATTGGAGGGGGGGGGGGGGTGGATGGCCGGATGGTTAGCACGTGCACGCTGTATCATAAGGTCTATTATTAATTGAGTAGGAGTAGGGTCGCCTCTCTAATATCGTGGGGTTTCTCTGGTTCCTCCCACTGCTAAAGACCCCTACGCGCAAGCGAATTATTGAAATAAAATTGAACCCGAAATGACCTAGTTTGTGTCGAGTGAACGTTAAACTCCATTTCTCTCTCTCTGACGAAATCTAGAGTTGGCCTTAAAAAATAGATCTCACGGTATTTAATCCCTCTCATTATGATCAGCAGCTATTACTCTGAAAAATCTTTTTAATCAGCTTTCTTCACTACCATATTTCAACAAGAGCACATGAAATTGTTTGTCTTGTCTAATTCTGAATTAAGGTATTGCTTTCAGGGTTCTTCAGCCCAGCTAGACAGCCTCCAGACAAAAAATGAAAAATTATTCATTTTTAAATGTAGGAGTGAGGTAATATAGACCTGTTCCTCAATCTACAAAATATTCTTCTGACTCTATATATAAGAGAAATGGGGTTTAACATCCACTTATCACAACCTATGGAATGTTTTGGGACTAACAGGTTCAATTTTATTCCAATAATTTGCATGCAAGAAGGGGTCTTTAGAATAGAGACTAGGAAAGGAAACTAGAGAAAAACTAAGATGCTGGCCTTACTTGTCACAAACTGTGTCCATATAAGGATATTTCCCCCCCCCACCCACCCCCCTCAAAGGTCATACAGGGAGTTTAAGTTCACCTTGCATTGGAAATATGCCAAATTCATTGTCAACATGTGGATTGAGACCACTTCTTTACATGCTGAAGACTTTCTACTTGGACGTCAATTTATTGTATTTCAGACAGATGAACAGACCAAGTCTAATAACCGCCTGCAATCTTGGAAAGGCAGGTTACAAAAAAGACAACAAATAAATGTTGCACCAATTTCAATGTTTTATTAAAAAATTATTATTTCTATAAAAACACAATAAATTTACATCATATACTACTACGAGAATACCTGACGACATCCCGTGTAAAAATAATAGTTCTGTCTAATAACAAGAGAAATTATTCCTCCACTCCACGAAGACACTAATAAAACAAATACAGTTAGAAAATACCTGTACACCAGGAGATTACCTTCTACATTGTAGAATTATACACCCAGTTTATTAACTTAGTACTATTGTTGAAATATTGCAGTTAATAAACTTCTAGGCTGTAGAAATTACCTACCAGGTTTATTTTAAAATGAAATGAAGTGAAAGGGGATTTAACATCCTACTGTTCTGCTCCATGAGGATAAAGGTGAGATAAATCTGATTGAAACATTGTAGATAATAAACTTAGTCGATTATATCCCAAAAGTGTAAGACAATGATATTGGCAGGTGTATCACACATCTAATAATTAAGGTAGTTAATTAGCTACTATTAGATAATTTTAATGATTGTCCGTTAAATGAAGGCTACTAAGGCCACACAAAATAAATGTCTTGTTTCTCGGGCAACTGACAGCTGAAACTGTAGGGAGGGAGGGCGGTTGCTTTTTTTTTTTTACTCATTGATGGTGCAAAATAAAATTTGGCTATTGCTGAAAATTGTTGGGGCGGGAGGGCGGTCTTTCTTTTTTCTTTTTTTTTAAATGAGAAAGTCATTACTTGTTTACGTTTTTGCTTTCCGTTATATTCAACTTTATTGTACATACTTAAAACATAAACCCAAAATCTAGTCTACTAAAACACTGAGACTGAACACTGACTAAAAGGAAAATAATTTTCCATATTTAATTCACATAATTGAAATTGGTTTAAAATAAAATTCCATACGACTATGTAATAGCCCTCCATAAAGACAACAATATTTTTAAAAACTAAGCCTCCTTCACCAGGTGTATCAAAAATAATAATCATGGTAAACAGTATTTAAAACTAAATCTAGTATTGCCGGTTTATTTATAATTATTTACCGAATTCCAACCAATGCATATGTCACACCGTGTCATCGGTATTGGAGATTGCCGGAAATACTGTTTCTTGGGATATTCGGTGTGTTTCTCAGGATATTCGGTGTTCTATCCGGTGTTTATATTGAATGACTATTTAAATCTAACTAACAACTGGTCAGTAAAACCATCAAATCGGTAATCCAATTATTATTTTCCGGATTATCGAAACTACCGTAAATGTGCTAATAATGACCCAGATTCTAAGGTATGCATTATGACGACTATCGTCATCGTATCGTATTCTTAGCTATAATTAATTAACCTGTTCTACGGTTCATTATTTTATCAATAGGATTTTCCAAACAAGGACCGACTGAAGCCGGCAATAATGAGCCGATTACGATCGAATGATTGAAATATTGTCGCCAATGACTTTTAACACGAATCAAATTCTAGTTTATCAGGGGAGGTAATTAATATCACGTGATACAAAATGGAGGTTCTTTCGATATCAATAAAAAAGGCAAATCTGCCAAACTTCGCCATTGTTCGGATAAAAAAGACAGCATGTTCATCTGAATCAGTTTTAATACATTTGAATAGATATACATGTATGGCGGATGTAGGTACATGCGGGATATTTTTTTTACGACTTGCTTGTCGATGTGCGGGCGGGCGTTACATATTTATTTTTTTTCATCAAGACTAATAAATAGACTGCACGCGCAACCAATTTTACGTGCGGGCGGTGCCCGAGAAACAAGTTATTTTATTTGTGTTGCCTAATATATATGTATTATAACTTGTGAATGGCTGTTAAATACTAATAAGGTTGTTGATAACACCTTGACCGTTAAAAATGATCTCAGGTAGAAACATAACTCAGACAAGCTTATCAAGAGACCACTACGGAGACGGCTGTACTAGACAGATCGATAGAAGCAGATATGTTATGTTCCTGTGTGCTATATTGTTTGTTAAAATTATAGATATAATAAGTTTTATTGTTTGTTTCTGTATTGTTGAAATAAAGAAGCCAATATTGTTGAAATAAAGAAGCCAACCCAACAGTCATCATTATCATTAGATCCTGTTACAAAAGTCAACTATTTTATCATATATTGCTTTCACTAAATGCATTTTAAAGATAAGTAGAATTAGCTTCTGGATTTCTTCTTAAAAATTTCACTTTTCTTCATCTGAAAATGAAAAAAAGAAAACTTTTAAACCATTGGTCTCTATCTTTTACTCATGATAAACATTTTAAAAAAATACAATACATCCACTGGTAATTCACTTTTATCTATTTTTATCCATGTCTTATTACTCAATAACATTTTGTTTTAGATAAACTTTACTTCTTATATTTATACAGGGCCCTGGTAGTTCAAGCAGTAAGGACACTGGGCCTCACACAAACAGAATGTCACGCCCGGTCAGGATTGATCCCCCACATGGGCCAAGAAACATCTCAGGATTTAATTAGCCAGGTTCCTGGGTAATACACGCATGTATTAAAACTCTTGAAGGTTGGAATTCGATGAAGAGTAAAAAGTAATGCAACTGTCCGGGAAAAATTCTCCTCCCAATTAGTGTAGGCCTACATATCACCATGAAAATATAACTGTACAGGCCCGGCGGAGTGGGGGGGGCTAGGGGGGGCCGATAAGGACCTAGGATGGAAGCCCCCCCCCCCCCCCCCCCCAAATCAAGAATTGCTTCCGCCGGCCCTGCTGTAGGTTAATTTCAAAACGAAATGAAATTGGGTTTAACGAATTTCAAAAAGATCAAAGTATTGTGGTGATGAGACTTTAAACTCCATTCAGTTTATTCCCAAAGAACACAGTTAAATACATATATACATATATACCAATATAGTCTAGTGTTTAATTCACAATAACTCTCAGTAAATATACATATAACCCATACTTTATAATACACAATGTTTAAAGATAAATACCAATATACACCAGCCTACTGTATAATACAAGTGTATTCCCCAGTAACTCAAGAGTAAATATACATATAACCCATGCTTTATTATACACAATGTTTAAAGTGATCTATTAGATAAATACTAATATACACCAGCCAACTGTGTAATATACATGTATGTGTATTCCCCATCACTCAATAGTAAATATACATATAACCCATACTTTATAATACACAAGTTTAAAGTGATCTATTAAATAAATACCAATATATACCAGCCTCCTGTGTAATACATGTGTATTCCCCAATACAGAAAATTTCGTCGCTATTCGCTATTCTGGCGAACCAACGAATCTGAAATATTTAAGTATTGAGAATTATGTGTTTGAAATTTGCGTTCTGTTGTTATCTCTGTAGCCATCAAATAATAACATGTATTTGTGATTGAATATTTCATACATATACATCAGGACACGGTACGTCATTTACATAAACGTTATTATTTGATGGACATAGAAATAACAACAGAGTTCAAATTTCAAATGCATAATTCTCAATACTTAAATATTTCAGATTCCTTGGTTCGCCAGAAACGCGACGATGTATGACATAGAAATTCTGATAAATAATTTAGTAGTTAGGACCTACCATTCATACTTCCAGGTACACACACTGTCAATATTTGTCAAAAATATCAAACTTTAAAACCAAGTTTTCTCATACATTCTTTATGTGCTTCTATTAATTCTTGACATTCTGATTCACCTTTTTCAAAAATACTGAAACAAACAACACAGAAATATCTCAGATTTATGTAAATTATACATTACAGTCAGCATCATAAATACATTATAAAAGTGGATGAAAATACATAAAAAGAGTTTTTTATGAAGAATATATAAAAAGTGGACGAAATGCTGATGTAATATTATAGTAGTAGTAGTAGGTGAATATAGAATTTCATCATCTGTCTTACTTGATCTCTAACCAGGATATCAGCCAGCAAATTTATGGCAATTTATAATTATATAAGGCAAGTATCCTTAGCTCCTTTAAGTTGTGAGTTGTCACGACTGCCAGGTCTGTGTTGAATCACGAATCTCGATATTCATGGCAATTTTATAAGGCATGTTAGATCAAGGGGACTCGAGTCCTTAGCTGTTTTAAGTTGCGAGTTGTCACAACTGCTCAGATGAAATGTGATAAATATTTCAAGTCAAGTCGCAAGTCTGGGCCCTTATTCACGAAAACTTAAACTAAGTTACAACCGAAATTTTAAGAAATACTGCAACTTCATTGGATATATGCAAATTGATTTTACTGGTTAGCCAATCGAATTGCAGTATTTCTAAAAATTTCGATTGTATCTTAGTTTAAGTTTTCGTGAATAAGGGCCCTGGTCTTTGGTGCTATAATTAAGCCAGCGGGACTCAAGTTCCCGCATCTAGTCTGATAAATACTATATATTGTATTGCCGTGTATATTTCAACATTTGAATTTAATTTATAATGACAACACAAATATAATGTCTCATCTGTATATTATATAGGACTGGACTTAGATTTACAAGGCTACGATACTGGAAGTTAGTAGGATGACTCCGCAAGACAGACAATGACCTCAATGATAACTGTTACTGGCTTCTTAACTTAAAGTTAAAGACAAAAAAGGGAGCACACACCGGTCGTTTATGCTAATATTGGGTAGACCCTGGCCACACCCCTTGTTGAATGAAATCCTACTTATTCTGAATTTATGCTGTTTTTTTTTAAATAAAAACATTATAATTCACACTTCTTGTAAAACATTAATGAATGAAGAAATTAGGACATGAAGGAGACAGAGAAGAAAGTTCGTCTGCTATTTTTCCATTTGGCATTTGTCTTATGTTGCGCGGCTTCTGTAGTGTGTGACTTTATTATTTAAAATGCTTACCACTGATCTCTCGGTTTCCTCGTTTCTGGACAAGCACAGCACGGCTTTAATTTCTTTTCACCGTCTTTCTTTTCTTCTGGCATCTTTGTGAACTTTACGTAAAATAGGAACGTCCAAGGTTATCTCTCTACCTGTATTATCAGGTTGTATAATTCCCGGAAGTGATGCAAGTTCCCAGGAAGTCATTTGAGAGTTATCCTCCCAATATTTATTTACCTTTTTTATAAAATTTATCACTAAACCAACGCATTTGTCGTTATTTTCCCACATTAGCCATGGCAGAGAGTGAAAAAGAACAAGGTACCGAGGTAAGTATTTTCATTATTTAAATTCGCATAATCTGGAAATAAAATATATTTTTTATTTGCAAGCAACAACAAATAAAATAAAAAACAGGCAGACCTTGCCTTGGGTTGGGACTTGGCCTATCCACTTCCAGAGAGAAATTGATAGGCTACTGCACTAGTCTGCAGTGAGACCACAATATGTGGGACTTGCACAAACTCATTGCCATCCTTAGCACTCTGGAGACAGAAGAAAAACAAATGAAATACAGACTGGAAATGAAAAAAAAAAAAACATCTTTGCCAACCGAGCCTACTCCTCACCAAAATTCTAATGCAAGTGTTCTTTTACATGTAGCTAGCCTACTCCAGACGTCCAGAGTGTAGGCCTACATAGGATTTGGGGTTTGCCTTCTATCCTGAGGAATGCTCAGGACCAAATTTTACACTCGGGCTAAACTGGAGAACGTCCTAGTTAGTGATCCGGTGACTTAGAAACTGAATCACCATGGTTCTCTCGTGTTTCAGATGTCTTAATAAATAAATATGCATGTAGGCTATGACTCAAACTTAAAATGCGATGTAAAAAATAAAAAATATTTTGCAGACTCTATTCAACTGCATCAGTCAAGCATGTGTTGGAATCGTGGATGTCCCCTTTTCTAAATGTTCTGTCATGTGTTAACTATTGGGGACTGTAGTGGGATTACATGTGATCATTTCCGCCCCGCGACATTTCGGACTCAAAAAAATATGGCCTCAAAGTTTCAGACTCGGGGCAGGTGAAATTTCGGACTAGGGTAGGTGACATTTCGGACTCGGGCATAAGTTGAAAGGAAAGGTTGAACACAACTGTCAAATCAATCTATAATAATTAGCCAAAAGCGATTTTATAAAAAAATAACATACAGGTAAAATTTACCGCATGCAATCAAGTACAGCACGTGGAATCGTGGATCACGCACTGTATAGATCTCTCAAGGAACTTCAAAATTTTCAATGTTGAATGTTTATGAAAAGAATGTTTGATTTCTTTATATCTGAGTCAGAAAGGTTGTCTGTGTTGAGTCCGAAATGACGCGGGACCGAAATGACGTGTTTCCTGTAGTGGTTCATTGAATAAAACTGTGGTTCTCTAACTAGGAGGTCACGGGTTCGATCCCAGTGTTGGCTGAGAAAGTTCCTCAGGATTTTCTGGTGCAGGTACCTCTGGTCAGTGGTGCAGGACAGGGGGCCTGTCAAAGACTGTGTCTAGTTCTGATGGGACAAAAAAACGAAGATCCTGTGACCCGCATACGCATTGGCATGTGCATAAAAGAACCCTTCATGAATTCTAAAACAGAGTAGGCCTTAGTGCTGCTGTCCGGGCAAATTATCCCTCATAGGCGTACGCCAGTCTTTATTAGCCAAGTTGGTCATTTCATTTTGATATTCAGTAACAGGAATTCCAGAATACAGAAGTCTTTTTTGGTTTGTCTACTTTTATATTGTAGACTTAGGCTATTTACATTTTAGACTTAGGCTATTCACTTTTACATTGTAGACTTAGGCTATTTACATTGTAGACTTAGGCTATTCACTTTTACATTGTAGACTTAGGCTATTTACATTGTAGACTTAGGCTATTCACTTTTATATTGTAGACTTAGGCTAATCACTTTTATATTATAGACTTAGGCTATTTACTTTTTAATTTGATTACAGTTTGAAGATGAAGAAGAAGACACACCACTTGATAAAAGAAAGAAAATATTCTCTAAAGAATGTAAGAAATAAACTTTTATGATTGTTTTGAAAATCTAAAGTGAAACGGTGAGACCCTACAGCCCTAGACCACAAAGCCATCCCAACCCCCATTTTTAAATATAATTATTAACTGGCAATCATGTTTAATATCGTTGAAAATGAAAATCATCCGTTAGTCTTGGCATGTGAATAAATGTCTAATTTAATGATTTATATAACATTTGAAGGCCATAACTATTTAATTCAACATACATTATGCAAGACTAAATCTGCCAATTGCAGGTCTTTCTTTAGGCCTGAAATGTTATCTAAATTATTAATTAGACATTAATTAAATTATTCAGACCATAATCAACTCTTGATGGCATTGCTAGCCTGCAATATTATCTGGATTAGAACCAGGTCTGCCGCTTCTGATTAAATCAAAAAGTGGATAATCAAGACAATATTTTTTATCGTACCGACTTTAGTAATGATGATGAGGCTAGGTCCAAAATTCAATTGCTAACCATTAAGGGTGGATCAATTTGACTGACATTTTCAGCAAATTTTCTTTACATTATCTAGTTTTTAACTATTATATTGAGAACTACCATCTCTTTATCTAATCTCCCATAATGTATCTTTAAGTATTCTAATTATTTCAGTACGATGTATGATGTATGGTTTCGGTGATGATCAGAATCCGTATACAGAATCCGTGGATTTATTACAAGATCTAGTTATAGAATATATCACAGAAATGGTGAGTAGACTTTCATATTCATATTAAACTTTCTCTTAAATCAGGGGGATTGGATGGTTGAATGGTTAGTGAGTGTGCGCTGTATCATAAGGTCTGTCATTGAGTCAATTGGTGTGGTTTCAATATTCCGGTTGTACGTGACAAGGAGTAGGGTCGCCTGTCGAACATTGTGGGTTTTCTCCAGTATCCTTCCACTACCGACAAGCGATTTATTGAAATAAAATTGAACCATATTTTAGTCCCAAAATGACCCTAGTTTGTGTTGAGTGGCTGTTAAACCCCCTTTCTCTCTCTCTCTCTCTCTCTTAAATCAAAATGGAATGGGATTTATCCAGAGATGCTGTTTCAGAATTTTGTGTCAGACATTTTTAGGTCACTAGAAGTTTTGTGATCCAACACACATACTTTATTAGATCATTAGGCCTATCATTGATTCAAGGGGCCTAACTTAGCATGTTTTCTTTGGGTTTCCCAGTTTCCTGCCACTGCTAAAACCATGTACCCATTGTTAGTCCCAAAATAACCTAGTTTGTGTTGAGTGGACATTAAACCCAATTTCTCTCTCTCTATCTTTCTCTTAAACCATGTACCATGTGTTAGTCCCAACATGACCTAGTTTGTGTTGAGTGGACGTTATGCTGGAAATTATGAAAAAAAAACTGGATTCACAAGATTGTTTTCTATTTTTATTTTTTTTAGACGAAGAAAGCGATGGAAACAGGAAGACCAGGACGTATACAAGTAGAAGATATTATTTTTCTGATTCGAAAAGATCCCAAGAAATATTCCCGAGTTAGAGAACTTTTATTGATGAACGAAGAATTAAGGAAAGCTCGTAAAGCTTTTGATGAAATTAAATTTGCAACAAAATAACTATAAATGGAACTACAAATTTAAAATGAAAGAGATACTGAATGTAGTCACAAAAAAAAACAGATTCAGCATTTGAAAAAAACTTTGAATGTGAATAGAACCAGTGATATTTTTTATATATAATGGAGTCAGTTTTGTGTTTTTTTCATGTGTTCCCCCAAGACATCCTCTGTTACTTCTCTGTATGATATTTATCATTGACAGCATCTTCAATAGAAGGCTTGATCTCGCTTTAACTACGTACATCTTATCAAGGCCTTCACGACTGACATCATCTTCAATAAAAGGCTTGATCTCGCTTTAACTACGTACATCTTATCAAGGCCTTCACGACTGACATCATCTTCAATAAAAGGCTTGATCTCGCTTTAACTACGTACATCTTATCAAGGCCTTCACGACTGACATCATCTTCAATAAAAGGCTTGATCTCGCTTTAACTACGTACATCTTATCAAGGCCTTCACGACTGACATCATCTTCAATAAAAGGCTTGATCTCGCTTAACTCCGTACATCTTATCAAGCACTTTATGACTGATATCATCTTCAATAGAGGGCTTGATCTAGCTTTAATTCCATACATCTCATCAAGCCCTTCATGTAATACCCTGCATATTTTGACACTAATTTTGATTGGCTATTGACCAAGCTGGAGGCCTCTTCGATACCTTGATAGAAAATATCATTGAAATTACCAAGTCTCCCGCTTTCCCACTAAAATATCTACCTGTGATAATTCAGTTGCAAAGTTCAAGGTTCGTTCAATGTCACGGTTTCTATAGAGGTCGCCATGTTTGATTTGAGTGTGTTTGTGTCACAACCTCTGATTGGTCATGGCTATTGTTCACATGTATACAGTAACAGGAGATAACAAACCTATAGTTCGAAAATTTCTGACTAATGTAACAACCACGGGATGTTGTAAAACTTGCTGTTGTGTTCCTTCGGGAACATGCACTAAATTGTTGTGTCCCATCCCAATGACTAGACAGCTGTCCTGCACCATTGACAAGTGAATTTGAATACATTTAATGATGGATGATTTAAAATGATAAAATGGATTATCAAGATTTTGTTTTTTTATCGTACCGACTTCAATAATTATGATCGAGGCTAGGCCTAAAATTCAATCACATACATGTTGGTTTAGAGTGGAGCAATCTAATCTTATCTAATGCCCCTTGAATGAATGTCATCTATGTATTTTGGATGGCTGTAGGGGAGATCAGCATCACCGTTAACTTCAATTTATTGCCTTCCTCACTGAGCCAATAGGGTTTAACTTCCACGCAAATACAAACTAGGTCATTTTGAGACTAGCTTGGTGTGATTTTATGTGGGATTGAAACCAAACCACTTGACTCAATGACAGACCTTCGGATCTAAAGCTCCAACCCAACCTCTCTTACTTGGTAATGTTTGTACCATCAGCAAGGGAGAGAGAGATAGAAATGGGGTCTTACGTCCACTCAACACAAACTAGGTCATTTCGGGTCTAACATATGGTTTAATTTTATTTCAATAATTTGCTTGCACGTAGTGGTCTTTAGCAGTGGGAGCAAACCCGCAGGACGCGGAGAGAGCCCATGCGGCTGGACAGGCGCCCTTAATCCTTGTCACGTACAAGGATTTGAACCCACGCCAGTTGACTCAATGACAGACCTTATGATACAGAGCGCACATGCTAACCATTCGGCCATCACCCACCCTCATCAGCAAGGGAATAACCAAGAGAAAACAACAAGAACAAGTTCCAGTCCACACAATGTTTTATTTACAATGAATGATAAAACAATTTTTACATAAAATTAAATCTTATTCAAAAATTTTCTTTTCAAATAAAGTTTAATATTACAATGTTTCCATATTTATACATGAATAACCGGAAGAAATATCTAGAAATATTTTTAAATAAGGTTCATGTTTTCTTAAAATACAATCTGATTAAAATACAGATCCATGTGCGAGACTGCACACCCGCTGATCTGGCCTGTAGTATCAGGCCCGATGGTGTCTGACAGTGCTGTACTGCACATCCAATGATGTGGCCTGCAGTATCAGGACCGATGGTGTCTGATAGCGCTGTAATGCACACCCTCCAACGAGGCCTATAGGAGCAGGCCCAATCGTGTCTGATTGCGCTGTACTACACACCCTCCGATGTGGCTTGTAGTATCAGGCCCGATGGTGTCTGACAGTGCTGTACTGCACATCCAATGATGTGGCCTGCAGTATCAGGACCGATGGTGTCTGATAGCGCTGTAATGCACACCCTCCAACGAGGCCTATAGGAGCAGGCCCGATCGTGTCTGATTGCGCTGTACTACACACCCTCCGATGTGGCTTGTAGTATCAGGCCCGATGGTGTCTGATAGCGCTGTACTGCACACCCTCCAATGTGGCTTGTAGTATCAGGCCCAATTGTGTCTGATAGCTCTGTACTGCACACCCTCCAACGAGGCCTATAGGAGCAGGCCCGATCGTGTCGGATAGCGCTGTACTGCACACCCTCCAACGAGGCCTATAGGAGCAGGCCCGATCGTGTCTGACAGCGTTGTACTGCACACCCTCCGCAGAGGTTTAAATATTTTCTATTAATGAAAGATGATAAAATAAGATTTAACAGGTGAAATAATAACAAAATATACAATGTCAGCAGATATCCTCATGTTATTATTCTCACAGTCATTTTAAGACATTTTTAATAATTTCTAGGAATGAATATACGAAACTGGGTTTAACAACCTATTATTCTGCACCAGAAAAACAGATTGTCTGTCACCAAGAGCTTCAACTTTAAAATTTCGGCGGTAATTTTGCAAATTTCATGTTTTTAGCCCGCTGGCCTGTAGAGGTCTCAGGTTCGCTCCTGGTATTGGTTGAGGAAGTAACTCAGGATTTCCCTTGTCAGTGACAGCTGTCTAGTCGGTCGGATGGGATGAAAAACCGAGGTCCTGTGTCATGAACGTAAAAAAAACCCCACTTGATTCAATATAAGAGTAGGTCTCTATTCTGTCAAAATTTCCCTCATAGTACACATGAAGTATGCCCGTTTCATTAGCCCAGTCGGTGCAGAACAGTAGGACGTTAAACCCTGTTGTGTAGTTACGTATCTATACTATTTTGTCAGTCTGAATCAAGTCACCCATATCTTAAGTCAAATATAAAATCTGTTTTGACTTGAGCAATAACACACATAAAACCTTCTCCCACTTAAATACATCAAACAATAGCGTATTAAATTATTAATTAAGTTAAGCTTAAAGCAAATTAGTCAACATTCTAACTTCTAGATGGAATTTATTTCATATAATTAATGATGCATTATTTGTATTTATCGCTGAAATATCAAATTTCTCACGGCTTAATCCTTGCTAATTTGTACTCAGATTAATTATTTAACATTTAATTAAGAAAAAAAAATCAAAATACCAACGTTATATAATATCACGGCTTGGATTCATTCAGATTTAAACCACTCCCATCAAATGGTGGCACATAGATCCTTGAAATTTCAATTATCGTAACTTCGTAAATACTCAACGAATTTCAACCATTTTTGAACTGATGACTGATGTTTCTACTAGCGATTCAACCTTTACGATATTGTCGTCTGCAAGGGGGTGTTATAGCGCTAAATGATGCATGAGGTGGTAAATATGAAAGATCATGAAACAGGAAGAGGTGAAGAGTAATCATGAATCTTTATCGCGTTTCATTTCAACAATTATCAGAGTTCTATTTTCTGTGAAAAATTCTCAAATATCTGAAGTTCTGTAAATATATTAAAACTTTCATTTCAAGGACTATTTGAGTTTAATTTTCTGTGAAAAATTCCTGAATATCTAAAGTTCTGTAAATAAAACATTCATTTCAAGGAATATCGGTGTTTAATTGTAGGTGAAAGAATTTCTGAATGTCTGAACATATCTTAAACTTTCATTTCAAGGAATATCAGAGTTCAAATTACAGTGAAAGAATTCCTGAATATCTAAAGTTCTCAACATATCTTGAACTTCCATTTCAAGGAATATTGGTGTTCAATTTACGGTGAAAAAATTCCTGAATATCTGTACATATCTGTACTCCAATCACAAATGAAAATAAGTTTAAAATTCATTTTCCGTAGTTAGTAAGAGTTAAATTTCTTTTCAGAACAGTATCTTCTCCATGAATAATTTGCATCAATGTCTTTGATTCACAGTGTACCATCGTCTCTCATTTTATTTTCTTCTGTTGTCGAGCTCTGTAAATGTCATTGGCTGGTGCTGTTATTTCCATTCCAGCCTCGTCATCGCTATCTGCATCTGTTATTTTACGTTTTCTGATTCCCGCCGCTATATCGATAGAATAATGTGTTCCGAGATCCACGTGGATATTACCATCAATACCATTCTCTACTGCAACAGGTGCTGTAATATGAATAAAATAAAATGGGGTTTAACGTCCTACTGTTCTGCCCCGACTGGGCTAATGAAGACGGGCATACACCATACAGTGTGCTATGACCATACAGTGTGCTATGGGGGAACTTTTTCCCGGACAGCGAAACTACAACCTACTATGACAAGGGTTCTTTTACGTGCACGCCAATGTGAACACAGGAATTTATTTTACCTGCCCTCCATCCTGCACAAATGACAAGACGGAACCACGCCGGAAAAACACAGGGTTCGAATACGATGCACCATGGCTCTGATACAAATGTAATAGAAGCGACAATGTAAATGAAACCCTGTAGTCCGAAACACCATTATCGAAGTGAAATTTTCCTCATAGCAGACTGTATGGCATATGCCCATCTTCATTAGAACAGTTGGTGCAGAAATCAGAAAAGTTGTTTCAGATGCTGCAGAAAGTACACCACTCTATTTCATAGCTAAATGAAAATATACCACCCAACTTCATAGCTAAATGAAAGTACACCACCCTATTACATAGCTAAACGAAAGTAAACCACCCTACTTCATAGCTAAATGAAAGTATACCACCCTATTACATATGTAAATGAAAGTACACCACCCTATTACATAGCTAAACAAAAGTAAACCACCCTACTTCATATCTAAATGAAAGTACACCACCCTACTTCATAGCTAAATGAAAGTAAACCACCTTACTTCATAGCTAAATGAAAGTAAATCACTCTACTTCATAGCTACATGAAAGTACACCACCCTACTTCATAGCTAAAGGAAAGTACACCACCCTATTACATAGCTAAAGGAAAGTACACCAGCCTATTTCATAGCTAAATGAAAGTAAACCACTCTACTTCATAGCTAAATGAAAGTAAACCACCCAACATCACAGCTAAATGAAAGAACACCAGCCTATTTCATAGCTAAATGAAAGTATACCACCCTACTTCATAGCTAAACGAAAGTACACCACTCTATTTCATAGCTAAACGAATATACACCACCCTACTTCATAGCTAAACGAAAGAACACCACCCTTCTTCATAGCTAAATGAAAGTATACCACCCTTCTTCATAGCTAAATGAAAGTATACCACCCAACTTCATAGCTAAATGAAAGAACACCACCTTACTTCATCGCTAAATGAAAGTATACCACCCTTCTTCATAGCTAAATAAAAGAACACCACCCTGCTGCTTCATAGCTAAATGAAAGTACACCACTTTACTTCATAGCTAAATTAAAGTGCACCACCCTACGTCATAGCTAAATGAAAGTACACCACCCTGCTGCTTCATAGCTAAATGAAAGTACACCACCCTGCTGCTTCATAGCTAAATGAAAGTACACCACCCTACTTCATAGCTAAACGAGAGGACACCACCCTATTACATAGCTAAATGAAAGGAGGCCACCCTACTTCATAGCTAAATGAAAGTAAACCACCCTGCTGCTTCATAGCTAAACGGAATCCCATTTTAGATATCAGATATCCAAGACTACTGTCAATGAACTGTATTTAAAGTTATTATTTGTAAAGTTGAACTGACCTTCGGGTAATTTGACTCGTTTCATATGTTCTATTAATTTATCCATGATAACAAATGGTCCCTGTAAAATACAATAAATCATTAATTATATCTACCAATGATATAACGACCCCTCGTCCTCTAGAATATATATATAAACATTCAGAAATTGAAACATAATAATCACTTTATTTTGCTGCATTTTAATGTTACAATACCTTACAGTACTTCAAACACAGAGAGAGAAATGGGGTTTAATGTCCATTCGGCACAAACTAGGTCATTTTGGGACTAATACAAGGTTCAATTTTATTTCAATAATTCACTTTTGCGTAGGTGTCTTTAGCAGTGGGGGGGGTGGAGAAAACCCACGAGGTTGAACAGGTGACCTTACTCCCAGTAGAACAGAAAACAAAAAAATGGAATGAAATGGGGTTTAAAGTCCTACTGTTCTGCTCCGACTGGGCTAATGAAGACTTAGGTTTTTTGTCCCATATGAACGACTAGACAGCTGTCCTTGTCAGGCCCTCCGTCCTGCATCACTGACAAGGGGGAACCACGTCAGAAAATCTGGATGAACTTTCTCAACCAATGCAGAGTTCGAACACGCGACCTCCAGGCTACATATTGAAATAAGTTTGAAGCTTACTTTAAAACAGTTTGGTGGTGGTAACATTTGTAGAAGTTCTGAAGCTGGTAAAGGCATCTGGAATACTCCTCCTGGTACAATATGAGCTCCTGCAGCTGGAAATATCACACAACATTTACATATCATGTACAAGAGGGAGTGAGAAATGGGCTTTAACGTCCCCTTGCACACATACTAGATCATTTTGGGACTAGTATATGGTAGAACTTTATGCTAATAATTTGCTTCTGTATAAAGGTCTTTAGCAGTGTGAGGAAACCAGAAGATCTGGAGAAAAGCCACAAGGTTCGACAGGCGACTCCCGGAATTGAAACCACGCTATCTGACTCAATCACAGGCAACCCAAACCTGCACAATGGAATATTTAATGCATACGAACCCTCTCCCCATATAAAATGTAATGATAAAATACATAATCAAGACCTTGTTTATATCGTAACAATAGTACTTGGTTATCAAGATTCTCTTGTGAAAACATCAAACACATATAATACATGTATATGTATTTTTCAATATCTATTTTTTTTTTAAGTATTACAGCAAGAAAGGTCAGCTCTTTATCTAAATCTTACATACTGAATCTTCAGCTGAACAATAGAGAGAGAGAGAGAGAGAGAGAGAGAGAGAGAAATGGGGTTTAACGTCCACTTGACACAAACTAGGAAATTTTGGGACTAACATGGGTCTTTAGCAGTGGGAGGAAACCCATAAGATTGGTCAGGCGAAACTACTCCTGGTCATGTACAAGCTGGGAATCAAAACCATGCCACTTGACTTAATGACAGAACTTGTGATCTAAAGTGAAGACTATCGACCATTCAGTCACCCAACCCCATACCATGAAATAAAATTAAAAAAGATGAAACATATTTAACTCACGGACAATACTTCTAGGTTTAAAAGGTAGAAGTTGTTCTACATCAGGTTTCGGAAACTGGGGTCGAACTTGCTCATCCTCAATACCGTTCATCATCACTTGTTTCACGGCACCCATGGGTATTTGTACAGCATTATGTTTAATCAAATCCTACAAAATGATACGAATGAATCTCTAATCAACAATCCAATTTTTTTAATGCAAAACTTAAACTTACATTGTGCAAGAGCTAAATCTGCCTATTGCAGGTCTTTCGTTAGGCCTGAAATGTTATATAAATTGTTAATTAGACATTTATTAACATGACAAGACCATAATCAACTGTCGATGCCATCTGATGCCTCTGATTCTAAGTAGATTAGAACTGTTTGGCCATTTAATGATTTAATTTAAAAATGGAAAAACGAGACTAAGCTTCGAACAACCAGTACGTTGGTTACAATCAATGCACACATCTTGTCAAACCTTCAAAGGCTAATATTTTCGCTAATATATTCATTTTGCATAATCTATTTTTGAACTATTTTTGAACCAGGTCATTTTGGGACTAACATATGGTTCAATCTTAATTCAATCATTCGCTTGCGCGTAGGAGTCTTTAGCAGTGGGAGGAAACCTGACGACCCTACTCCTTGTCACGTACAATCAGGAAATCAAAACCACGCTAGTTGACTCAATAACAGACATTATGATACATCGCGCACAAACTAACCACTCGGCCATCCAAACCGCCCCACCCTTCCCCGAAGGAATGGCAGAGTGTTACGAGTCAAAATAAATTATCTGTTGATACTACTCACCCAATAACCTAAAGATTTAAGTTCACTTTCAGAACAGGGTAACATATCCATATATTTATATCTATCTATTAATAAAGCTGTTTCTTTCTCCTCAAACTCCTGAACCTACAAAACAAAACACAGAATGTTTAAACTTCAAAAAAACATTTTAATAGGAAATATGTTTCATTACGGTTCCCTCAAGGTTGTGCATCATATGTGCACATGACCACATGTTTTGCAACTAATGCACACAAAAAAAAACACTGTGTGTACAAATTTTAGGCTAAATTAAAAAAAAGAATCTTGAACTTAATATAGCATCGCAACACTTCAAAAGGGTCTGCATGATCCACTTTTATTTGCAAATACAACTTTCTTAACCCTCAGTTTGTTCTATATAGTCTACAGTTCTAAGAACAAAATCCCGGGACTATTTCTAAATAATCTACTGTTCGTAGAATAAAACCCCAGGTTCTATTTCTATCTAATCTACCGTTCTGAGAACAAGACCTCAGGTTTATTTCTATATAATTTACTGTTCCTAGAACAAGACCCCAGTTCTATTACTAGATAATCTACCTTTTCTATTGCTTGAGTTCTTCTTTTTTCAACTTTAATTATACTTGTTAGATCTCCTACTTGAGATTCAAAAGCTAAAAATTTACTCCATATTCCACTGAAAGAAAAAAAAAAAATTAAATTTTATTTTTCAAGCATCAAGTTGTTGAAGGAAAAGAGAGAGAGAGAGAAATGAGGTTAAACGCCCACTCGACACAAACTAGGTCATTTTGGGACTGGTTCAATTTTATATTTCATGCGTGAAGTTGTCAAACGAAATGCAAGATAAAAAAAACAGGTAAAACTTACATTGATTTTTCTGGTGGTAATTGTTGTGATGATAAAATTCTTTCAAATAAAACTCTGGTGTTGTTGTCCTCTATAAATAAAAACATATATGGTTAAATTTGGTATCGGGTGTTCTAGGAAAGAAGGTCTGATACTCTGCATCAACTTATATATATTAAATGAAATGACATGGGGTTTAACGTCCTACTGTCAGAGGAAAGGAGATGTAATGAAACAGAGTTTAACAACAGTGAGAATTCAAAAAAACAGAAGGCATGACAGAGAGACAGAGAGAGAGAGAGAGAGAGAGAGAGAGGGAGGAGTAATTTAAGGACTAACATATGATTCAATTACATTTCAATTGCTTGTAGTTGTCTTAAAGCTGGGGGAGGAAACCAGAGGATACACAGAAAACCCAGGCGGTTGGACATGCAATCCTAGTCCTTGTCGTGTACAAGTGATGAATCAAGGAAAAAAAGAATAGAAATGAAATGAAATGGGGTTTAATGTCCTACTGTTCTGGTCCTATTGGGCTAATAAAGACGGGCATACGCCACACGGTGTGCTATGAGGGGAATTTTTGCCCGGGCAGTGGCACTACGGCCTACTCTTATATTGAATTCTAACTGCTAAGGGATCTCTTACGTGCACGCCACAAGTCCTCAGTTTTTCGTCTCATCCGAAGGACTAGACAGCTGTCCTTGTCAGGCCCTCCATCCTGCATCACTGACAAGGGGAAACCACACTTGAAAATCCTTATGAACTTTCTCGGCCAATGCAGGGATGGAACACATGACCTCCAGACTAGCGAGCCTGCGTCTTAACCACTTAGCCACCGTGGCTCCTCTCAAGTTATATATATGGATGAGGGTAAAACAAAATTTGAAGCCCCAAAGAATATTTTTCACAAACTGTTGAATGACATTAGCTCGCTCGGTTCAAATGAAGTAAGAACGAAAGTAGGGATATTCTACAATGTGTTACTTATATTACATTAATCAATATTATATGGGTCATTTTTCTGCCATACATCGGCAAAGTAATTGACTATAACACTGCCATAGACCCATTTGTATTTTATATCGTTGAACTAATCTATGAATGAAAGTTAGGAACAATTGTAAAATATGATTTGACTTCTATTCCACATCAACTCATACCCCGTAATATATCATGAGTTCAAGGGAAGAATGATCTAAGTCACTTTTTCCATGAAACCCAGGTAATGGCACCATCTGGTAGCAAATTGAATAACCATTCTATGGAACAATCGCTTTCAGCTAAAAAATGATCAGAGTCACATCGAACCAGGACTCTTCTGAAATGGTCTCCAGGTCGAGAACGATCTAAATACACAGTGTCCCGGTCACATCAAGAATTCTCATCCATCAAGTTTCAATTTTGGTCTAGGCTCTTCATATGGTGTTGTGTGAAATCTTGGATTAAGACCACTTATTAACTTACTATTCAAACATAACAAATGGAAAAGACTACTTAGATACTTACTATTTAAATTTGATATAACAGATTAAAACTACTAATTCACTTACCATTTAAATTTAACTATCACCAATAATTAACTTGACAGAATGGATTAAGACCACTGATTAACCTGACAGGATGGATTAAGACCACTGATTCACTTACCATTTAAATTGGACATAAAATCAATATAAGACAGACAATATTCTGGAACATGACCAAACTTCTTTAAACCAAGTTCAAATATCTTTAAAGCTACTGTTTTTTCCTGTAATCATTTAAGTCAATACAAATAAAAATATCATTCAAAATAAACAAACCGCCACGTCAATTAAAAAAAGAATACTGGGTCATCGCAAACAATAGTAAACATTCGGTGGGTCCCGGGGACCGGTCTCAATTTTATTACTAGAATAGCCTATATTAATAGTATGTATGTATAGGATGATGGTAACCATAGTGATCAGTAACAAAACAATTATATAGTCTATGAAGTTAATTTATGTGAGAAGGTGAATCGCGATACATCGATTCAACGATATATCGTACCAGCACTAAAATCTATGAAACTAATTTGTGGGGTTGTAAATCCATGGAATCTCTAATGAAATGGGCTTTAACCGTTGCTGCACCAACTGGGCTGATGAAAATGATCGATTCTCATTTTGATCTTCAAACAGTCAAGAGATCTTTAAAGGGACAATAACACTCTTGCTGGCTTGACAGCTCCAGAAAATAAAAAATAGCCTTATTCTAAGTACTAGATGTGTTAGTGTCCTACCTGTTGTGTAAATTATCCATTAAATCCTATTTTACTTGTCCAAAGGGATCAAAAATATTTTTAAATACAAGTCACATTTGAAAAGCTTTACGTCAGGCTTTTCAAATCATTTAGTTGAATTTTTCTAATTTTTTAAATTAGGTGTGTTAAGATGAAATTTGTATCATCAATTAATTGGAATATTGTAAAATAGTACAATTTGTTGACCAGAATAAAGATTGGGACATATTATTCAGTTCCAACAAGAGTGGTATTGAGCCTTTAACGTGCTGGCAATGATTTTAGTCCCAGACACCATCTTTCATGGGGAGCCACGGTGGCTAGGTGGTTAAGACGCTGGCTCGCTAGCCTGGAGGTCGGGTGTTCGATTCCTGCATTGGCCGAGAAAGTTCATCCGGATTTTCCGACGTGGTTTCCCCTTGTCAGTGGTGCAGAACGGAGGGCCTGACAAGGACAGCTGTCTAGTCCTTCGGATGAGACGAAAAACTGAGGTCCCGTGTATACATTGGAATGGACGTAAAAGATCCCTTGGCAGTTGGAATTCGATATAAGAGTAGGTGATAGTGCCGCTGCCCGGGCAAAATTTCCCTCATAGCACACTGTGTGGCGTATGCCCGTCTTCATTAGCCCAGTATTGGTGCAGAACAGTTGGACGTTAAACCCCATTTCATTTCAATTCATTTTCATTTCCATCTTTCATGGACAAACCTGCTACTAAGCCTACACCTGGATCTAATCTGTCACTTCCTGGTTGGTGAACCAGCGTTACCATGACAACCAGTTATTACACTAAATAGCTGTAATGTATTCTTACCTTACTACAATAATATTCCATGAGAGCCGCAGAGACATAAACTTGTAAACCACTTCTAGAATCTTCTCGTGCTTGTTTAAATACCGTTCTCGCTGATTTTATACCTTCAGCTCGTCTAGCAAACTTCATATAGTGGATATAGGCCTACATATAAACAATATCATAGATATAGGCCTACATATAAACAATATCAAAACTTCATATAGTGAATATAGGCCTACATGAAAACAATATCAAACTCCATAAAGTGGATATAGGCCTACATGAAAACAATATCAAACTTCATATAGTGAATATAGGCCTTCGGGAATATTACTTCAAGCCGCTACTTGAATTAAATATGAAAATTTTTCAAAAGGTGTACCTATTTGTCGTTATTTTTGTGGTAATCACATACATTAGAAATATGACATTCTCCATAACAAATTACCAAGAATTATTTTTGTTGAAGTCTGGTTATATTAAAGGGAATGGGAGCTTATAATCAACCCATTTCCTTCGGGATCTCATTTGACCCAATTCTGGCCGGTTTGTTTCAAAATGGATTAAGAATCCTGGATTTAACAATATATGGTGCCAGCACTACTCCTAACCCTAGCTCCAATATAACCTCTGGCCAAGAAGTCAGTCTGACATCTTCTATATAGAGGCAAGTAACGAATCAATCTCAGCTCCCAGAGAGATAGAGAATTAGGGTTTAACGTCCACTTGACACAAACTAGGTCATTTCGGGACTAACATATGGTTTAATTTTATTTCAATAATTCGCTTGCGCGTAGGGGTCTTTAGCAGTGGGAGGAAACCGGAGGATCCGGAGAAAACCCACAAGGTTGGACAGGCGACCCTACTCCATGTCATGTACAACCGGGGATTCGAAACCACGCCAGTTCACTCAATGACAGGCCTTATGATACAGCGCGCACGTGCTAATCATTTGGCCATCCAACCCCCCAGCTCCCAGAGAGAAGTTTATTATCCATTTCTCTCTCTGGAGAATCACACCGGCCCTTCATCGTCTGAATTCGGTTCCTAAGCTCCTCCCCCAGTGGCTCCTGATTGGCTGGATTTGTTTGACAATTAGACATCGGTTCATCGCATGAGTTAAATATTAATAATCCTTGGAATATTTTACGCATCTTCACATGAAAAGTTCAATCGAAAACAGCCGATTTGATGATTTACCAGGAATTATTTTTAGTGCACAATGTGAGTGATTCCGTGAAATGACCGGCGGAATGATACATGTGACATTCAAAATGATTGACATATAGCCGTAGCGATTCCCCAGTAAATTTGTCTCTGTGAACTGAGATTTGTAATGAATATCGGGATATTAAACGTAGAAACATTTTGTATTAAACCTACCAGTGTAGGATCAACATCATCAAATGATATAAACTTCTTATAAATACTGTGAACTTTCTCAAACTTCATTCGACCCTGTAGTAACAAATATTATAACTATAATCAATTAAACATATAAATGGATCTAAACAAACTTCCTCCACCAGAAGCGAATCTGAGACCTCCAGGCTAACAAGACAGGGTCTTACACACTAAGTCACTGCGGCTTCCGCAGATTGGATATAAGACCTTGTTCCGTGAAAGTCTAGGGTTTTGGTCGAGAAAGTTCATCATGTTTTTCCTCTTGTCAGTGGTGCAGAACAGAGGGCCTGACAAGGACAGCTGTCTAGTCATTTGGATTGGATAAAAAACTGTGGTCCCATGTACACACTGGCATGCATGTAAAAGATCCCTTGACAGTTGGAATTCAATACAAAAGTAGGCCATAGTGCCGCTGTCAGGGCAAAATTTCCCTCATAGCACACTGTATGGCGTATGCCCGTCTTCATTAGCCCAGTTCGGAGCAAAACAGTAGGACGTTAAACCCCATTTCATTTCATTTTGTTCCATGGATTTCTCAGTTGGTCAGGATGGAGGACCATTGCAAGGAAGAGCATCTAGTTGTTTGCATAGAACAATAAAACCCTTGTCCTACGTTTCTGGAACAACCAGGCTAATGAGTGCTATGAGGAAAAGTAGGATATTAAACCACAGTTCTTGATTTATATCTTGTTTAAATTTAAAGTTTTTGAGAAGCTTGACCAAGTTTCTAGGGTTAAGAAAAAGACGCAAAATTTTAATATCTGTTCCCCCAAAAAGTAAAATTCAAATCAGAGTGACCATAGGCTTGTTTATCACAAAATGCACGTTTTATTTTTAATCTAACGAGACTTACCTCTTCAAAATCAGCGTAGGAGAAGTATATTAACATATTGGTTTTCATCAGTGTAGATATAGCACGTTCATAAATAGCAGCAGCTTCATCAGCAAACATTTTACCAGCATTCTGATCCTATAAATACATCCACAGGTTAATCATGTAAAAAAAAATCACGTAATAATACACGTAAAAACAATCACATTAAATAAATTAATCACGTCAAAAAACACACAAGTAAACCAAGTATATATTAAAATCTTGTAAAAATACACAAATATCAATCACATTAAATAAACAAATTAATCACGTCAAAAAACACACAAGTAAATATTAAACAAAAAAACACAATGCATAATTCTCCCTCTTGCATTGTACCTTTCTACTCAACACACAGTTTACAAAATAACCGTAAAATTTTGACAATGGATCCCAATAACTTACAGATACGGTTACTTACCCCTTTTTCGGCTAAAATTTTACTGGACTGTTCAAGATACGACGCAGCTTCGTACCAAATATCTGGATGATGTCCCAGACATAGTAAACACTGTTCATATGCAAACATTACTGTTAAATAAAAAAAAAATAAAATAATCAATAATTTGATATTCTTCTTCTTGACTCTATTAGTTCCTTAACAAATACCTCAAACTTATATTAATAACATAAAGGGATGGGGGTGGGGGGTATATGTTTTGTGATAAATTGTGTCTGACAAAGGATGGAGGGGGGTATATAGGTATATATGCTATATGTTTTGTGATAAATTGTGTCTGACAAAGGATGGAGGGGGGTATATAGGTATATATGCAATATGTTTTGTGATAAATTGTGTCTGACAAAGAAGGAGGGAGGGAGGGAGGGGGTATATATGCTATGATATGTTTTGTAATAAATTGTGTCTGACAAAGGCTGTGACAAGTGCCTTATGTCCAGGCTAGTTCATATATGGTAAATTTTGTAGGAGAATAGTGGTCAATAGCATTTCTCCCTACTGCTAAAAAACCCCCACAATTGTACAAGTGAAATAAACCTAGACCATGTTAGTCTCGAAATGACATAGTTAGATATAGGCCTATGCTTGGACTCGTAGGCTTAATTTAATCAAGCGTACAGCATAGAATAGGATTTTAATAAGAAATCTGCGCAAAATAGGCCTACACTGGGACTTGCAGGCCTACATAATCAGTTTTCTAATAATAAAAGTTATTACCTCGTTTTGTAATTAAAGCGTGATCTTCAGTACGAAGTGGATTACTCTTCTCCCAGGCGATATATTTCTTCCATAATTCAACCTGAAGTCATTAATTTCATTCTTATATCATCTTAAACTACCGCTAAAAATGCTTTAAAAACATTGGTTCGAAATTCTCCCAATAATTCAAAACATAGGAACATCATTTTTACAAATATCCAAGACAAGACATAAAATCAGAACGTCATTTTCCTAACCATCCAACGTTTATTATCATTGTCCTAATCAAAACTTTTCTGTGCTCAATATGTCTCTGACTGACAAGTGGATTGATTCCTCAATAAGATACTGACTGACTGCGAGAAGAACGTTGATGGATCTCATACATTCAGAGTTAAAAATTAATAATATGCGATGAAATGAAATGGGGTTTAACGTCCTTCTGTTCTACTCGTACAGAGATAATGAAGACGGACCATACAGTGTGCTATGAGCTAAATTTTAGCCGGACAGCGCCGTTACGGCCTACTCTTACATCGAATTCTAACTGCCAAGAAATCTTTCACGTGCACGCCAATGTGTACATGGGACCTTGGTTTTCTGTCCAAATGACTAGACAGCTGTCCTCCCTCTGTCCTGCACCACTGACAAGAGGAAACCCTGCTGGAAAATCCTGATGAACTTTCTCCCCCAAAGCAGGGACCCAACACGAGACCAAATAACGTGATATATAAAATAGTACCTGTTTAGATTCATTAGGATTATTCTGTGGTGGTACTGATGGTGCATTTCTATCTAATCCCCTTGTAGCAACTTCATACTCCTTAGCAACACGTCTAGAATTCATATATTCTCGTCCTCTGTCTTCTGTCATCTTCTTAGCGATCAGTGGATTTACACTCTACAAAATATACAACATATATAGATAATAAACATAGGTTGCCTGGCAACCAAAAATATACAACATATAGATAATAAACATAGGTTGCCTGGCAACCAAATATATACAACATATAGATAATAAACATAGGTTGCCTGGCAACCAAATATATACAACATATAGATAATAAACATAGGTTGCCTGGCAACAAAAAATATGCCTACCAGAATATAAGCAATCAAAACAGTTTGTTTATTTTGAACTAACATGGTAATTATTAAATAAATGAAAAGGGGTTTAACGTTCTACTGTTCTGCTCCGACTCAGCAAAGGAAGTCGGGCATATGCCATAATATAATGGGCACTATGACTGAAATTTTGCCCGAAGAGCACCAGGCTTGAAATATCCTGAAGGCTCTTCAAGGCCCACAACGGGACCCAAACCAGTGACATTCTAGTCAGTGGTTAATGCTGTACCACTCGACAATCGTGGCCCCGTACAACGATGAATGTCCATGCGATGATGCCAGAGGTTGATAATATAGTTTGAATGAAGCATGTGGTATTTTAACAATAATATACGATACTACTACTTACGGTTTCATAACTACAGTACTCCTTCCATAATATCTCTATATTTATCATTGGGTTGACGACACCTCGTTGATATACTTTACGTACTGCTGTTATTCTCTGATTCTGGGCATACGACCCAACAGCATCCCTACAAATATATATATTACAAAACATTACACTGGATATGTATTGCCCTAGACTACATCATCCCTACAAATATGTCATACACATTATGTATTCATTTATTACACACAAACGTTCTCTGTCAAGGTACTGGGTTAATGAAGACAGCAAACGTCTTACAGTATGCTATGAGGGAAATTTTGCACGAACATCGACGCCACAGCCTACTATTGTATCGAATTCCAACCGCCATTAGTTCTTTTGCGTGCATGCCAATGTGTACACAGGACCTCTGTTTTTTTCCTACCATCCACGGCCCTTCATCCTTCACCACGCCAGTTAATCCTGATGAACTTTCTCTGCCAATACAGGGATGGAACACGAGATCTCTAGATTAACAAGTCAACATCTTACAGGGATGGAACACGAGATCTCTAGATTAACAAGTCAACATCTTACAGGGATGGAACACGAGATCTCTAGATTAACAAGTCAACATCTTACTGACTGATAAAAAACTAAAATAAACTTACACTGATTTAAGAAAGTTGATATATTCTGTCCATAGTTGATAGGACATAATATCCATACCGATTTTTTCTAGAGCAAAATCGTAAGCTTGGGCCATTTTTTCTCTGTAAGATGGTAGAGTACCCTTTGTTTCTTTGATGTAACTTAGATATAATTTCCATAGGTCTATATTCAATACCTTGATCAGACATCTCTGAAATAACTGAAACAACATAAAAATAACCAGATGGGGTTTAACGTCCACTCCACACAAACTAGGACATTTTACTTTAGGACTAACATATGATTCAATAATTTGCTTGCGCGTAGGGGTCTTTAGCAGTGGGAGGAAAGCAGACGACCCAGAGAAAACCCAGAACGCTGAAAGGGCAACCCTACTTCTTGTCACCTACAACCAGGGAATCGAAACCATGCCAGTTGACTTAATGACAGACCTTATGATACAACGTGCACGCCCTAACTATTCAACCATCAAACCCGCGAATAATTAATAAACATCATGTGTATTTGTAATATACCAAGAAATATGTCAAATTTGTTTCCATGGAAAATAAAAATCTATAAATATGGCAAAAGTTCCTGAAAAATAGATATCAATTTTGATGACATACATGAATTGAAATGAAATGAAAGGGGGTTTAACGTGAATGTGTACACCGGACCTTGTTTTTTGGTCCCATCCATATGACTATACCTTCCCTTGCCAGGCCCCACATCATCCACCACTGTCACGGGGGAATACTGATGAACTTTCTCGGCTAGCACTGGGATTGAACACGAGACCTCCAGGTTAGCGAGCCAGCACCTTACTCACTGAGCCACCGTGGCTCCCGTACATCAATTGAATTATCTACTAAAATTGTGGTATAGGCTACAAGGATACAGGATGATGATAACATCGTCTTTTTTTCCCTTTTTTTTTTTAGCTTATCGATTATTGTATCGTTTCCTGTATAAATAAATCGGAGTGGCCTGCCCTTTATTTATACCAATCTTTAGCTAGAGAAGGTGGGCAAGGTAAAACCCTTGTAAAAATGGCCCCCTACAGACAAGGATTTCATGACTCAGGAGGGTAGTTAAAGGAATCCAAATAGTTTGATCAACTAGCTTCAACCACATGTATAAATGAATTGCTAACCTTTTCAACTCTTTCATAATTCTTCTGTTTTAACTGGAATACAAAACATAACATTTATAATAACAATCTCACGTTGGCATGGTAACTGTCTGGACCATACACAACATTTATAAAAACATCTCACGTTGGCATGTCTACTGGACCATACACAACATTTATAATAATCTCACAGTGGGTCATGGCTTCTAGACCATACACAACATTCATAATAACAATTTCATGTTGGCATGACTACTGTCTGAACCATACAAAACATTTATAACAATCTCACAGTGGGTCATGGCTACTGGACCATACACAACATTCATAATAACAATTTCATGTTGGCATGACTACTGTTCGGACCATACACAACATTACAGAAATTAACATAGTAGAAAATGACACAATATGTTTATATTTTTCTGAATGGATAATTCACAAGGTCTAATAAATATTCAACACACTGGACTTGTTACAGTAGTTTAATAACCTGGTTAAAGATGCATTATGTAAGATTTAGATAAAGGGCTAGCCATTCTCCATATAATAGTTCAAAAATAAATAATGTAAAAAGCACTGTGAAGTTAGTTTGTTGTTTGGTATTCGCGAATAATGAACAAGCCAGTTTGTTGTTTGGGTTTTTATTAGCTTTATTAGTCTTTTCCAAAGATTTTGAAGATTTGTGAACCAATTAGACTAATAAAAACCCACTCCTGGCATATTCCCATCAAAAGTGCCATTATTATATTACTAATTCCATATCTGGTGAATAATGAACAACGAACCACAAGATAACTTCACGTCGCCAATGTAAAATGAATATTGAAAATTTCATTTAAGTTATCACTGTTTGTAGTTTTGACAATGTGTGGTAATGATTATTTATTATGACCACGTTACTGGTTATTCAAGACTTACCCTTACTCCTCCATTTTTAAATTAAATCATTAAATGGCTGGAGCGTTATAATGTCATCCAATGTCCTAGAGAGTTGATTATGGTCTTGTCACGGTAATAAATTCTTTAAATAATAATTTATATATCATTTAAAGCCAAAAATAAAGACCTGTAATTAGGCAGATGCAGCTCCTAAATAATTCATCTTTATTAAATATAATCTAGTCACGGTTATTTTTGTCTTAGAATTGATTTTACCTACATAAAAAGTTAGTTTTCTTTAAAAACAAAACCAAAAAAAACTCTGTTGCCAAAACACTGATAATCAAAATGTTGCAAGGATTGTCATCATAAACGCCTTAAACATACATTATGCAAGAGCTAAATTTGTCTATTGCAGGTCTTTCTTTAGTTCTGAAATGTTACCTAAATTATTAATTAGACATTAATTAACTTATCCAGACCATAATCAACTCTAGATGGCATCGCTAGCCTGCAATATTTAGTGGATTTGAATACATTTTGTGATGGATAATTTAATGAAAAAATAGATAATTGAGATTTTGTTTATTATCATACCAATTATGTAGTAATGATGATCGACGCTAGCCTAAAAATAGATTGCTAATATCTTAGTTCAGATTGAAGCAATTTGACTGAAATTTTCAGCATATTTTCTTTTCATTATCTATCTGTTAACTATTACAGTGAGAACTGTCAGCTCTTTATCTAATCTTACCTAATGTCCCATTAATGATATTTGATATGCTTCCTTCATTTGGTGGCATGTTTGTGTTCGGGGTGGGGTGGGGGGGATTATCTCTGTTTTACTTATTACATATCCATACAAGAACACTGACCACATACCCTGGAAGCAGTGGCAACAAGCCCTGACCCCATATTCTGGAAGCAGTGGCAACAAGCCCTGACCACATATCCTGGAAGCAGTGGCTACAAGCAAGCCCTGACCCCATATCTGGAAGCAGTGGCAACATGCAAGCAAGCACCTGTCACAGACATCATCATACACAAGTTATTACACAATGTATATAATTTAATGTGTGATAAGTCTATGACAGATGCCTTATGCTCTAGCTTACTCAGAAGCGAGAGAAAGAGAAAAATGGGATTTAATGTCCACTCAAGGCAATAATAAATCAGCTTGCGCATAGGGGTCTTTAGCAGTGGGAGGAGAACCCAGAGAAAAACCCACGAGGATGGAAAGGTCAACCCTTCTCTATAAATTTATTATACATTATATACCGAACTGGGGTCTGCACAAGTGAATAATAACTGGTGAAAGCATGGCAGTTCTACCTTGGTGAATCTGAAAGGGGTAACTGTCAGTTTCGAGAATGAACATAGTCCAACGTAATTTACGTAAAGCAGGCCCTTAGAATAACCCACTAATATATGAAATGGGGTTTAACATCCTGCTGTTCTGCTCTGACTGGGCTAATGAATATGGGGAAATGGGGTTTAACATCCTACTGTTCTGCTCTGCTCCAACTGGGCTAATAAAGACAGATATATGCCATCCAGTTTGCTCTGAGGGTAATTGTGCTCAGACGGCGGTATTTCTACCAACGAGTACACAGATGAAGGGCTTCTTTTCATGCCATTTGAATGCCTAGACACAATTTCTTGTTCTGCTCTCCGTCCTGCACCAACAAGTATACAAATGATAAGACACTTTTTCCTTGACCTGTACCAAGGGGGGAAACCAGGCAGGAAAGTCAAGTGGAACTAACTCAGCCAAAATCGGGATATACCTCAGTATCCCTGGTTATTGTGCCACTAACATAATGATGTAGTAATATACAAAATATGTCTGTCAAGAGACAATGTATAGTCCTTCAGATGGGGTAAAAAACTGTGCACATAAAAGACAACTGGTCGTTGGAATTCAATATAGAGTAGGCCTAAAATGGGTTTAGCGTCCTACTGCTTGGCACCGATTGGGCACTACGGTCTACCCTTTATTTCAAATTCCAACTGTCAAGAGTTCTTTTATGTGAAGGCCAATATGTACAGAGGATCTCGGTATTTCGTCCCATCCATATGACTATACCTTGTCCCTTGAAAGACATATTTAGATTGAGAATCACACCTGAAATACCTGAAGAACTTTCTCGGCCAACACCAGGATCCAACACAGAACCTCCAGGTAAGCGAGCCACTGATATATAATAATATTAACCATAGCAGATTTTTAAATAAACCTTCATTAAGAATGTGCTGATATGACTACCCCCCCCCCCCCCCGAAAATAATACAATGATTATCAGTTTATTTGTCTAAGACACTTTAAGATGGCAGTTTGAAAGGCAAAACAGCAGTAAGAACTTATTTATTTTTATTCCTAAATTGTTAGCAATTTTGGGGAATATATTCAATTTATCATCCTATTTTTAACAATAACTTATGCAGTTTGAAATTCAAAGACACCAGTTAAAACTTTTGTACGTTTGAGCTTATTTATTTTTTATCCCTAAATTGGTAATTTTTAGTGTTTTCGGGAAATACATTCAATTTATCATCCTATTTTAGACGCTAGACCCCATTAACCAGGCTACCATCGTCAAGACCGGTTGAATCATTTCTATTGAATCTTTCTTGTATTCATTGTTAAGTTTTCTGTTTTAATTTAAAGATATACTATGTAAGATTTAGATAAAGAGCTGGTCGTTCTTACTATAATAGCTCAAAAATAGATAATGTAAAATGAAAATATTGAAAATTTCATTTAAATTACTTCATTCTGAGTCAAGTTATCACCGTTTGTAGTTTTGACAAGATGTGTGCATAGTGGTAACCAAGGAACTGGTATATACGAGGCTTAGCCTCGCTTTCTGATTTTTAAATTCAATTTTTAAATGGCGAACCGTTCTAGTTAAAATCTCAAGTTACTGATGCCATCGAGAGTTGATCATGGCCTGGATAAGTTAGTAAATGTCTAATTAATAGTTTAGATAACATTTCAGGCTAAAGCGAGACCGGCAATAGGCAGATTTAGCTCTTGCATAATGTATGTTTAAGTTTATTTTTCATTCTGAGTAAATGTGTGTAGTCCACTATATAATATTTTGTTAACACCATACTGACAAAGTGGTATAGACACATGAATTCACAATACCCTAGGATGAATAGAAAAAACACGAAATGTGAATTTATTTTGCAAAGTTTTTGTGCGTTATCAAAAATGACCGACGGTGAAATTTTTGAAGTGTAAGCCCTGCTGTGTATTATTATAGGCCCGGGATTGTACAGTGCAGTAGACGCTTACATCTGGCTCCCCAGATCGATTAACATCATTTGATATGTGCAGTGTTTGTTTATAGCTTGTAATTTCAGTTTAATTTTTGTGTCCCATTATCTGCTAGTTTGTTTCATTGGTTTTGTTTCTGTATATGAAAGAGAGAGAGAGAGGAACAGGGGTTAACATCAACTTGACACCAACTAGATCATTGAAATAAAACATATGGTTCAGTTTTATTTCAATATTTTGCATGTGTAGGGGTCTTTAGCAGTGGATAGCCCAGTCGGAGCAGAACACTATTTCATTTCATTTCTTTAGCAGTGGGACGAAACTGGAGGATCCCCAAAAAACCTACGAGGTTGGACAGGCAACCCTACTTCTTGTCACATACCGTCACGTTTCTCGTGAACCGACAAATCTGATATATATTTAAAGTATTGAGAATTATGTGTTTGAAATTTGCGTTCTGTGGACATCAAATAATAACATTCATTTGTGATTTAATATTTCATACATATACATCAAGACACGTAATACAATTTACATGAATGTTATTATTTGATGGCTACAGAGATAACAACAGAACGCAAATTTCAAACACATAATTCTCAATACTTTAAATATATTAGATTCGTCTGTTCGCGAGAAACGAGACGAATTACAACCCAGGAACCAAAACCAAGCCAGTTGACTCAATGACAGGCCTTATGATCTAACACGCACATATTAATCTATCCACACCACCCCCCCTCCGTTTTTAGTGCAGTTCTTCAGCACGTAAAATTTTAGAATCTGTTAATCTGAATAAGGTCTGGACCAAAATGTGTTTTTTTTTTGGGGGGGGGGGGGGGGTAAATAAAGTACCCTTGATTGTGTATGGTTTAAACCTCAAAGT